TACAGTATGATATAGTATGATGCTATATGATACGATATGATACAGTATGATATAGTATGATGCTATATGATACAGTATGATGCGGTATGATATTGTATGATACTATATGATGCTATATTATACGATATGATATAATATGATGCTATATGATACAGTATGATACGGTATGATATTGTATGATACTATATGATACAGTATGATACGGTATGATATTGTATGATACTATATGATGCTATATGATACGATATGATACAGTATGATATAGTATGATGCTATATGATACAGTATGATACGGTATGATATTGTATGATACTATATGATGCTATATTATACGATATGATATAGTATGATGCTATATGATACGATATGATACAGTATGATATAGTATGATGCTATATGATACAGTATGATACGGTATGATATTGTATGATACTATATGATACAGTATGATACGGTATGATATTGTATGATACTATATGATGCTATATTATACGATATGATATAGTATGATGCTATATGATACAGTATGATACCGTATGATATTGTATGATGCTATATGATACAGTATGATACGGTATGATATTGTATGATACTATATGATGCTATATTATACGATATGATATAGTATGATGCTATATGATACGATATGATACAGTATGATATAGTATGATGCTATATATGACAGTATGATATGGTATGATATTGTATGATACTATATGATACAGTATGATACGGTATGATATTGTATGATACTATATGATGCTATATTATACGATATGATATAGTATGATGCTATATGATACAGTATGATACGGTATGATATAGTATGATGCTATATGATACAGTATGATACGGTATGATATTGTATGATACTATATGATGCTATATTATACGATATGATATAATATTATGCTATTTGATACGATATGATACAGTATGATATAGTATGATGCTATATGATACAGTATGATGCGGTATGATACGGTACGATACTTTATGATGCAATATGATGCGGTGTGATACGGTATGATATAGTATGATACGGTATGATATTGTATAATACTATATGATGCTATATTATACGATATGATATAATATGATGCTATATGATACGATATGATACAGTATGATATAGTATGATGCTATATGATACGATATGATACAGTATGATATAATATGATGCTATATGATACGATATGATACAGTATGATATAGTATGATGCTATATGATACAGTATGATACGGTATGATATTGTATGATACTATATGATGCTATATATATGATATGATATAATATTATGCTATTTGATACGATATGATACAGTATGATATAGTATGATGCTATATGATACGATATGATACAGTATGATATAGTATGATGCTATATGATACAGTATGATGCGGTATGATATTGTATGATACTATATGATGCTATATTATACGATATGATATAATATGATGCTATATGATACAGTATGATACGGTATGATATTGTATGATACTATATGATACAGTATAATACGGTATGATATTGTATGATACTATATGATGCTATATGATACAGTATGATACAGTATGATATAGTATGATGCTATATGATACAGTATGATACGGTATGATATTGTATGATACTATATGATGCTATATTATACGATATGGTATAGTATGATGCTATATGATACGATATGATACAGTATGATATAGTATGATGCTATATGATACAGTATGATACGGTATGATATTGTATGATACTATATGATACAGTATGATACGGTATGATATTGTATGATACTATATGATGCTATATTATACGATATGATATAGTATGATGCTATATGATACAGTATGATACGGTATGATATTGTATGATGCTATATGATACAGTATGATACGGTATGATATTGTATGATACTATATGATGCTATATTATACGATATGATATAGTATGATGCTATATGATACGATATGATACAGTATGATATAGTATGATGCTATATGATACAGTATGATATAGTATGATGCTATATGATACAGTATGATACGGTATGATATTGTATGATACTATATGATGCTATATTATACGATATGATATAATATGATGCTATATGATACGATATGATACAGTATGATATAGTATGATGCTATATGATACAGTATGATACGGTATGATATTGTATGATACTATATGATGCTATATTATACGATATGATATAATATGATGCTATATGATACGATATGATACAGTATGATATAGTATGATGCTATATGATACAGTATGACACGGTATAATATTGTATGATACTATATGATGCTATATTATACGATATGATATAATATGATGCTATATGATACGATATGATACAGTATGATATAGTATGATGCTATATGATACAGTATGATACGGTATGATATTGTATGATACTATATGATGCTATATCATACGATATGATATAATATGATGCTATTTGATACGGTATGATACAGTATGATATAGTATGATGCTATATGATGCTATATTATACGATATGATATAATATGATGCTATATGATACGATATGATACAGTATGATACGGTATGATATTGTATGATACTATATGATGCTATATGATATAATATGATGCTATATGATACGATATGATACAGTATGATACGGTATGATATTGTATGATACTATATGATGCTATATGATACGATATGATACAGTATGATATAGTATGATGCTATAATACAGTATGATACGGTATGATATTGTATGATACTATATGATGCTATATTATATGATATGATATAATATTATGCTATTTGATATGATATGATACAGTATGATATAGTATGATGCTATATTATACGATATGATACAGTATGATATAGTATGATGCTATATGATACGATATGATACAGTATGATATAATATGATGCTATATGATACGATATGATACAGTATGATACGGTATGATATTGTATGATACTATATGATACAGTATGATACGGTACGATATTGTATGATACTATATGATGCTATATGATACGATATGATACAGTATGATATAGTATGATGCTATATGATACAGTATGATACGGTATGATATAGTATGATACTATATGATACAGTATGATACGGTATGATATTGTATGATACTATATGATGCTAAATTATACGATATGATATAGTATGATGCTATATGATACAGTATGATACGGTATGATATTGTATGATGCTATATGATACAGTATGATACGGTATGATATTGTATGATACTTATTGATGCTATATTGATACGATATGATATAGTATGATGCTATATGATACGATATGATACAGTATGATATAGTATGATGCTATATGATACAGTATGATACGGTATGATATTGTATGATACTATATTATGCTATATTATACGAGATATAATATGATGCTATATGATACGATATGATACAGTATGATATAGTATGATGCTATATGATACAGTATGATACGGTATGATATTGTATGATACTATATTATGCTATATTATACGATATGATATAATATGATGCTATATGATACGATATGATACAGTATGATATAGTATGATGCTATATGATACAGTATTATACGGTATGATATTGTATGATACTATATGATGCTATATTATACGATATGATATAATATGATGCTATATGATACGATATGATACAGTATGATATAATATGATGCACTATGATACAATTTGATACAGTATGATATAGTATGATGCAATATGATACAGTGTGACACGGTATGATACGGTATGATATAGTACGATACTATATGATGCAGTATGATACGGTGTGATATAGTATGATGCTTAATGATATGATATGATACAATAGATGTTTAAAAAAGGGTGTCGCATGTATATTGGTGTATACTGAACATGGAATTATTACCACCAGGGCTCTCACATCCTATTGTTTAGAAATCCTTAGACTAAGGACAAAAATTCCTCAGATTGAGTAAAATTTCCTTAAATCTCCGGGTTCCCAGATATGAAGCCTGGGACCTAGTGTAGTTTACTAAAAAGGCGGTAAAATTGTTTTGGCTTTATATTAGTTAAAACTCAAACAATTCCTTAAAAACCCTCAAACAATTCCTTAAAAAGGTGAAATAAGATCAAAATTTCCTTAGTTTAAGGAAATTTCCTTAAAAGTGAGAACGCTGCCAATCACTAAAATGACATGACGTCATTTCCCTCGACTGAATATCCTCGGTAGGGAAATGCCCTGACTGGATTCGAGTAAATGTAAGTCACTGTCCGAATTCTAGCAGATCGAGTACCTTAGGTTGCAAACTAGGTGGTTCATAACGTTAACCAAAGCATTAAATTACGGACATTAATCCCCTACTAATTTGATTTCTTGCTTCGAAATTAACGTTGCAAAGGTTAGCATGCATAAAGGTTAGCATGCATACCCGGGTATGGCAGCCCAGCAAGCGATGTTCTTCTCGTCACTGTGAAGTGCATTAGGCTATCATCACTGGGATTGCCGCAAACACTTGTTTCCAACAACCAAAATGGCACGGCACAGGGTTAGGGTTAGTTTTCAGGTTTGGGCCCGTTTGGCTGGATTTCGACGTTTTTTTTCACGCACCAAGATCAGATGAGTGGTTTTTTTTCCCGAATAGAGTTTATTTTATGTCTCGAATAAAAAACGTTATCACTGAGCAGTTTTTCGTGTTAAAATAGCATTGTGAATAAATCAATCGTTCTCGTCCAATCCTTCATGACTATTTAAATTCACGGAAAAACAGCAGTTCAGTTGAAATCAACGCAGCACTGCACTAGCACACATCAGTAATCAGAGCGGTGTGTGATCTACCAATCTCCGGCATTTGTTATCCATACCTGTGCTATAGAATATCATAGACAATCACGTAAATATTCAAATATCATGCGGGGAAAAGGGGTTGTTATACAGAATATACACCACCGTAGATTGTATAGTGTGGTTCCTTATACCATAGCTTATACTCACTTATCTTTTTTCTGTTTGAGTCATATATATTTAACAATACGGTCAATAGAAATGCTATTTTTGAAATATTTTATTTATTTAACATTGCTACAGAACTTAATTAAGTAAAATGTTTCAAGGTAATTAACTAAAAACTAAATATCTTTGCTACCTAATATACTTTGCTATTTAATTGATACTCGCCACGACACGTGTTTAGATAGCCGACTACACTTTGATATTTTGCATATTAAAGCGCTTTTCAATACAATAGTACAGTAGAAAACAGAAATAATAGAACATGGATACATCGATGTGGTGCGAACAAGCACGTGGAGGCTGCATGCGCGAACGAATTCTTTAGTATTTCAATGCGAGTATTTCGAAGTACCTAAGAATAATGAAAAACATTGAAAATTTAGGTGAGCATTCAACATCTAATGGGTAAAACTAGAGACACAAAACCTTTTAATTTCCTTTTCCAACCATTCTCGATTATAAAGACCATTCACCCAGGATTCAGGTAATTTCTTAAATCCAACTTTGCAGCCCAGCAAAGCACCTGCAACTGCACAGTTTGTGTCTGCGTCACCAGCCTAAATCAGATCAGGTTCATTGGACTAAAATGTTAACAAGACCTGAAATAAAGTAAATTTCACCTCAATATATAATGCAAACCTCCATTGTTATCGCTTGTATGGCTTCCCTGAAATTTTTCTGTCTGAAAGCCCAGAAACCAGCACCCATACATTTGAATGTATAACCAATAGCCCTTTGTGAGTCTAACTCGAGTTTGTCAAGAGACTCTGCAAACATGTGCTCTTTTAATTCTTTTTTCTAAAAAGAAATGTAATTGGCTAAAACTAAATTAAATGCTTAATGGCTGGGCGGTGAACTTAATCAACTTATTAACAAACTCACATGTTGTGGATCCTTAATTTCTTTCTCCGCATAGCAATATGCAACTTTCATAATTTCCTCTACATTTTGTTCTCCATTATTTAGCTCAAATTTACGTTGCAACATCAACGCTATTGCTATGGTAACAGCAACACACGATGCAATACATCTGGGGTCAGCATGAGTGACCATACAAGCATTTTTTGTATTTTCAATAACTTTGTCTAAGTCATAAAACTCCATGGTGCCAAGAATTGAGGTTCGCATCACTCCTCCATTGGGAGCAATGTATCTACCACTACCTTCCCATACATCTCTGGCAGCCTAGAAATGGAGTTAGTTCGGATTACAGTGTTCATTATATTAGAAAAAGCTAATCTAGTTTAGCACATTATTGTGCAGAAATGCAGGTATAAACAATCTACGGTCCTCGGTGTCTCTGTATGTATGATTGCACCAAACATGGTATACTTCTTTTACCCTGTGAGGGTCTTTCAAGAAATCTCTGTGGCTGAGAACAGAAGCTGTTGTTCTCCCAAGACCACAACCGCCTGTATCTCCAAGTTCTGGATATCCGTGGCGCACCCAATATTTCAATTTGTTTGCAAAGTCTTTTTCATCAAACTTGAGAAAATTATTAAAAAAATAACATTACTAACATCCCGCAATGTAACCATGCTTCTGATGGAGAGAGAACTTTGCTTCGATTTACCATTTGGTTTTATTCAGTCCAATGGTTCTCTGGCCTTGTCTGGTGGCTTACGATGTGATATTGGAAAGAACCTACAATAAACTCACTTTTCCATGATTATGAACTAATGTTCTGAGAATAAGGATCATTTGATCGGAGTCATCTGTCCAGTCACCTTCCTTCCAGTGACAGCGATGGCCATCGAAAACCTTTTGTTTGTATTCCAAGTCAGCGCCAACACCATAGCTCTAGACCAGCAAGGACAAACCAACGTGTATCAATAAGAAAGCTATTATCGTATTGAAATATCATTCATTGATATATAAATTATCTGATATCTGACATTAATTTGGACAGTTGTTAGTTGGATATAATAGAAAGAAAATAACAAACCAACTGAGCCTCCTGTTTATCCATGAATTCTGTTAATAAACCAATGGCATCACCAATACAGTTTCCATACAACACTCCTTTTATTTGGTTAACCAACACTACGCTGTCAGCAGCCTTAGTTTTACTAGTCTCTGTCAAAGCAGTGGCCCCTTCTTCGAGTTTTGACTTTCTTTGATCATCCGGAGTGTTTCCTGTACAAGACAAACGAATGGCTTCTTGTAATTGTACATCTCTCTCGTCATCGTGAAGTTGACATGTGTCCATTATCGGCGAGACAGTGTCTCCTGGTTTATCATTACTGAGGATCGTTACAACGACCACAGGATCGTTACAACGACCACAGGGTCGTTACAACGACCACAGGATCGTTACAACGACCACAGGATCGTTACAACGACCACAGGTCGTTACAACGACCACAGGATCGTTACAACGACCACAGGGTCGTTACAACGACCACAGGATCGTTACAACGACCACAGGATCGTTACAACGACCACAGGATCGTTACAACGACCACAGGATCGTTACAACGACCACAGGGTCGTTACAACGACCACAGGATCGTTACAACGACCACAGGGTCGTTGACTCGTCAACCTCTGAAGCGGGTTTTTTATTTTTCTTACCTGCGGAAGGCTGAATGGCAGACGATGGTTTCTCAGAGATGTCACTTTTACTTTTCGCATCCATTAGAGAAGTGTAATTAAACGATGAACCAAGATGTGTTTCTATAGTCTGACTCGAACTTGTGGATTTTTCTTTCACTGAAATTTAAGTAACAAACTTAATCACTTCGACAAAACAACATTTTATGGTCATTTTTTTAAATTTAAATATAACGAGGTGGCGTTCGTGCAATGTCCAAACGGTACGTTTTTGCGCGTCTATGAAAACCGTCTGGACTCAGGGGCTGTTTACGTGATAGGTGTAAAAAAAAGGACAGTAAAATGAGTTTGAAGTATTGAAATGAGTAAATAACATGATCCTGGTAGTCACGTAGTCACCCTAACAATAGCATGTGTTTGTTTGCTTTCAAAAACACTTATTTTAATACCTCAAAATCATTTTACACTTCGTTAAATCTCTGTATAACCCAGCTCATGTGTACAATCTCAAAGGCCCCGGCCCCGGGTGTTTATACTGGCTTAAAATCCGCTTTGACAGTAGAAACCCTGAAAACTAGAGGTGCGTTTTTGACTGGTTTATCATGAAGTTGCACGTATACCATGCAGCTGTACCGAGAGTTTTGTAGATAGGCGTTATACGTTATACCCCAAGTTCAAGAATACAAAATTTTACAATGTTCAGGAACTTTTTTGCCTCATTTTATTTGACTATTACACACTTGACATTGTATATTTGACAGCCTTGAGTGGTTGACATATACACCAATAATTAGGTAACGTATTTTACCATTTTATATTGATTAATGACTACAATACTTGTAAAATATATTTAAATTTATAAGTCAGAGTGACAAAGAGAATAAACTATAAATAAGTTAGGTCTCAACAAAACAAATAAAATTCTATTTTTTTCCTTAAATAAAAATTAAGTTAAATGCATTGTATATTCTCAGTTGTCGAATTTGGCCAACTCAGCTGCCTTCAAAACTCCTTTTAACAGAGGTGATGAAATATCTGAACAAAAGGAAGAAAAAATGTTAATATATTAAGTTCATAAGACCATAGACAATCCAGGAGGATTTGTCTTCTGGATTGTCTATGATAAGACTAACCTTGCTGAAAGCTAGCCTGAGTGATGGGGGACAAATCATTCTTGTACCATGTCATTTTTGGAAAGTCAGTTTGGGGAAAGGGGTAAAAGGAGTCAGATATTGATATCACATAAATTGAAAACTTTCATAATGACATGTGTTGTACCAGGAGCAAGATTTGCATGTTTATAGGTTCATTAACATCAGTTAATTTTTTTCTAATTGCTATGTTCTAAATCTCAACTTAATGAACTTATATATTTTACTACTTCCAGATAGAGCATTGGGGTGTACATAGGTTACTAAAAATAAATCATAGATACTCACAAGAGTCACAAGTGTAACACCAAACACTCAAGTCAGAAAAACTCAAGGTAACTGCATGACCAGAATCCTCACCATGCCTCACCATGTGTGCTTTAACATAACGACTGCAGTAAACCTCAGAACACACAAGACAAAGCCAGTTCTCACCAACATTTTCACATGTTACGCAGGGTGCTTTCATGTCTATGTTTAAACTGTCTGTTTGTTTCACAACCTGTGTTTACCAGAATAAAATTACGATAGAAAATGCTAAAAGTGAAACAATGTGTTGGAACAAGCATGCAACCATAACACCCTACTATTTCAGAGTTTTCTCAATAACTTGTTATTATACAGAATTTCTAGTATGCAATTTTTCATTGTCATTTAACTGACAGAGATTTCACCTGAAATTTCACCTGGAATTTCACCTGAAATTATCCAAATGAACAGAATGAAGTTGCACCTGTCATGTTTAGATATATGCATTTTGACTTAAGATACTTGTAGCATTCCCCCCCCCTTCCTTGGAAGCCATCTAAGCTACATTGAAACTTGATTACTGATATATATAGTAGTGAGAGAACTCCGCATTACTCCGCATTGATTTATAAACTCATCTCAAAAAGGCTGATCAGGGGGGGGAGACACTGTTTCTACCATTGCCGACACATATATATGTATACAAAAAATATGCAAGGACCATCTTAATGCTATCTGCTTGTATGACAAAAAACGTAAAAATTAATGATTTCCCATCAAAATTGAATGCAATAAGTTGCCATCTACCTTCAGTGGAACTTTGAAAAGACAGTACAATAAATGAATATACAGTACACATTTCACCGTTTATTTTGAGACGCCTTGAGTTGCCATGCAAAATTCGATGCGTACCAAAGAATATTCGGGCGCGATGGGTTTTATAGATGGTATGTACAGCTTTTTTAGAATTTTAACTCTGCACGAGTGGACGAGGTGAGCTCACTGAGCTGAGGAGCAATCCGACTATGCTTGTATTACTGTATGTTTACCAATACGAATTTTGCTTTCTGCGTGGCATCGTCAATATAGATGTGGCTATTCGCTAAATACGTCAAGTCAATTTCTTTTATATAAAAGTTGTACTTTCATCTATAAATTATACACTGTAAATTCCCTGTAAATTATATGTAACTAAATACCTGGACGTGGGGACAGTCTGTCTTGGGTGTAACGTGGAAGAAGCCTTCAGAATTGCAGCTTGCCTCAGCCATTTATTTATCCTTGTGAAAGTAAAACAATGTTTCGTGGAAATCAAATGAAAAGAAGTATCTCAGAAATTTAAATCGAAAGTGAAAACATCTGTGAAAATCAGTTATTGAGATCAGTATAAACACTTGTGCAAAACTTCATGTAGGACAAAGTGTACTGTCCTTTCCTTTCCAAGATGGCGCGCGTTCATTTATGATAAATTAATTATGAGTTGTAATTAAATAATTGAAGAAAACAAGCCCAAATTAACTTCTTCTCCTGGCAGAGAATGAGCAACAATTAAGGAATGTTGCTTTATTCACTGGAATGGAAGAACTTCCATCTACTGCATTAAAATGGCCGTTTCCAAAGACTTTAAATGGAAGATTATGGCGTCTTAGCAGCGCAATTATTATTGGAGGAACTGCTGCTTTTAGTAAAATATGGCTAGGTGAGTATGAAAGGTTCGGAAATGATTCTCTTTTTTATCCTCCTAATCATAGTGTAAACAAGTGGATTATTTCACTTCATGAAGCCATGAAACTGATGAAAGAATGTTTAACAGTTTTAATAAGGTATAAGGAGACCATGCCAATATAGTTTCTTGCAAATTCTTCGAATATCACAAGTGAACAGAAATTGAAAACTTATGCTGGGACTACAAAGCAATGTTAGAATGCTGACTCTTCCACAATTCCTAACCTGAGCTCATATATTAGTGATATGTATAGCTGCCATGCCCATTATTTGCTTGCATAACACCAAATTAACTGACCAAAGTGACTGAAGGCAAGTCTGGTTTCACCACTGGGTTTGACAGAGCATCCAGGGTGGTCTGGAGGAACCCAGTAGAAAAATGATGAAATGTTTGGTCTGCAGATACAACAGTTGCAGTGGCTAAAACTGGAAAAACCACCATATTGCATATTCGACTACATAATACATATACAGATCAAATTTCAACTGTTATCCTTCTGCATAATAGTTAACTCAATAGTTGGTTCAATATGATTCTTTAGAGGATTCAAAATTTTCCTTTGCTACTTTGAAATAAAAGTGGCCATATGAAAATGAAATGACAATTATAATACAATATTTCAAGTCTTTCCTCTTTAATTTCCTAGGTTGGCTGAACAGGAAACATGTATATAATCTAAATATTCTTGAAAACACATTTTCTCGTGGCAAAGATACACCTTTGCTCACTGTAACCAATCATATTTCCTGCTTTGACGAACCCTTGGTTTGGGGTAAGCATTTGCTTTGATTGTACAAATCATTTTATCTGCTAAAGTTGAATTAGATTTCTAATCAAGGTATAGTGGATTAAGTTACTTTAATTATCTCAATAGGAATGTTGAAATGGAGGCATGTCATGAATGCTCAATTGATAAGATGGTACGAGATGACAGAAGAGTATCTTTAGTAATTTCAGCTGTTATTATGACTATCAGTGTGGTTTAACAATGACTATTTAATTTATTTTGTTGCAACACTAGGGCTATTGGAGCTGATGAAATGTGTTTTTATACCTGGTTATTGAGCCAATACTTTAGCAAAGGAAAGGTAAGTGATACTTTTTATGGTAATTCTCCATATGCCATAAAATATAATCATAATTACATATATCAGTGAGGTCAGTCCATTATTTTATTTTTTCAGGTAATTCCAGTAATAAGAGGTATAGAGCTTTTTTGTTCCTTTTTTGCAAACATTGTCTTGTTTGCTCGCATGCAGTTATATACATCTTGCTATATATTTTCAGGCAATGGTATTTACCAAAAAGGAATGAATTTTGCACTTGATCGTCTTGATGATGGTCAGTGGGTTCATATTTTTCCAGAAGGTACTTTGCCTATGTCTTGTTTAAAGGTCATGCTTATTTGATATATTTACAAAATCTAAGTGGTCATTAAGTGATTAACATCTATAATTTCAGGATATGTGAATGCAACAGGAGACAATTGTCGTTTAAAATGGGGTTAGTCATCTTAAAGACCTGTTTCATTAATGTCAAATTTTACTAGTATATACATTTGTGAATAGACAATTCCCAAATTTGTTATCAGGTGATGAAAACCAGCCCATTAACAATAGATTTACATTACCCACCTTGTTTCCAAGCTATTGTTTTGTGTTCACTCAAGCAAATTCAGGAAGTGTCTATTGTTTAAGGTCTTTAAGCAGCTATGTCAGCTGCAAGCTTTTATTTTTTTAACCAGACCGTAAGCCTTGTAATAGCTTATATCATAAATCTTAGGTGTTGGCAGACTAATTGCAGAATCATCTAAAGTTCCAATTGTCATTCCTTTCTGGCAGCTAGGTAAATGTTTTCTTTCTTTATAGTAATAATTACAACTGCAGTTCATGCATTTCAGTTTCTGTAAATAGGACTTGATGATGTATTACCAAACAGAAAACCTTATATACCCAGAGTTGGAAAGGTAAACCATTGCATCTTGCTTGGTTAGTTCTTTAATTACCAGTTTAATGCAACATGTCATTCTAACTGACAGCATGTCACCATCAATATTGGAAAACCCATGTTTTTTAATGATATCATCAATGAGTACAGAGATCTGAAGGAAACAGCGGTAAGCAAGATGAGCTAATAATTTGTTGTTTATGGGGAGCAATTGAAAATGTTTCTGTCATCTTTTTCAGATTGGAGCTCGCAAGAGAATAACTGACAGAATACAGGAGAGGTTTCAAGAGTTAAAAGAAGAAACAGAGAGATTGCACCAAACACACAAGAAATAACAAAAAATACAGCACCACAAATTACTGTTTTACAATGCTTTTAATCATTGCAGACAATTGCAAATCTTTTAATCAACTGAACACAACATTGTTCTTCCTTCGGTATTAACATGTGGCTTGGGAACCATAAAAAATGTCTGTTGAACTGTTACTGTATAATTTATTGTTCTGCCCTGTACTATTCAGAACCTGTCTAAGTAAGTATTCAGTAGGATAAAATCTCTGCCTGAATTTTCATGCCTAATTGTAAAACCTTACTACATGCACAACACATTGTAGTTCCTCAGAGGCGATCATATAAAAAACTCCAGTTATAAAACATTTATCAAACTACGCCCATGTATGTACATTGAGAAGACCTAAAGCCAATTTATATGTCACGATCTCTGTGAACTAAATGCTCACTGTCTGAATGATCTACAGAGTTATCCAGAAGAACTTCAACTTCTTCAGTATTTGATGTGTTCACTCTGGAAAACTGTACTCGGCCATTTTCATTTGCTTCTCGAGATTTCTTTGCTTTACGCATTAAGAAGTTGTCAACAACCCAGAACATGATGGCCTAGAAAAACAAGGTGGGGTTTTAAGCTAGTTATACTAATTGATAAATAAAGTATTTCCATACTTTTAAACTTACATTTATTATAAAAGGAATAATCAACATAACTAAAGCCACTTCAATTTTTGGATATTTTCGAACTGGTTTTAAAATAAACTGACGAACATCGTGCCAAAAGTCCAGCATGACTAACAATGCTATTGCAATTTTTTCAAGCACCATAACTAGAATGTAGAGACCACATTGGCCAACCCATGCATCACATTGAGGTGGATTTCCTAAAAAAGAAATGCAATTTCAAGACATACTCATTGCCAGTCAATACATGAAAAATATTAAATTAAAAATATTTCTCACCATATTCCCCCAGTAGAAGTGTATTCCATTTATAACAATGTACAATTAGTTGAGATATTTGAAGAAATATGTATATTAAACACAAGCCAAGAGTTGAATCTAAAAGATAATTGATAAAATACCTAAAACCAGAAAAAGAAAATAGTTTCAGTACTTGAAAACAAGATAGCCTAATGCAGTTGTGCTTGACAGAATTGTCACGTACCAGGTACATGGGTCGCCTTTAAATAATGTTGATAAGTAGACATTTGCAAAATGGATCAAAAGGGCTCCAATAGCTTGCTTTGAGGTGTCATAAAACCTATGGGGTATGAATAAGTATAATGTAAATAGATATATGGTTACAAGAAAAGGTTTAGCAAATCTTTGAACATGTTGGAAAGACATGTCTATGCAAGAAAACATCTTGATGTTTCTACTTGAGGTGAAATTTTCACATATTTTTTACCAGATTTGAAGTGGTCTTCTGAGACCTTTTGGTTCTCTGAATCTTTTTACTGTGAAGAAACAAAATATCATTATGTGACAAACTTACAATAATTATGAAATGTTTTTATCCTTTGACTGTTCATTGAATGTGCAAACGACAGCAAAGAAAGGAAAATCAAAGTCACACTCACATTGGAAACTGCTGTCATAAAAACGCTTCTGATCGTTATTAATATTTACTGTTTATAAACATAATAGGCAACAGAATATTAAAGAGTGAACTTCCTAATATATGAATCATGAAAATTAACCAAAACTTTCTAATGCCCACCATGATTGTCTGACTGTCGTGACTACATGACACTGGCACATATACACATGCTTTGATAAAGGTATAGCATATATTTCGGTGAAACAAGAAAACATGCTAAATATTAAAACTTACAAATAAGAGTACTGAAAGCAACTACAGCTAACAATCCTTGAATGAAAAAGCCAAAGGTGTCGGTAAGGTCGCATTTCACAGTCGAGTCTCCACTCATCTCCATCGTTGTGTTAGCGAAAGTAGTCGATTTTGTCGCATTCATAAGCGTTGATCCGCTTGAGTTCATCGTTAACAAACTACAAGCATTTTTATATTGTTTTCGATGATATAAAGCTGAAAGTCAGAATGTATTTGAAAATAAAAAGATTCAATACAATAATTTATTAGGAATCATGGCGACTTGTCAAAGGAAGATTTTCTATTTGTAGCCACCCCTCCCTGAAATGTCACTTGACACTTGTTATTGCCTTGTATTCGTCCTTCGTTCATCGAAATATGGCGATGCCACCTGGCTCTCTAGATTTTCCCGATATTTCGCCTGTTCCCTTGTCATCTTCTCCATCAAGAACTATCCTAACAGAAGCTTTTAACTCCCCAAAGCTAACTAGGAAATTTTTGGAACAAATTTCCTCTGTGGAGAAGAGTGGTCTACCTTTAAACACAGCATGGACATTGTGGCTTGATAGGTTTTTGATTTTAGCTGTATTGCATATCGTTTTATTATATTTTTTGCTGTAGTAATTCTAATATTTTCTCTCCTAGATATGTTCGAGGGGCGACAGCAGCGGAATACGCAGCAAATTTGAGAAAGATATACACTGTTACTACCAAGGTTTTTTGTTTACGGTATAGAATTGAAATTTGATACAAAAATGCAATTAAAGCTTCGGGTTAATATGTTTGACCATTTCTGTAATCACGGAGGGAGGGGTGGTGCATTAGTTCCTATGCAAATTATGCCTCCAACAGTATGTTATAATTTTGATAAGTACCCATTTATGTACAATATAGTGAATATACAGTTATAATGTATTACTATCTTCATTCTACTGTAGTATATATTTTTTGGTTTAGAGCTTTTGGAGTGTCTTCAACAACATTCCCCAAGCATCAAAACTAGGATTTCGGACCAGTTATCACATGATGAGAGGAGAGAGACGACCTGTATGGGAAGACTCTGAAAATATTTCTGGTGGTTATTGGAAAATGAGATGTCCAAAAAACTATACGGTGAGAGAACCACTGTATTAACTATACCTGGTAAACAAACTGTTTTTAATAATTAAACTGATTTACCAAAATTATCTAACCACATTCATTAGAATCAAGCATGGAAGGAACTTCTTCTGGCCATTATTGGGGAGAAAAGTTTGAATGAAGTACTAGCTGATGGTATGTATAATCATAATGTATTGGAAGCATGTAATTCCTGTAGTTCAGTTGCCATAATAATTGGTCTCAAAAGGAACTTAGATGGCATTCTATATCAATGGGTGTAACAGGGTCTTTTGCAATATTACGCAAGTCCAATATGACACTTTAGTATGCAGTAGTTTTACTCTGCTATCAATGAGAGCATAGTCTTAGGTAAAAGTACTGTCATGCATGTAGTTTTCTGTCAATATAAATAGGTGCTTTGTGTAAGTAGAACATGTTTGCACTAGGGTTGGGTAAATTGGAATGTATGCAAGATATACTTTACATAATTACATATAATTATATATATTATATTGAGATGTATCTGAATTTAGGTGATGAAATTGTTGGTCTGAGTGTTAGTATAAGAGATAGAGATGACATCCTACAAATCTGGAATGCAAAAGCTAATCTAGCAAGTGAATCAAAGGTCAGCAATAAATGTTGTTTTATGCAATATAGCATAAATTTAAACTGTTGTTTCATTGTCAATTTACACACAGGTTCTGAAAAAGATTTCCGAGATTTTGCCACAACTAAATGTAGAAGATGCTTTTTATAAATGTAAGTACATTATACACAATTTCAAATAAGTTATGAAACGTAACAAGTTAACATTCCCTACACCATCTTCTCTTCTATTTTTTCTCAGTCCACAGGGATCATCATGCATTTGAAGGCCAAAGAGTTATCAGCAGGCCCATTGGGTTCCCAACCGGTGGCCCATCAAATAGAGAATAAAACTTGGCATGAAATAGGTTTGCATAATACATAAGACTTGCTTTTTACTGATCAAATTGTGAAAGAGCAAGTCTGTTAGGTTAGTTGCATTAACCTTGTACTACTTGGGGTACACAGGAATCCAAGTAATAGCAATGATACTTCTTTATACAACCACCACCCAAAAGAAATAATGTTCTGTTGGATTGTACCAGGCATGAGAATTTTTTTAATTTTGTTCAATATTCAACTGTGACCCAGAGTGCATTGGTTACATTAATATTTAATTCCCATTTAGAAACACAGCATTGTGTTGTCTGACAATTTTTATGCTTTTAGGAAACTATATATGTGAATAAACTTTAGATAAATTTATTATAATGTATTATAATTCAAAACTTCTTGACGTGAATTTTTAGTTTTAATTGCACAGTGTATATATTATTAGCATCATTGATTTCTTAATGCTTATCACCACTTCTCATGTACTTGATTTCACGATGCGAGGGAACTTTCTGTTTTGGTATTTCCTTGCCTGATTTCCAGGAAACTTTGTTTTTGCTCGTGTCTTTTGGGAACGGCTTGACTGGTATATATCCGCTCTTGCTGTAATACGTCATCACGGCGCCGTTTTTGGCGTAACTTTTTCCTTTGTATGGATTATAAGGGACGTAATTATCCCGCGAATAACGACTTTGAACCCAGTCATAAGCCTTAGACCTAGAAGAGAAAAAGTTCCTTTTTAAATACAAAATACCCGTAGGTTTGGGAATGATCCCACACGATATTTGCCGTTCGTAAATGAAAAAAAAATATCATGAATGGTTGGTTTCTATAAATGGTTGGTCTCCATAAATGGTTAGCGTTGGTCTCTGTGAAAGTTTACCTGTACATTGAAGAAGAAGTCTTAGGTCGTTGTGGTAAGTTTACTCTCTCCCTCTGTCGACCGATATTTGGTAAAGCAGATGCAGCTCTTCTTTCTGGAGTTCTTCTTTTCTGAGAGTTATCTGATGTAAGAGTGGACTGACTTGATTTACTATCAAACCCTACGCTCTTCGATCGTGTGATTCTTCCACCCTCGCTGCTGTTTCGTGAAGCTGACACAAAGGTTGTATTACTTCTTTTAGACATCACAGAGTTTTGTTGCCTACTGCTTATGCCTGAAGCAGTTGTGTTGCTGTATGAGCTGTTTGCCTGACTTGATCTGCTCATGTTTGATGCCATTAACCCAGTTTTTGGTATTTGCGGGCTTTCATTCACGAAACTTTCAAGAGACGTGCCAGAACGACTGGCTGTTGTCGACATGTCAGGCGAAGCTATGGAACAGTCTTCAGAAAATCGTACCGAGAAACTTTTGGAGGATCCAATTGAACGAGTTGTGTCAGTGTAGTATTCAGGGTCACCACCGCTGTAGTCTCCAGTCCTTCCAGAACGTTTCCTGTACGACTCATCTTTACTTTCATCCACTTTCTGTTTCGCCATCATGGTGTTAAAGTGTTCTTTAGTCAAATCTTTTGAGGTAAAAACGTCTTTCTTTTTCTCGCTGTATAACATTCCGTACACTTCGCTATCACAGTGATCGCAATGCTTTATGGGACAGTCTTCTTTCGTGATCACGGAGAAAGTATGTTGAAGATATTCGGAAAACGTTTCTGCGTTATCAGCAAATACTCTCCCTTGCCAAGCAATGTAACCTATAAGATACAATCCAGACATAATTTGGTACGTTGTAATAATCAACTCTGCAGTTTACTAACGTTACTTTAGTGTCTTACCGTCGTTGTCAATAAGAACTAACGTTGGTACACCAAGCAATCGATATGATTTAGCAAATGACGAGTTCTCTACGTCACGTTTACGTAGTTTTGAGTTAGGTCCTGGATGACATGCGCAGAAATGCTTAACTCCCTCGTTATTGGTCCAGTTATGATCAGTCATTACTTCCATTACTTTAGTTTGATGGTTTGTGATTGGCTCCTGGCTGAATACACAACAACTCAGCAGTTGATACTGGAATATAGTGGATAAATGTAGTTGATTAGTCTGCATGAATATAATTGCCGAGTCTGTGTTAGTTTGGTGTGTTGGGGTTTACAAGTAAAATTACAGATCTTTTTTAAAACCATCTGAATATGACCGGAGTCACCGGACGAATCAGACGTCATGCAAGAATATTTGCGTATTTTGTTTAAAGCTCCCCCCCCCCCTCCCGGGGATATATCTTGGGAGTATGGGAAGAGGGATTCTACTTCTATGTTATGTTTTGTTAACCTTATCTGCCTGCTCTTTCGCGAATGAGTTGTAATATTCCATTACTCTTTTTGACGAAGCACACCTGAAATAATTAATTTGAGACTCTCGTAAGAACGAGAATGAACTGGGTCCGTTGTTCGAGTCTTTATCTAATTATTTCTTGCGTTCAAACACGACGAATCACAAACAAGATAACTTACCATTTCGTCCAAAATAACAATGCAGTAGGTTTATTGTCTCCATAATGTTTTCCAAGTGGCCCCCAAACACCATCGAACACTCCCATGACATGAAATGATTGAGCGTGAATACGCTCATTGATAAACGAACGCTGTGGGTAGGGTTTATCAGTGTACTGACGTTCATATTCTAGTGTATCTTCTAAACAACATCCACCTTTATCAGGCCAACTGAAATTGAGATTTTTTTACGGAATTATACTGGCTGTATTTGTCGTTATAAATCAGTTATTGGATTGTGAGGCTAAACAATGCATACTCTGTATAAAATGAAGACACACTCTGCTTTATTAAACTGCTCACTTTACTAATAGTTTGATGATCCCGAGCTGTGGTAGGAATGTTGTTGTACGTTGTTTAATATACGTTGTGCTCTCGTGAAAGCGCGCGCACTTTTTGTATGCTAGCAAGTAGCAAGTATCCATCTGAGGCAGTATATGCGCGTTTCAATGATACATTTGATACATACCTTGCATGTTTATCATGACTGCTAAAGTAGCAAAAGAATCTTACTGGTCGAAACTCCATGGCAGACAGTTGAAGTGTTTGTGATGGTAAACTATGACCAACAGCGTGGCTGGATAATGTGACTACAGATATATTGTAGTATGGTTGGTCCACTCCGAGCTGTGGAGTAATAAACACCTGTGATAAACATGTTGTTGAAGGTTTGAAGCCAGACCAATTGTTCATACCTGCATACAGAATTTCTTTGTATCCAATGGTAAATGTTCTACATATATTTCGTCATTGACAAATACTCGGTACCCAACAGGCTCAGAGAAGTCGTCGAAACATGGAGACGTTATTTTGAGGACAACTGGAAGTGTTCCTGAAGGTTGGACAAGGTAAATGTTTAGTGAAATTACTGAAATACCTCTTTATTAAAGTCGATTTTATGATATTTATCTTTCCCTGCATTCTTCAACTCTTAGCCTTGAGGGTTTAGTCGTTTTATTACCTGTGTATTCGTTAATAGTATTCAAGACTTCTCTTAGTCTTTTCTCTACTCGATGAAGAAGGACGCGTTTGCGCTGAATCTAGAAATATTTTCTTGAATAAATAAATCTCATTCAAAAAAAAAAAAAGAAATAAATATAATATATTCAATCATAATAAAATAATATATATATATATCGAATATAATTGACAATTTGACATGGAATAAATAAACAAACCTCTTCGTCTCGAACTTTTTCTCCTCTTGCTAAGACGCTGTTATGAACTGCGTTTATGTTGGTTTTAAGCCTGTAAAAATGCAAAGAAAGAATGTAGTACAAAGTAATATACCAGCGTATAGCAGTCACCCCCAGTCACCCCCAGTCACTGACACCAGCGTGAACCAGTCACCCCCAGTCACTGATACCAGCGTGAACCAGTCACCCCCGGTCACTGATACCAGCGTATATCAGTCACCCCCAGACACCCCCGGTCACTGATACCAGCGTATAGCAGTCACCCCCAGTCACTGATACCAGCGTGAACCAGTCACCCCCAGTCACTGATACCAGCGTGAACCAGTCACCCCCAGTCACTGATACCAGCGTGAACCAGTCACCCCCAGTCACTGATACCAGCGTGAACCAGACACCCCCGGTCACTGATACCAGCGTGAACCAGTCACCCCCAGTCACTGATACCAGCGTGAACCAGTCACCCCCAGTCACCCAGTCACTGATACCAGCGTACCATAATTTCTCGTACCCAGGAAAATTTCACTGTCTCTTGACAGATCCATGATGGCGGCTTATTTAGAATTTAAAAATTGAAACTTTGAATGGAACTTATTTAACTTGTTATTTCACGAAGAAAGTTTCATTAACGATTAGATGCAAAAATATTTATTTTGCCTATAATTTTGTCTCAGTGTATGAGATTCGATTTATGACCGTATTAATGATTATATGATTGAGGTAGGTTTGTGCACTGTACAGTGCACAGTATGGTCAATGACAATGAACTTTTATTTGCATTTAGTGATATTACGGTCGTCGTTTTCGTGTATTCTCTCAAAGGATTAAAATCTTATTCTCACCGATCTCTTTTATCAACCAGATAATCTATTTCCTTGCCATAAGCCTGTCGTTCTTTAAGACCATAAATATCAACACTGATTTCAGGTGGTAATGGCTTCTTTGTTGTGTGTAACTGTATTGATGGTGTTATAATATTAGGACAGCCATCTGGCACAATCTCTGCCTCAAGAAATGCCCAATAATATTTATCTGCTTCAACTTTTAGGGAGTCTTCAACAGAAGCAGGAGACAATGTGTGCAAAATGCTTGCTTCACTTTTCATTATTTCTTCTTTGCTTGGCCGATAATTAGCATCATTTGTTTTGAGATAATAAAGCTAAAAGAATAATAAAGTATGTATAAAACAATATTTTAAACTGTGGTTAATATATTGCCTGTACTAGTAGAATTGCAGTTTGTTTGCAATTTGAATGTTTTCTATTACTTATAGAATACAATATTATTACCTAACATGCATCATTTTGGCTGCCTTTGTTCTAATTGTTAATTAATTAAAATATTCTATGTACCAACTCGTAAAACAATATAGGGTGTTGCACCCTTACATGTGATATTTTATTATCATTGAAGGGCAAGTCTGATTCCCTATAAAAACACCATGACCTCCCTACAGCTTTTATTTGATCGTACCAGACCCTTACCTGATATTCTCTAACTCTTGCTCCTCCTTGGCATATAGGTCTGTTCCAGGCAACCTTGACTTTATTAACATTGCGGCAATGAGCACGCTCCAATGTGATTGGTAGAGCTCCAGGACATGTGACATCAAGAACATGGGAGAAGTCACTGTTGCAATCTGCTAGTCTGGAAATTGCCTAAAAAGTAAGGGTTAAAAGAATCCATCTTGTCCTAAAGTTAAAGAATTTGACTAGGAAAACACTTCATGTGGGTACAAGGTTGACTTTATCCAATATTAACTCTGTATAGATCAGTTTAGTGAAGTATGCATGATAGAAATGACGACGAAAGCGGATCTGAAATTTGTGTCTCCGGCCATCATTTTCCTTTAATTTTTTTATTCAGTGACTATAGATTATCATGTTAAGGAATTGTGAGATGTTCTGACATAATCAGTTCATCAGTACATTTCACACCATCGGCATTGTAAAAGGGTGGTGTAATTTGTTTATCCCACTGATACATGCATTCTCAAGTATTTTAATAAAAAGGAGAGTTGCATTGATAATTTGTTACTTACTTGTAACCTGAATGTGTAAGTTCTGAGTGGTCTGCAGTCTGTGTACGTCACTTCGTTCTGTGTGGAAATGACTTTTGCATAATCTTGGCCATTCACCTTAAAAAAATCAAGTCCATTTAAATCATAATACTCCATGCATCGACCTGCAGCGCTGTCAAAAAGGTTCGTATAGTTTATAGTAATTAATACCTGAAGCTCGTATTCTTTAATTTTTCCATCACCAAACTCTTGAGGTACGTTCCAACCAATTGTTATGGCACCAGGTTCATTGTGTCTGGTTTAATTACAGAAACGTTTTAGAAAATGGTTGTAGTGGATATTATCGTCAATTATATCATTTTCAAAAAGATTCTTTTACTATTTTATTTCTAAAATAAAACGTAATGAATCTTACAATAGTTTTAATATGGGTCGTTTGATCGGCGCAGAGGTTTCAACAATAAGAGGCTTCGCTCTGATGATTGCTTTTCCATTAATATCAATTGATGTGATAGTAACAGAATACTTCGTTCCTGATCTGCAATCATTTATTGTGCGCACTCTCTCGTCTCGTCGTAGTTCAATATGCTTATACTATAGTAAAAGAAAACATTTAATAATTGTTAGGTTAAGCAACTATATTAAAATCGTTGATATCAATTGAATAATTTTTTAAATAATTGAAGAAAATGGTATTCGCAAGTATTTTGTTTCTCTTAAAAGTTAGGGTTATATGACTGCATAGTTGTGATAGGAGACACTTTTATCTTAGTTGAGACTAAGTGATTCTGTTTAAAATATCATCCACTGAACTGTTAAGAATCTCTAACTTATGAGTCTGTAAAAGTGTAATTACGATTGAACGTCTGACGGGATCGTTTCTGTGGTCTGAATAAAGCAACTCTCGCGTTGTTTTATAAATCTAGATAACGACTGATACCTCTGGTTCTTTTGAACTGTTGTATTCAATTAAGAAATGATCAACTGGCATCCATTCTTCATCTCGTATGTACGTCCATTGTACGGTGAATGAATATTGTGTTCTTTGTTGTAGTCTTGGAAATAATCCTGCTTCGTCTTGTCTTGTCACGTCCATAATTTCCTCCTCTGGCTCTGCAACACCACAAATATGAAATTACGAAAAGTGAATGTTTTTCATGTTTAATATTCCCATGCAATCATTTTGTTGGTGTATTAGAATAAACTTGTTTTAGTGGAACAGAATTTTGTTGGAGTTTATTATTTATACGTTAAATAGAAATTTATTTGCCATAAATAACTTTATACAACATTGTTAACACGCTAAAAAAATTTAAATTACTAAAATCCAATCTATCAAAACAATATGCTAAATTTAAGAGCGTGAAAAATATGAATTTTGGAAAACATTGTGATTCAGACGTACAAAAATCATAATCGCCAAGCTTTATATCACTTTAATCAATATACTACTCTACTGAACAGCAGGAAAAGCGGTAAACGAGTTTTGTTTAATCTACGAGTTACGCGTATACTAACCTAATGTTCTGCTTTTCCACCTGAACTGTACTGAAAAAGTCTTATTTCATTCTGTTGCTGTACAGAAGAAAATATTGTCTATAGTCGTTGCTATATAAATGTGGTCGTCACAATATTTTTATTTTGTTTAGAACTGTACGAAGAGTTGAGTATAATATTCAACCTGTTTGTGTTGCTATAGGTGCGTAACCACAAGCTTGACTGCTGATTGGATAGAATGTTAAATAACTGCTATTTTCCTGCGTAGGCACAGTATTTTAAGAGAGTTTTCACTGCATGTGTGATATATCTGCAACAAGTTTATGAGGAAATAAAATGAGTGCAATTGTGTTGGGAGGTCTAATGCTCAAGACATCTCATAAACTGAAAAATAAATTAATGGTAACTAGGAATATATTATTAAAACCTTACCCTCATAATCAAGAAAAGTCATAAATTTCTTCTCCTTTTCATAAAAAAAAACTAGTGTTTTAAATTAGTGATTTTCCCCTGTGTACTTGATTTCAATAAAACATGTTAACACCTGCACCTGATATTTTTTCCCATTGCAGCTGAAATGAATTGTGCTGCACGAACAATTTGTGCTCGCAATTCTGGCAAAAATATTAAAATCTTGCGGTATAAACTAAGATCAAACCTGCTGCTTTGTGGTTTCCTATCAATGACAACAGTAAACCTCCCACAAACCGTTGTTGATATCGTTATTATATTGTGATTATTATATGACCTCAACATTGGATAAATTGCTTGCTTGCTTGCTTGACAATCCGTTTTCATGCTTATTCTAATGCTGCTCGTAAATCCTAGGGCTACTGATTTAGTAGCGTGGTGGCCAGCCCGACGATTTGTCCAACTATATGCTTTTATTTTGGTATTCATTGGCTGTGAAAACAATAGACTACTAAAGAAATGAATGATTATAATAACTAAAAATTTACATAGCGGGACAAAATCGTCAGGTGCTACGCTACTTTACTGGTTTGATTCCTGCCATTGCCATGCAGAGGATTTGAAGTTTTATTTTTGGCTTTACGTTTAAAAAATTTTATGTAAAATCAAGAAACGTTATGCATCAACGTAATTATTGCCTTTTTATCTTTCTAGTATGCAGCACTTCCTACCATGACAAATATGTGTATTTGCTATTTACATGTGAATATCACGTTAATTGTTCAGGAACAAAGCAAGAGTATAAATTTCAGTTTCTCTCATTATGCATTCATTCATATCTCATCTGATATTTCGATGCACGGCATTACTCCATCCTTCAATTAACTTTCTTAATTTACCCACTTTTTTTAAATGATGACGATGAAAATGAAACAAAATTTAATTCTTTTTATGTTGTCTATCCATGTATTTCGTTATACAATCACCTGGCACACTGCATGATATATGTGTTTTATATACTTGGCACACTGATATGTGTTTTATATACAATTAACTATTAATTTTGTGTGTAAATATAATAGAATATAGTAGATATTTGTTGAATACGTGCGAATGATATATATAATGCCAGTTTTGACACGTTTTAACTAACATAATAATATTAATTAATAATTGCTTTAGAAGATTTTTATTAATGTCGCGTAATAAAATTGTGCTTAAAACCCGAGTTACATAAACATGCAAAAATAGTGAATTATTCAACGTTAAGAACCTCAAACGCATCTATAAAAAAGTATGTTTACAATATAATTTTATAAACTAAAAATAATATTAAATTAAAGAAATTTTCCGTAAATCGAAGCTACTTTTGTTTTCATTTTAAACTGATAATAGCGCAATAGCCATACACATGCATAATATTTCGGAAAACCTTTGTTGCTTAATGTTTTGCAAGCACAGAATAGTTTAAAAATCGAAGTAGTTTTTAGTGGTACGGTGAAATACGGAACATTCTTACTAACTTCAGTGTTTAGTGTCTACATCTAAATATAGTGAAGAAAAGTGGTGTTTATACATATGCTTGTCGATAATAAGATCCTTCTCCGTTTTGTGGTGTTGTCTGTCTTTTTCTGTCTTTGTTGTGATGTGCTGAAATCGCGTATCTTTGTTTTGGTTTACCAGGCTGGTAGATCCCCTTGCTATAGCGACTTTGAATATGACTGTATTTGTCATTCTTCTTGGCTGACTTTGGTGGATCATTGATGGGTTCCAGGGTTGAAGGTCGACGATATATGTAAGGTGCTTGTTTTTGAGTTGTGTTTGGTTTTCCACCCCGACCATTTCTTTTTCTCATGTTATCTGGTATCATGAACTCGTAAAGCTCTTCTTCCTCGTGATGGTGTCGCTGCCAGTTTGAACTCTTTTCTCTGCTGGTATCTCTGTCAATGTTATTGGCTTTAATCTGTGAGTTCCATTTAGTTGTGCCACTATTGTTGTACGCCAATGTAGTCGAGCTCTTCCGAGAATGGTCGAAATCTAAAACGTCTGGTTCTGCCTCTGCATCTCCATTACCGGCTCTTTCCGCGAGATGGTAATTAATACTAGAGTATCTGTGACTATTCTTTCGTCCATTCTCCGTGGGATGCTCGGAAATGTTCGTCCCCGATGTTTTCTCGACCGGAGGTTTGTCTCGCCATGTTGATCCACCCGAGGCACCATAGCCATGTTTTGACTTGTCGTATCCGTTATTTGGACTACGATATTCACGATATGGTTGCCGGTATTGATAGTTCTTGATTCCAGGCTTTTCTCTCGGTGTTTGAATGCTTGCAGTTGATGGAGGATTTTGATTCACTTCTACTGAGCGTATTGTGTGTTTCTCAGCTTCTTTCTCGGAATCTTGCCCGGACTTTTTCGCATTCGCGCGCCGTTTTTGCAACCATTCTTGGCGAGATGAGAGACTTCCAACTTTTGCATATTGTTCATTTTGTGTTTTTTCTGCCTCTTCCAGATCCTTACCATGAAGTCTTGAGTGCAGTAAGTGGAACTCATCCAATGAGAACTTGTCATGTGACTTACCTATGACGTGCTTACTTTGGTTGCTGGCGTCATTTTCACTGCTGTCATTGGCTTGATCATTCACTTCGTCGCTGACGTCATCATTTTTCTTCTTTACTTCGTATAGAATTCCGTTTTCGTCGTTGCAATGTCCACATTCCGTATTTGGACATTCTTGTTCTTCAACCTGGGACATCACATGATTTATGTTGATGAAAAATGTTTCGTCTGTGTCAGCGGCAACACGGCCTTGCCAGGAGAGTCGACCTTAACGAAAGAAAGATTATAAAACAAAATAATAATCAATAAAGTACGGCTTCTCTTTTATAAATACTGATGATAATATGGATGGTAGTAATACCAGAAATTTGGATTTTCTCACCTTTAATATCCAGAATACAGAATGTTGGGACGCCAGCAAGATCAAACGAAGCAGGAATGCTCGCTTTATCCATTTTCTCAATCGTGGTGTTCGGGAGATCTGGGGCGAGATGACATCCACAGCAGTGACGTATATTACCCAAAATTCTCAAATTCTTTTCATTGAGTAACTCAATGATTGATTTTCTGTGCGTGTGGATATCCTCTCCACTTTTAACACAACATGCGAGGTATTGGTACTGAAAGATGTAATAACATGAAGTAGAGCATAGTTGTAATAGTTGCAACCTTTGAAACTTTATTAAACAAAGTAGTGGAAGTACTGAAGAAATAACAGAAGGAATGGCTTCTTTTAGACGTTCCCAGCCTTATTTTCAAAACGGGGTGCCTCTAAGTTAGCAAATATCATCGCTTAACACGGCCATAAATATTAAAATTACCTTATCTTTTAAACGATGGGCGTAAGCACAGAAACGCTCCAGCGTGTTTTGCGAGGAGACACACCTAAGGTTAAAAAGAGTTATGTGAGAACTATATTGGGGTTTTTTCGTATAAATAAAGATGGTTTAATTTAGTTCACGTTTTAACGTGTACCATTTAGTCCAGAAGAGTATAATGGTTGGTTTCTTCGCTCCAAAATGACGTATTAACTGTTGCCAGGTAGCGTCGTGGACACCCATTACTCGGAATGGTTTTGGAGCTACTCTCGTCTTCAAGAGTCCACGATGTACATTGTGTTTACTGGTCAACTTCTTTTCATGAAAAAGAAAGTCTTCTAAGCGACACCCTCCTTTACTGGGCCAACTATCAAAGGATAAATATGAATATTATGAGTTACTATATTTTTCTTTAAATTGGTTGTCTTTTAAAACTCTGTATTTTTATTAGTTTCTAAGAAATGCAACGCGTCTTTAGTTTTTTCCCTAACATAATATCGTTTATATCAATCCACAACCATATCTGAGATTTCTTACCTTGCGGCTTTGCTGTGGCTTGTAAAATAGCAGAAGAATCTGTTTGGTCGAAAATGTTTGGCGTCCACTAACTCGACATTTGACTCGTCACTGTTCCCGACAGGATGCCAAGATAAAGTTGTAATTGAGATCCTGTGTGCAAGTTTTTCTACGTCGAGCTGAAAGATAAACAATCCTTTAGTTTAGTTTAGGCTTTATTCTGCAGTATATGTAACTGAGAACTCTTTGTAACATCTCACCGTCTTTGCTTAATCTTACTCCGGAAATTTTTACCTTTAAGGAATGTTCAGTCGTTTCCAATGGCAGCGGGTCTTGATAGCTATGATCGTCCACGTTTATACGATAACTTAATGGTTCCGAGAATTCATCAAATTCTGGCGTTTTCCAGCTCAATACAACAGGAACAAACCCTGTTAATTTATTAACAACTCTGACAAGCTCATGAAGACGTGTTTCAATTTGGTACAACTTGACGTTCATATCTTGCATCTTTTGAAAACGGAAAATAAGTTGTTTAGAAGAAGATACGGCATCTTGTGAAAAGTACAATGTTATTACGTACCTCTTCATTCTTTAGTTGAGCTCCCATCACAATATCAGAGGTCTGTGTTAACATTTTGTGTCGGTTAATCCTAGTAAAAACATATAAATCAAGGTATTACTTGATAGTTTTTTTGTTCTAAAATCTAAACCGTCTTCCTTATCATCATCATCTAGGCCTATTGCGCCAATGTGGCTTTCTTATGGACCAACTATATTCATTAACTACATATTGGAAGACGTCTGATTTGAATGCAACTGAAAGTACTCATATGGTGAATTCATAACCAGAAATAGTAAACCTACTTGTCTTGTATATCCAACAATTTTGCTATCTCCTTATTAGCCTCCGCTCGTTCCAGTCCCCCATACACGTTTACTGCAATCTCAGGTGCCACTGGCCTGATCGTAGCGCGGACACGAACGGGTAGAGTGATCACCGGTGGACAACCCTCTGGTAAAATCTCCGCACGGAGAATAGCCCAATATCTTTTCTCTGGTTCCACTTTGACAAATGATACTGTTTCGTCAGGTTTATGTATTTTAACGACTGCATGTCTGTGGCCAAATATTTTGTCTGGATCAGGTTTCTCCTGGTCGTTGTACATCTCGTACGTACTAGCTTCTTTGAAATAAACCTGTTTATATAATCATAGTTTAGGAAATTCTTATATTGGATACTTGTATTAGTTATAAAGGTAAGTTCCTGGTCCAGGATAAGAGAAGAAAATCGTGACAACTAGATGATGATTTTTTTTTGTTACCCTGAATTCTTTGACTTTTGCTCCTCCAATACACGTGGGTAAATTCCAACCAACTTTTACTGTGTTGATAGTCTTCGGTCTTAGTCGTTCTAGTGTCATAGGTAATGATGCAGGGCAGGCTACTTGAAGGACATTTGACCATTCACTGTTGCAGTCATGTTTGATTGAAAGAGCCTAAAATTTTGTTAGAAATCCAGCGTTAGGATCGTGTTCCACTGAGCTATTTGTATACTATTCCACACTAAATCTCAAACTATATAGTGGTCAGGTTTCATCAGTGGTAGTATTCTGTGCTGTTGTTTGCTCTGTTTTACCCACTAAACGTTGGTGTTTTTGTTGTCAACTCGGATGTTTACAACCACTGTTATAAATGCATGGAATTTAAGAAACATACTTGGATTCTGAATGTAAACTCCTCCAGTGGTCGACACTCAATGTAATCAAATGATGTCTTTGTTGAACGGATGTTTGTGTAGAACTTTCCATTCACCTGTGAAGACGAGATTTTAAAATATTCGAAATAATCTTCAGCGAAAATTCCATTTAAATCTTTTTTAACCAAAGGAAAATTAGGCATCAAATGTGATATAACAGCTGGCGATAAAAGACAAAAGCCTAAAACGTCAAGACGTTTTTTAGACTTTTGTGTATTTTAGGCAGTTGTTCACATTTCATGCGAAGTTGTTAGAAGAAGCTGTCACATTGGTCGTTGATTTATATTGGAAAGATAATTAACCTTAAGATGATATTCACTGATGAACCCGTCACCATATTCTGCTGGTCGATTCCATTCAATAGTTATCATATCTGGACTGGACTTTCTATATATAAAATATGGTTATTTATTAACTTCGTTAAGTCGACTGCTTTAGATTTAGCAAAAACGGTTTGTTAAAGTTATTATGAGGAAATATATAGGAAGTAGGTACTGCATGGTGCTCATTCCGTATGACAAGAATTTTAAAAGTAACTGCATGACCGTGCAGATAACATGCAAACATCAATAAATAACAAATTAATAGATTTCATACTTAAGTTTCAATATTGGTCGATCAATTGGTGCAGAACTTTGTACGGTCAGCTGTTTTGATCTCTGGATAACTTTACCATAAACATCTATCGCTGAGACAATGAAGAAGTTATTTGTTCCTGGCGTACAATCACGTAATGTATATTGACGCTGGTTTGAAGCAAGCTTTATGTTGTTGAACTAAATAAAAATTACCAGGTCTGTTAGACGACGGTGTAAATATTGAACCACAGTATTTATATTCAGCATTCAAAGTATTGTACTTACATCGGGATTTGTTACACTGCTATGTTCCAACAAGAAATGATCAATTGGCATCCACGCTATAGGAATTATAGCAATCAAATTTACATCTTATACGTGTTACTATACATTGAGCTAAATGTTGTTTTGTGTGTTTCAGCAACAGCTGTTCAGGACTTGTTGTTCAAGGGATATGTAGGCTCGACGGTGGATGAGTAAAATTATCCAGCAAGTTCATACAATCATCAAGCAACTAAATTTAACTTGACATGAACAGTCGTGTCTGTAGCTGCAAATTTAAGTTCAGTCATTTACAAGATGAATTATCCTTAACTGTCTTGTGTTATTGTATCGCTATAGTCAATGCTTGCCTTTTTAATCCTAGTCTATTAGTCTATATACATTCATATCACACTTGTATAATTTTATACACTTCGTCTCAGTGATAAAGTCTTAAGTTAAATAAAACTAATAATTTAAATTTTAAACTATTTGAATGACTCTTCTTACAGCATCATGTTTGGGCTTCGTATTTATAGTAAAAATACGCATTGAAACAACCAGAAACTTTGAATAAATTGAAATTCACCGAGCATTTTCCCAGTTAGCTTAATCCAAGTACTACTACTATATACTCACACAAAGCAGGGCAGTATGTCCACTCTACTGTGATTGCGTCATTTGACCTTGATGTTAAATTTAGATACAAGCCTTCTTCATGAACTTTTCTCATGGGATCTTTCGAAGGATCCATCGATATTAGAGCTTCATTTCTTTCAATGACAACTGAGCCATGTCTCACATCACGTGTTGATTCAAGTCGTCTAATACCTTGACCTCGTGATGTTGCTACATTACGAGGACTGTGTGGAGTGTAACCACCTGAATTCTGTTGTGTTGTAGAATAGAAACCATTTGACAAAATAAACTCACTGACACACTGTGTTCGTGCATGTTTTAAAACAAAACAAATTGGCATAAACTAAACTGCATTATTTCTCCTGCAGCTTCGTATTTTCCAATCAGCTCCTGTAAGTGGGCAGGTCATTTTATTTAGACCACGTTATCCCATATCACTACCCAAGAGAAGCTTACAGAAATTTTTACATTCTAAATGCATCTCTATCCATTAACATAGTCCCAAGCTGTTTTTCCAGATTAATATTTTATTCATTAAAATGTCTTCCTTCAGGCTCTAGCTAAATATTTTTCTCAAAAGATAAAGCATTAACAACATAAGTACCCGAACTTTCGTGTTTTAAAAGCCGGATTCAAGTGAATGAAATCAAACAGGCTCAAACTAACCACATCTCTTGCTGAAACAAGATTCGTCTTTCCCGGAGTTCGAGGAGACATAACACTGTAATGTGTCAGGCCAGCTGGATTCTGTCAACAGAATTGATGAAAAGACGGCAGAGTTTAATAATAAAGGATTACTTAAAGGAAAAGAAGTAAAATTATCACGTTTTCCCGACCGTAAACTTTATATAAATAGTCTAAATCCGTTAGTGACTGATAAACCTTGTGTCTACAAAACAAATTTCTCTTCTTTTTTTCATTCATTCAAATCCTTTTTACAAACAGCAGGACGATATTTCAGCTGTATACTGTTATCATACGACTATAGAATTCATGTTAAGTTTCATTAAAATCCTTTTCATGAGCTTTTCATTGAGCATAGTAATAATTTACAGCCGTGTGTTTGTAGAATTTTATTCCTGCTATTATATACCCACTTTGGTTTCCCAACGTATTCTTTTAGGAGTAACGAATTAGATATTATCTTTTTTGACTGCATGGATACAATTATTTGTCAAATATCTTACTGAATAATAATAAAACTAAACTTACCATTTTATTAAACTGACAAAGTAAACTTTGTTAAAAGAACTTTAGAAATTCTTATCCTATCAACTTATCGTTGTTACTGGACACTTTGTTGTGTTTGCATCTTTCATTTAATGTCTTGAACATCGTTACCATAGAGAATCGTTCCACCTGTAACCACGGCTATAACCGTATTGGTTGGGGTCTTTAAATATTTACCAGCTTCTCTTGTAATTAAAACTTTCAGCAGGGGTTTACGTTGTATGAAGTTTTGACGATTATAGTTGTATTAGTTAGGGCAGAATCTCTTTATTTCTACTGAATTAAGGCGACCCCCTTTCATGATCCATTTATTCTGACCAATAATGAATCGTACATTAATGCCTGTAATTGTCAGAATTTCACACTCAGTTTTTTCTTATTAATTCTTTCGTTCCGGAAATGAGAGTAGTTTTTTAGCACATATCCATATTTTGTCGATGTGAATAGGCCGATGAAGACAATTATTTTGTGTTTTTGGACTGGATTCAGAAAGCGTTTTTAGCTAGGCTAATAGTAATGCCAAGTACTAGAAAGTGACTGGTGACACTAGCTAGGGACATTATATGACAAATATTTTTGACATTCGCTCAGAGACAAATGTCAAGATATTTTATAAATGACAGCTGGAAAAATGTTATATGAAGTTGTTATATAAACCTAAATATTTGTGATATGATGCTATTCAAGCTACAACCACTCCTGTCCACTGCCCGCGCGGTAATACTGAAGACTAGATCCTAGTCTTATTTTGGCGTTTTAGTATCGGTAAAAATTTAGAACCAACTTCAATGAGATAGCAGACTGATCTTGGCTCCCCCCTTGTTTCTCCGCCTTCTCTCCAGGGGGGGGACATCCAAATCCATCTCATTTATAGGCTCCAAGTCTGCTATCGCAGATACGCAGACTATAAATGAGATCGATTTCATGTTTTACTCTCACGATCCATGGTAAAGATGCAAAAACATCCTTCTTCAACACATACATGAAAGCGCCATTACTCAGTCTGTTATGCTTGTTGAGAATCCTGTGGGAGTATTTTTCGTCAATATTGCATATGGCATAAACTTGAGGGGGTGCCATTTTACCAATACCCATCCCCCTTGGGTGCAGCCCTGGCAAGAGGGGAAAGAAAGAGAACGACTTATCACAGCAAGAATACTAATTTACAATAATGTTACACATTTTCACTGCTAACGAGATAGATTATGCCTGGTTCATCAATCAATGTTCACCTGCAGATACCCAGAATGTCTGCATAAGTTGTCCAATGTGAAGCATTACATAAATTTATAATTTGTTTATCATGTTCCCTTATTCTGTACTTTTGATCAACCTCAATCAAATTTACATTTATCTTTCCTAATTCTTTATATTAATTTAGGCATTAAATTCCTGTCCCATCTTTATTGTAATTATAGTCTAATGAAACATCAATCATATATATCAATGAAGAGCTCAACAATCTAGGTTTTGTCCAGCATTATTTGTTAATCTTGTGAAAGTTGCCAAATGTCGCTTTGGCAGGTAGAAAACACAACAGCTGATACTGAATGTGTTAAGTAATTTGTCACAATTACTAACAATTTGCCACTCATCTGTCTTGCTGTCATACACCTCAACTGTAGTTAATGATTGTTGTTGGTTCCGGCCACCAAAGATATAAATCTTGTTTGCTAATGAGCAAACACCAGGGGCCACACGATCTGCATTGCAACGAGCAATTAATGACCACTCATCAAGCAGGCAATCATACACCTCATTAGTAGGTATTGCAAGCTGGTACATCCCACTATCTTCACTACCACCAATGACAAATATCCGATGACCAATGTTTGCTGCAGCAGCTAGTGACCTACCAGTCTTCATTGAAGCAATTGGTTTCCATTCATTAGTAATCGGACTGTATCGCTCACAGCTGCTGAGATCTTCATTAGGGTTTTTTCTTCCACCAATCGCATAAATGTGATTCATGCAACTAACAACAGCTGGTCCACTACGTTCCTCCTGTAATGACGTCACCATATCCCATTGGTTGATTCTTGGATCAAAACGCCAAACAGTTTTGAGGCGGCTAGTTGGAGTTCGACCACCAACTAGATATAGGAAACCATGCAAAGATACCAATCCAGGCCAGTAGTTGGAGGCAGGCAGGGCACTTGTTGATGTCCATACATTGGTTTGTGGGTTGTAGTATTCTGTTTGAGCAACAAGGCCAATTCCAGATCTGCCAGATGTTACATACACCTTACCATTGCATAATGCTATGGGTGTGTTCTTATGTTCCCATTGCATTGATGGCATATGATACCATGCTTGAGCACTAGGAATATAACACAGTGGCTGATTGGTGCCAGATAACAATATTACTGCTTCAACTACACGTCTTGGTTTGCGGTTAGCAGCCACTTCATCATCACAAAAACCTTTTAAATACATCACTTCTTTAAGGTGGGCAAGAGCTGTGTTCAACGAGACCTCATCAGAAAGTATCAAGTTTTCTCGAAGAATTTTATCAACAATGGTGGATTCAGGAATTTCACACAGACGCACATGTGGGAATAGCGCTGAGACGAGGTCTTCTTGTCCAGGATGGTGAGTGATCCATTGCACGATTGCATCAAAAACATATTCCTCTTTCTCAACCTCTAAATCATCACTTTTTAAGACCTTCACTAGCTGGTGAACTGTAAATTCCAGGTGTTTCCCTTCTTGTACGATAGCCGTAAAATTAGTTTGGGCAAATTGGCAAACGATGTCACTGAGTTCACTGAAGTTATACCGTTCTGCAAAGGTCAGAGTTTGAAGGAAATTTGAAGTGGTTAAAAATGATTTCATGTGACCCGTTGTAGCTTCACGAAGTCTGGCTAGACTCAAGTAATCGGCAGCAATTAAAACATTCTCACTTTGTGTCAAATCACCAAGATTTATTGTGCCAGTGTATATGTAATCTAACACACCATCTATGACACTTGGACACACAGTCGGTAATTCGATTTCTTTTGCGTTTTTCTCTCGTAAATCATGTTCAAATACGGCTGCAAAATATCCACCGGCCGAGCAGAGTACTGCTTTGTGAGCAGGAAACGTTTCTTCTCCGACCAACAAAGCAACATCACAGAATTTGCCTGTTTTCCGCTGTTGGTTTAAATAGCTTGTCACTTTGTGGCGATATTGACAAGATTCGTCGTGATTTGAGTTGCATATTTGACTAGAACACTCTTCTTGTCCTTCAGAGTCGATCATTTTGATCACTGTCTTTCAATGCAGCCATAAAAACACGATATTTTTATAGAAATGTATTGAAAGAGATGATTTGAAAAAATATAAACAAAGACTGTTTTTGTAAACAAATAACGAATTTTTTAAATTTTAAATTTAATTTGTATTTTGTAGTCATCCCCAGTTTCCCTGGTTGCGCGCTGGCGGAATATATATTAGTCGTTCAGAAGCTCTGATTTTGGATTTTGCTTCTGACTTTTGATAAAACGTTTCATGAACAGAGAGATACGTAAAAATTCAAGAATATCGTAATGTAAATACAAGTGATGATTTAACAAATCTCAACCTCGTGTAGGGTATTTAGTTACGGACGTTGTGCACGGGATCTAATTCCTGCTACAATGTAGCCAACTCAGCAGTTCTATTCTCGGTTTCAGTGAGTGACGTAACCAGTGGGGGTAACTAGATTGCTAGAACGATAATTAGGTGGGGAGGTGAGGTGGGGGCATATTCATATATCCAGTTCTGCCCGACGGATTTCTTTGGAAAGAGATATCCCGGCTAGGCGAGGTGAAAACTGCATATAATGAAAGACTAATCAATCAAGGACTAATTTGATGTGATGCGCTTTTACCTCGCCTAGCCGGGATAACTCTCTCCATGTAAACAGGTCCTAAGAATCCTAAACGTTTTCTGATTCGAAATTATAAATCAAATCAGTTCTCAGAATTCCGAAAATATGTCATTTCAGACACATTGATTCAAAGCATTCACATGCGATATTTCCCCCGGGCCCGGACACAACGATACCTTATTGTCCTATCAAAATAACTTTTTGCTCTCCGATACGTGTACCGATAAACTTCGTCGAGATGAGCCGTGCAAACTGCCTTTTTATTCCATAGTGTTGACTCGACCTTTACACCTTCATGTCCAGTCAATGATTTTAAACAGTCCTGGTTACATCGAATCAATCTTATCATTTTCAATTAATCATGCGTCATTTATCGCAGTTGTTTAAAACCTTTCTATGTTAATAAACTGACTATCCTCATTAAATGATTTATACAATGAATTACTTAGTGTGGTCCAATTTTGTAGGCTAGCTGAAGATGTTTTATTTCACTCTGCTTGTCAAATCTGGTTGGTATGGTTGTCTTTCAGTCACGCGAGTATTCGAACATCTAAAAAATAGTGGTAATTACCAATTAATTTTTGTTACACTTTGAAGTCTTTTTAAAGCCTTATGTCAAAATGTGATTACCAGGCCCTCAGGCCCTGATAAAACTTAAAACAAATACACGACAAGTCATAATTAATACTACCTTATAAAATTGCTTCTTTGATTCCTTCTGGTTATACTGTTCACTGACAGAAGATCCATCATACTGACTTATACTACTAATGTCCGAGGATGATGGTGATAGAGGAGCCTGGTAATGGAAAGGTTGTCCAGTCACGTGACCTCTTGAAGTATCAACATTGATTGTACCTTGAAAAGCTTGACCACGGATACTTTTGACTTTCCACGTCTCTACTTCCGGCTCCTGTCTTGCTCGATGTCTGGCGCGATATGTGTCTTGATCGTGGTACCTATCTCGCGCAGTCCTGGAATCTACTTCTGTGGCTTCTAATCTCGCAAGGCCTTCTGGAGCACAATCTCTAAGATGGACTGTGTATTCGGCAGAATCTCTATAATCAGCACTATTACTACTGGTAGTCACTCCACCCCGTCGATCTAGTCCGTCCAGTCTTACAACAATCCCACCACTTCTGATATCACTAGTATCCAATACATCAACCGATTTTGATCTATTCCTGTCATTAACTCCACGGTAGCTGACACCTTGATATTCCAGCTCACTCAGACCATGTTGCCGCCTGTCGTGTGCTAGCCTTTGATTGACTTGATCAAGAGTTTCCACTCGCCAAGTTCCGTCAGTCATGTCTGGAGTTACCTCAAGTTGTACAACTGGCGGAGGAGCGAGGGGAGTTTGTGACACCTCTACATCATAACGTCCAAGGTATTCCCCTCTTCCACTTGTAGTTGCAGATGATCTATATTCTTCTCTTTCATATCTAGATGACGCCGTTCTTTGTTCTTCCACTCGTTCACGTGATGTATCACGCACCCTACCAGCAGCCCTCGCGCCATCAACTCTGTCACGTGATTCCGAGGACATCATCTCTTCTCGTCGGCTGGAACTCAAGCCGCTTGTCGTAGCTATACGAGTTTGATCATCCCAGGATTGCATACCCTCGTTGGTTCTTGCCTCGGATATATCAGTCCCGTCACGTCGAGAAAAGTACACTGCACCAGGCCCAGCATCTGCACGACCATTTTCTCCGTCTAGGTGTATCGCAACAGTCTGTGTTTCAGTTTCCGGCTGTGCTAACCCACCATCTGTCTGTGTGGCTCCGGTGGCATACTGCACCCGAGGTCTGGGAGGAGCGTCTATTTCATCACCAGTGAGTTCGGTCATCATAGCTCCGTCTGTTTTCTTTTTACGTTTCCTAAATACATTTTGGTTTCTAGTTGTGAGCCATAGACATGCAGTTAACGATGATTGTCAGTTATCAGTCTCCTAACATTGTTAACTAGATTTTTATTCTTTCTAAGATATTTTGTTGGTATCAAAGTTGCAATGTTTAGAGCTCTAATCATTAATTTCAATATCAATTTCTTCCATTATTTCTTCCTATAATCCTATCCATTTCTTTACTTACTTTACGCAAGGACAACAGCCACAGCAAGCACAACATGGGCAATAACGACAACAGAGGTACAATAATCCGAGCAACAGAAGCAGAAGAAGCAAGCCAAGTAAAATCCACAGAATGATCCCTAGATAATATCGTCAGATCACAACATCATGAAGATCATTCACTCATGTCATTACACGAAGAAGTGAGTAAGAAGCATGTAAGAAGCATGTAAGAGGCATGTAAGAAGCATGTAAGAAGCATGTAAGAAGCATGTAAGAAGCATGTAAGAAGCATGACTGTACGTAATGTAATGTATGACATGCATTGTAGAAGATAACTAAGAATAACTTACAGAAAGCTTCGTCCACTTCCTCTTCCTTGTCAGCAGCGACTGGACCGCCAAAAATCGGTGAAACTAAAATACAAAGATGAGTTAACATGCGTTAACATCCAGAGAAATGGTATCATCTATTATCAGCAGACAACAGAACGTGTCAGTTGCCCTTGCTGGAGGATGTCGATATATCTCTTCTGAATGAGTAGAACCAGGCTAGTTAAAAACAGCAATCATGACTCGATCATATAGCTACAATGATGAATTACCTCTACAGCCAGAGGCAGAGACACGCAAGCATATTTCTTCGTGCCAATCTAAGGGATAAAATCTGATAAAGCGTGCACTTGGCGGGTCAGCCAGGATGTAAGTCTTCACCATTGAACCATTCTTATTTCCATCATAGATCTAAAAATTACAGACAAATCAAGTTATTGAAATTCTTATCGACTATTTTTATTTGATTTATTACGACTAAACTTACATTAAACCTTTCAGTGGTGCCAGACTCGTTGTAATTTATTAACGTAAACCTTAACTTACTCTAACAGAATTATTTTCCCTGTAGTCTTCCCACAGGGATCCGTCTGATCTTCGAAAATCCAGGAAAAATTCCTTCACCCAGGCAGACTTATTTCCCCTTTCTAAACCCTGTGTCTTTATTTCTTTGACTTGTGTCTCACCGCCTGTGGAAGAGAGCTCAAATACAGAAATCTAATTTGTAACATTTTCCGAGATAAACCCGGAGCTTACCAAAGTCAATCTCTAGATATTGATTCTGATCATTTACACTGGCACACCAGGCACTGAGACCATTCAATCTTGCTCGATATGCCTCGAAACCAGGTTTATATGTGGACGCCAAGAACGCAGTATCGTTGATCGAACGATTTTCGTCAATAATGCCCAGTTCCCCACATTCTAAAGAAAGATTTGTATGATTGAACAGACATCCCAAAGCGAACAAAAAGACCTTAAAAATATGAAGTTATATTTCCTCACCTCTTGTGCATAGATTTCGCCGGCAAGCTTCAGTTTCGTTTCGTGTTCCTTTGCAACCTTCGCTTCGGTTTTCACATGTTCTTGTGCGTGATCGTGAACAACTGGTAGGTGTTTGTGGCGTGGAGAAACATGAACCCCATTGACTCCAGTTTGTAAAACCATCATCTTAAAGAAATGAACAATTCTGTCAATTATCATCCGATTCTGAGGCCTAAAGTTTGACGCCATTCTCAGATATCTGCTTTTATCAGCGCTTGTTTCTCTACCTGATTGACAGCCATATATGTCAATCCTCGTACAAAGTGCGCCTACGGATTCTTGCGGTCGGAAACGGACGTATTGTGCTCGGAATGAGATTGAAAGGTTAGTTTCTGCGACGTCAGAACCTGATGATAAGCCTGGAAACGCCCCAAAAAACTCCTTCGCAGAACACTGGAAAAAAATTAAATTTGATTTCTTTTTATTTCAAAATGCCAGGATATTGTTTGTTTGCCAGTTTGCGATAGATGATGGTGTCTCCATCAGTAAAACATAATTACTGACAAAGAGGGCTCCACAGTAGAAAGCATACCTAAAGACCCCACATCCGTCTGTTGTGACGCTGACGGTTGATCAGAGGATAATATGATTGTCTGATGAAAAACAGAATCAACTTACTTGGGGTTTGAGTCCATTTTTAATGTTGCTAAAAACTATTCCATCCTTGCTGTGATCAACCTCATAAGAAGTGACATAATTCTCTGTTCCTTCTTCACCCTGGACTGCAAGTCTTGTTATGTTAGTTACGCTGCCTGTTGGAAGAATGTCTTCGTGAAAATAAGGAATTTGGACTTTATTCGCAATGTTAACACGCTGTGAACATTATACATACCTAGGTTTACTGTAAGTGAATGATTTTTGACTGGTATGCACCAAGCTGTTGTTGCATTGATTATTGGGATAGCAGTAAGATTGTAGCTAGCTTTAAACAGTGATAATGAGGGATTGACGAGGTTATTGCGAAATATCCATCCGCACTTGGTAACTCCTGCAGGTGAAGAAAAAGCTTATTGTAGTATAGAAATTAACTCAAGGAATTGAACGTCCTATCATTTGTTCACAGATGAAGGTATAACGAGTGAACTATAGATATTATTAAATAATTAATTCAAGTAAGTTATTTGATATTGACTTTAACACTTGAGAATTGTTTCCGCTAATACTTCACACCTTTATTCTGATGAAAGATTAATTGCCCCTGATTTTTAATCGTTAACAATATTGTACATTGAACATAATAATCAATTTGGGGGGATTAGAGCAATTTTTGCGGGCTGTAAGAGTCAGTAAGACCTTCTCATTTCAATCTTCACCTGTATTTTAACTTGTTTTCACGTCTCAAGCTCCGAGAATTTCAGACCTGGCCAACCTTCGGGGAATAGTTGTTGAATATTAAGAATGTGGTGTGTTTAATTAAGGTGGCTTTGTATGAAATTCAAAGTGAGTTACTTTGGTCACTATCTTTGGTATTGAAGTAAATTTGCATTGAAGAAGATTGCGTTAGAATAAGAGCAAGTCATTCGTTGTTAAAAAATCGACAAATATGAGCTGTAACGAGACGACGAGACAGTTTGTGAGTTTAGTCGATGTTATTTCATCTTCTTTAAAACCTGTAGTCATTCGTAATTTAGTTTTCTAGATGATTGACGCGGATAATTTATCAATAAGTTATCCGTGTGTATTGAAGTACTTTATATTCATTCAGGATAACTTTTAGACAATTGAACATTCCAATAAGATTTTAAAAAATGGCGAATGATTTTTGATTTAATTTATCTCGTATAAATACAAAATAAAATGTTTAACTCGATTGATTTTACAACCACCAGCGTAGTTCCCAGGAACTGCAAAGATCTAATGTAAGCAACGCATTTTCTTTTTTATCAAAATCTATACATATATATAAGCATGGATAACTAAATTAAAATCTTATAATATTTTACCTTGACTGAGATCAATTGATATGAACAACAAAAATAGACACAATAGTTCCTGTTTCTTCATCGCTGAAGAAATAATTTTGCTTTCTCGCTGTCTCATCATCCAGATCCTCACAACCCAGGTGTCGGTAAGAGAATGACCCTAAATCCATCGTTATCATCTGTAACCGTACATTTTTTTAGTAAGGAAACGTCCCTTGTTTCCGAAGACAAAAGGCATGAGATTGATCTAGTGTAAAACAATACTGATATCGGTAATTTTCCTATAGTAATCAATAAAATACCTTCATTCAGACCATCTAATGTTGTTTAATACGGTCATATCAACGATATTTAACACTATTGTCGGTATAGATCCGTGAGAAATCGGTGAACAGACAGGAAAATAGATTTTCTTTAACTTTACCACGGTTAGGTTTCAGTATAGTGCTAGAATAACTCACATTTTTAATTTTAAACACTGCATATTCCGTATCGCTACCATATATAGGACTAAGCTCACTCATAGGTCTGTACGGAAAATACATAACGTGCAGTGTAAGCGACAACAAATTAACTAAAAAAGCACAATCAAGTTTATACTAAGAATAACATTTATTGCATAGTATCTGAATTTGGAGCAATGCATTTTGAAAGAGTTTTTACATCTTTCGTTGTATTTTTGAATTTTCATTATACCCTATATACCTTGCAGGAAATATTTGCAAAGGTCTGATTAGTTTGAAAAAAAGTCGCGGTGGCTGCTACCCGGGGTCCGCAGTCCTATATCTATAAAAACTTTATGCTCTTCACTCTTGCCCGCGCAGGTTTAGCAAAAAACCTGGTCTGACTTATAGGGTTCATAGCCATGCAGAGAAATGCCGGCAGAGAACGCGGAAAGCAGATGAAAGTGGAGCTATGTTATTTTGAAATATCTTGTGTTTCCCGGCTAAGCTAAGGCTAAACTCTGGACAGCATGTCGACTTGCCTTACGAACAACAAAATCATACAACATCGCTTTTATAATTCAAATTACTTTAATTATTTTCTCTGGCACAAGTGTTGACACAGTCGTTTAATTTTTCAAAGTTATTTCCATTGCCTTCACATCCTCCGTAAGTAAATCCTTCGCATGTTTTTGAGATTTTGTCGTAGTAAAATCTTGGAAAATCACCATAGCATGGCCCACTATCTTTTTCCAAAGTACACACGTCATTTTTATTTTTCGCTTCCACTTCTGTCAAGACTGTCATTACTAAATAAAAAATTGTTTTATGGAATCATCGTCCTAAAATTATTACAAAGCTCCTATCTCTTAATCAATGTTATGAATAAACGTACTATAAAATATAACTGTAACAACGATACCAATCTTTAAAAAGAGGTTTGGAAACGCCATTGTCTTTAGCCTCAATTTATTCGTTCAATACTGAGACAGGATTTGTCCAGGCTGTGCAGCTTCCCAGCTAAATCAATGACGCCAGCCATCTGAGTAAACCACTGGAGTAAACAAAGATAAAATGAGGTCATTGTGACTGTGGTATTTCTGTTATTTTGAATGTCGGTGGTGATCTCGGCGTTATTGGGGTACTCGACTAGGGTAATAGAACGGGACGGTGATACGGGTACACGGCGCGCGACCTGGGTAGTAACATAGTATCACTACTGTATAGCCATATATAGTTCGTATCTAGCTCAATGCAAAATTGGCTCGTCTGAACATGCTAATCACAATGCCTTGGCCTTCTTGAATACTACGTCTGGAATAGGTAGTGTTCGGTCTTGGGCACCGTTCCCCATGTCATTTGGAAAGGCCGTGTGTAATCCATGGCGCAAGGGAAGGTGACGGATACGGCACTCACGGAACGCAGTCCTACCTTTTCGCGGATTACAGATTTGATTTGCGTCGATGTTCTTTCCAGTTCCTGCGCGGTTAAATTCAAAATGGCGGATCACTGGAGTGGAAACTGAATTTAGTCGAGTTTAGCTGCTAGTCTGCTGTTTCTGAAAATGAAAAGGGATTTAGGAAAGTACTGAGCCATCAAATTCAGATATGTAAAGGCTAAGAGGTGAAATCGCAAGATTAAGCTTCTAGTAATCTTTCAAAATGTACAAATAAAATATCTCGTTTGTGATGGAAATAAACATCTCTGAAAGTTCTGTAACTTCTTTAGTGGATAAACTAACAAAGAAAATATTCTCAGAGGACAACAGTATTCAAAATGACAGTCCTTTTAAGATTCATTTCAACAGGAAAGTCTGTAAACGACTTAGAGAAATTGTGTTTAAAAGCTTGTTATCAAGACAAAGTGAAGAAACTGGGCAGGATTTCAATGTACGAGAAAGATTGTCCATTGTCAGCTTTAAATTAAAAGCATATGGTTTAGAGAGCAAAGCAAATCACTTGGAGAGATTGGTTTCAAGTCTTGGTTAGTAATTAAATTTAATTGAATTTTAAGTTCCATTCAAGTTTCATTTTATAGAGACTTAGGGAAGTAGAGCAGTCAATGAGAAGTTACTTTAAAAATGTTAATCAATAAAACATTCTCATGCGTTTACCATGTCTTCAACTGTAATTTAGATTTTACTGAAAAACAGTCGACAGTTTATACAGGATGCTTTGATGCAATTTATGAGATTGAAGCAATCATAAAGATTTTGCTGGATCTTTCAACTGAAGCAGAAATGTTAACTCGCAATCCATGTGAAGTTTGGAGAAAAGTTGATTCTTGCTACCAGGTGAAATCATTGACATTGAAGTTAATCAACTAGTATGAATTATGCATCTATTCTTTGCATTAAGTAGCAACCTGATTTCGTAATTAATAATGCTGTCAGTTTGGCCGCAGAGTCATTCTTGTCCCCTGTAGGAGTTCTAGTAAATTTTAATCAGCTGCTTTTGAAGTGTTTTCATAACAGTTAAAGAAGTTGCTATTAGGTTGATAGTGCTATGTATGCAACCTTTGTACAATTATTTCCAGGGGCCGGTTGTTCAAAAGGTGTTTAGCTTAAACGGTGGTTATCAAAAATTTGAAAATACTCTTGTACGCTGTGAATGCCTGAACCTGTATTTTATGCATTAAATATGTACTTTCATTGAAAATTAAGCTATTTACATCGAAATATATAGCTCATTTGTCCAATAAATTTTCCATTTTGAGCTTATCCGCTGTTTGAGCTAAACGCTAGGCGTTTAGGTTTAGGATAACTTTACTAAAAGTTATAATACTCTACCTCATCTAGAGATCTGCACAAAGTATATCACTTGACAGTGGAACTGGTGAAAATGAAGTCAACATAGATTATCGATATTTTCCAAAACATATTTTTGAAGCATTGCCAACATTTGGTGTACCAAAGCAAGGTTTTGAAAGTAATGACAGTATACAAGTTGATGTAAGCTCAAAATGTTCTTGCAATATTTGAATTTCTAAAACTTAGGTCATCTCAAACACAATTTTTTATAGATTTTTAACCAAGAGCCAGGGTCTTGTGGTCTGACTAAATGGTTTGGTGCCAAGGTTTGTATTAAACAATAGAGATCCAATATATATGTACATAAGTTAGATCATTACAAAAAGTTGCAGGGACCGCTGAGCTTGGGACCTTAATTAGCCCCTTTAATTTGGGATCAAATTGTTAATTATAGCCAGTCTAAAAGATAATCTAAAAGTGCAACACAATCCCTGCATGTATGTAATAATTTTTTGGAGGTCTTTGATTTTCATCTTAAAAGTCAAATCATTATTCCTAGGAAAGATCAGGTGCACCTTTGACTAAAAACTCTCTAGTCTCTTTAGCCTTTGATCCAGCCCTTGAGCTCTAAATTTAACTAAATATCTATGTATTTCCACCTCATTTGTATTTCATAGACAAAGGATTCATTTAATGAAAGAACTAGAAGTACTTTGTATAGTGCATTAATCCACAGCAAAACATCAGATATGAAGGTGACGTTGGAACTACCAGAGTTATCAACTCAGCAAGATTTTAGGTAGAACATTGCAAAAAATGGAAACCAATTATTTCTTCACTGTTATTTAAAGATATTTTGATGTCATTACTTCAATTTGTTGTAGGTTGAAACCTCTATTAAAAAGTCAGGTAAGTTACTGAAGACTGAACTAAAGATTGTGAAGTCTAAACTGAAGCACATCTTAATAATAAGTCTCTCATTGTAATCAAGGTAACAGAAGATGAAGGTTTTGAGGATGCTTCAGATGAATTATCAACCAGCTCTGCTTTAAGTGATGACTCTGGTATTTGTGGTTTGGAGATCTGGGATGAAGCACTTAAGTTAAAGTCTCCTCGGTTTTATACTTGGGAAGGAAGAAAACAAATGTATGTTCTGTGTGTTTGTATAAAATTTGTCTAGTGTTGCTTCTATCTTTGCCATTGTATCTTGTTAACGATCCAGGAATGACATTGTATAATACTGGCACCTTAGTGGTGTTACTGCTATCTTTTCCAGTTCATTTCATCTTGTTTTCTGGGAAAGACATCTCTTCCTGCTTCCTTTCTTTCTTTCTAAGCTGGGACAATTATTATCATAATGTGATTTTCCAGTACTCCTAAAGGATGCAAGCATTTTGTTACTGAAGCTGGTCCAGAGGTCATCAATTATTTATGTGATATGAGAATAGCAGAGGCCTCGTTTCTTATTAACTCTCATCCGGAGCAACTGAGATATCTGAAGATGACTGAATTCATCAGAGATTGTCTGTTAGTAATCATTGGAGTTCCATCACAAACATTTCACCTTGAAAAGGTTAGATATTTCAACCATCATTGTTACCTCTCAGTACACTGTACACCATACACGTACTGTACACCATACACGTACTGTACACCATACACGTACTGTACACCATACACGTACTGTACATCATACACGTACTGTACACCATACACGTACTGTACACCATACATGTACTGTACACCATACACGTACTGTACACCATGCACGTACTGTACACCATACACGTACTGTACACCATACACGTACTGTACACCATGCACGTACTGTACACCATACACGTACTGTACACCATACACGTACTGTACACCATACACGTACTGTACACCATACACGTACTGTACACATACACGTACTGTACACCATACACGTACTGTACACCATACACGTACTGTACACCATACACGTACTGTACACCATACACGTACTGTACACCATACACGTACTGTACACCATACACGTACTGTACACCATACACGTACTGTACACCATACACGTACTGTACACCATACACGTACTGTACACCATACACGTACTGTACACCATACACGTACTGTACACCATGCATACACGTACTGTAGCTATGTAATTTTCTTGTTCAACTATCGTTGGTCATTTTTTTAAAGAGAATCCCCTGACAGTTGTGTTTATGCTATATTTCTAATATCTCATCTCTACTATGTTACATATTTTATTGGCTTCCTTCCAGAGTACTGCATCATTCCATGTGTCAACAGAAGTACGACTCTCTGGTTGTTCGCCTGACTCGTTACAGAAAACATTGACTCAGATTGCAGAGATTGGAACAAATTATTTCCGCCTCAACAAGTTTACAACATGTCAAAGACATTCAAATCTCATAAGAAGTAGCGTGTTAAGAGCGTTTATATCTGGTCTCAGAACCTTCATACAGAAATATAGACAATCTGTTGTAACTGTCAAAGGTATGATATTCAGTCTTCTGCATGGATAAGATTACATAACTGTACGTGTTTAATTGCTTTCTCTCGTGTTTTTTAGCTTCAAGCGTTCAAAGTATTTTAGAATTAAGTACGAAGTTCAGAAAACAAGCATATGAGTTGAAGTAGGTCCCGATGATTCTTTCATTACAATATGCGTTGTGTTAAAAATTTGTTAAATTAATTCCACTTCTACAACATTGTACGATGTTTAACGCCCACAAGGATTTTTCTTCCCCGCGAGTCCCTAAACGACTTTTTATAATTTCTGTTTTTAGGTTTCTTTCTGATATATGTATGTGCTCAGAAGGTTTTGCCGCAGAATACGGTAAACCAAAGCCAAAGTTTCCTGTGGTAAGTGAAAACCATTTTAAAACTAGTTAACTTCTCTATTCCAACCTGAACGCGATGTTTCACCTGCATCAGTCCTCGATGATAACCCGCTGCCCGCTCTGGGATATTCCACATGTTTCTTCCTAACATGCTGCAGGTCTTCATAGGAGGATAGAATTGACAATAGAAAAAACGTAAATAGTTTTAAAAAGTAACAACTAATATTAATCACTAGTATTAACTCCCTCTCTCTCTATGGTAGCAGCCATGTTGAAGAATCTCTTCCACTTTGTGAAATCCCTGGTTACGTTAAAAACATTCCTTATGGATATTCTGTATTGCGCATTATGAGTGTATTCAAAAAATAAAAATGAAACCTAACCGAAGACATTTGATTTTAGGGAGCAAAGTTACTGACCTATCTCTATGAATTATGTTTACGAAATATGAATTCACCTGTTTCCAGTTTGATCCTATATTTATTGAAAGTCGCTTGTACTCCATATTTAAGGTAATTATATAAACTAATTTCTAAACTTCATTTATTGAATTTTTGTCACATCTTGTTTTTCTGTGCACCAGGTTTATTCAGCAATGGGTATTCAAAGGAAAATGTGTTGATTTTTACAAAGAATTTATGATATTTGAAAACGATGTTTACTTGGCACATAGAGGTACGTGCAGTTCAGTTCAATTCACACAGGATTAATTCACACGCGGGTTGACAACAAAGTCTGTAGTCAAATTAATGTCACGTGTAAATCACAAACACACGTTACTAGACAAATAAACAGGAAGTGATAAAAGTTTAAATAGTAAGAATACTGTGAGGTGTTTTTCTATACCTTGGACAAGCAATACTTGACAAATAACTACAGTACATGTAATTTTAAGGACTGATAGTTGAAATAATGACAATACTGTGATGACTGCGTGTTTTTCTTTAGACAAACATTACTGGACAAATGGTTATGTAATGTCGGGGACTGATAAAATGGAAGGTGTCCCAGTTTTCCTCAAAGAACTTTCTAAAGACATGTTTATTTGTGGAAAGTCAATTAACTTGCTAAAGCTTTGTTGTCCCGAGGTATTGTGCAAGTCGTAGTAGCTACTTGTCCTTTCCACTTTTGCCAAGACATTGTGCAAGGGTAAAAAATGTATATTTTTTAAATTTCACAGCATCATATATGCAACCCAACAGTAGAGATACCAGTTATGAAGGTCACATACTCTCTTAGTTCCTTGCATCACATTTCTGACTGCAGCCGAGAGTATGCAGAAAAGATGCGTAAACTACAACAAAATATTAAATTTGAATGGTTAAGAAAGGTACGTATAGGGTGTGTTGGTGATTTCTCATGCAGTAATGAACAGCAGGTGATATATGAGGATATATTTCTTTAGAAAAATGAGGAGATAAACAAACAAGAGGAACTGGTAGCGAGGGAACGTCAAAAAGCTAACAAAGAATTGGCTGAAATTCAAGGTAATATTCACATAATTTTGTAGTGCGCAGTATTCAAGGTTATAAATGTAAATATGACATCTTGCAGAACTGGTAGAAAAGGCGAAGAAAGCTCTTGCTGAAAAAAGAAAAGAGGAGTTAAACTTTCTTAAACAGCAGATGGAAGACGCGATAAATGTAAGTTGGTGATAAATAGTCATTTCTTTAGCGATATGTTTGCAGCAATTCAAAACTTTTCTTGTTCTTTAGAGAAAAGAATTTGAAAGGAAAGAAGCGGCCGAGGAAGATAAACGAATAGCAAGAACATCGTTGAAATATGAAGTGACCACAGCTAAGATAGATGACGAAATAGCCGAACAAGCAAGGTCTTAATTTTGTTAACTATGGTTTAGGATGATTTATCTCATGAAGCACATCCATACGTGCGAAACATCGACAGTTTGACTTTTACACAAACAGATCAGAGTGACCATGCAATATTCAATAGCATCTTTCACACTTGCATGATCTAACCATGATTAACTCCCAGTGGTATCTTTTTAAAGTAAACCAGCGAATTGTGCAGCAAGGTTTATTGTAGATCTCACTTAAAATCGATCATATCTATTTGATGATTGAACTAACGTTGTTAGTACTGGTTACCTGGTCTTGTGAAAGACTTTAAACATTTTGATGATAATTTTTAGGCAAGAATTAATTCAATACTACGAAGAATTATCGAGAGAGGCAGAACTTCGTGAGAAGCATGCAATGTGGTTAGTCAATCGTCACGCATTAAAGAATAAACGAGACACGTTCTTGGAACACGAGAACGACAAGTTAAACGAAATGAAAGAAGGAATATCAAAAAAACGGGATAAGGACAACGGACAAGCAAGTGAAGTTGTTAGAAATGAGAGAACGGCAAATATGTCCACTGCGCAAGATTTAATATACAATCAAGATAACTTGGTAGAGTCACAGCCAAAAAACACCAGAATAGGTCAAGCAATGAGATCTACAGCACAAGAAATAATCTACCCAGATGTGGCTACCACAGATGTGGCTGATGACATCAAGAAAGTTGCTGTAAAAGCAAGTGACTCTACTATACAAGACCTCATGTACCCTCCCCCCAGAGTCACAACACAAAATGTTGTTCTAGATAATGCTGACATAACTATCCGGCAACCATCGACAAACACTGGTGTTGATGGTTCCAAGACAATACCTCCAGCCATGGATTCTAGCGTACAAAATCTGATATACCATTCGGAGGAACACGGGCGCACTGCAACACACTCTGGATCTCTATCTGTTAGAGTCAAAGGTATCAAGACAGTTACTCGGGCTATGAGTTCTACAGTACAGAATTTAATATACAGTCCGTCTGAACAAGAGGCGATGGTACCAAGTACCAGTTCTGTTGACTTAGCTAAGCCACAAGCCACAGATTCAACAGCACAGAACCTAATGTATAACTCGTCCAATGAAACAGCAGTACAGCATACGAGCTCCCGTGGTTTTGGTAATGCATTTCAATCCACCATTCAACAATTCATGTATGGTGATGGTGACGCCGTTGATGGTACCAGAACAATTGCAACTTCTCGCGGATATGATCAACCAAGTGTAATGAAAGATATCCTCTATCCTGATGCTGTTAGCCTAGACACCAACCAGGTGGTACCTAGATCTACCAGAGGCAGCGCACCACCAAGTACCATTCAGAATCTGATGTATCGTTCTTCAAGTGTTATTGAAGGTACTGTAGTATACCATCTTAGGTGGTATACCATGGTAATCGGAATGATATTTGTGGTGATGGTGGTAACCTGACTGTGGCGGTAACTCTGTTATTTTATAATTTTTTCTAGAACCAGAGCAACCTAAGAAACCACCGCTGACTCATGAAGACGTTTGGCTTGCCACACAGTTCGAATCATTGCCGGATAACTTTGACATCTTAGGTTAGTTAGACTGAAAATAAAACCAGTATTTAGTAGCATTTGTTAACCTCAAGTTCAGGCCGAGCACAGGATATTTTTTAATCTAGAAACATCACGTTTCATTTTCTTTCATTTATAGACAATGAACCTTTCGGGGATATTTTTGCACGTGTCATTTCTGATCAGCCTGAAATACTGAATGGAGAGGAATTCGATAGTGATGATGATGTTGATGAGAATGACGCCTGTAATGTTTTGTGTCTTCCGGTTATTTTAAAAAGATGTGTTAAGGAACCACTTACAACCCAGTGAGTGAAACTGATTATATTTAAACTGTTGCATAAGACAGCAGTCACAGCACTCTTCACCTGTGATCCTTGTCTAACAAGATTTCTTTGTTAACAGAATCGAGATGGTAAACTCTGCAGTAGTTCGTTATTTCATGGATAACCTCAAGCTTGTTGAACATTTTGAAACTTTGAAGAAATTTCTTTTGATGGAGGATGGCGAGTTTTCTTACTCGTTGACACAACAGCTCTTTGAAAAGGTCAATATTTGTAAAATAATTCGGTAAATATATAAATGGTTTTAATTCTAGTTGTTATTCTTAATACAAACAACAACCTCATTTGTTACCTCGTAGATCTCAACTGGCGTAACACCAGAACAACTGTGTTGTATTTCATCACTGAACTCAATCATGGCTCAGTCTATTCAATCCTCGGTGTACGCATGTCGCTCAGAAAACAGCAGTAGTTTATCTTTTGTTCTCAAGTCAATTCCTGATATTTTCAAGAGAAATGGTATGAATCACAACCTTTTCATTCTTCATTTTACCCCCAGTTCATACGTAAAAATTTAAACATTTGAATCAAGATTTGAATGTTTTGTCATTTAACGAATTAGGCGTTTTCTTAATGTCCTCAGTTTATTGACATCATGTTATATTCAACCACTCTATTCAACGAATATGAAACGTTTAAGTAAAGGCCCTGTTACACGGTGCAATTTTTCTTGCAACTTGGAATGCAATTCTACTTCTAAGAGATGTAAATTAGTGAATAGTCTTGCAGAAGAAAAGTACATGAAGTGTAATAAACACAAAAGTTTCGTCGTTCCCAAATATGCATCTCTCAAAAGTAGAATTGCATTGCAAGTTGCAAGAAAAATTGCACAGTGTAAAAGGGCCTTAAGCATTCTTTCATGCGCCATATTTCGTTTAAAAACAAAGACAATTTTAGTCACGATTAAGATGCAAATAACTGGGATGTATGAAATATGAATCAGTTGGTTTTATTTCTTTGTGTTTGTTCAACAATATATTAGTATTGTAGGTACACCACGTATATGTTTTATAGTTTATAGTAAAAGCATTCGGCCCGTTAACCTGGCCCCTTATTAGTCCAGTGTAATTGCACCCGTGGAGGTCCGAGAGACCGAGAGTTTTGCAGTAAAAAATATACGTGGTGAGACTGGTAACTAATAATTGCTTACAGACTTTGACTTGCTTCTGACCAATCTTTAGATGTAAAAGTTTTGGATTTTATTGGATTAAGATACAAGGTAACTACGCATGTCATTAACAATTAATTCCCAACAAATTAATTTTTGATTTGAAATTAATGTTTTGATTTGACCGGCAGATTCAATGGCCAGTTAATATTATCATCACAGAGAATTGTATAACAAAGTATAATAGAGTAAGTGTAGAGAATTGTTTCTTCACTTCAATCTAATAAATTCGTGTTTTAGTTACTAAAATGTGATATTGAATTTGTCTTTTTTAAGATATTTGCGTTCATCTTGCGACTAAAAAGGATCGCTCAAATAAATTCGTGCTTCAGTTACTAAAATGTGATATTTGAATTTGTCTTTTTTAAGATATTTGCGTTCATCTTGCGACTAAAAAGGATCGCTTGGATATTACAAGATATACGATATTCACTTAAACGAATTGGTGAGTATATCAACTCCTAGTGCACTGCCGTTATAGAGAAATGACTGATTATTTGCAAATTCTGATCTATTTAAAGACAAATGTGCCAGTAATTCACCTCAGCTTCGAAAAATCCACTTATTCAGGTAACCAAAATTCAACACAATATTCAGTGTACATATTTTCATGACTTATTCAACATCATATTCTTGTCTATAGGCATGAGATGAGTCATTTTGTTAACGATGTTCAGGGTTATATATCTAATCAAATACTTCATGTTAGCTGGCAGGAATTTTTGAATTCTTTGGAACATAATGTAAGGATAATATGCCGTATTTATCACTTACCAGTCAACACCAGTGCAATCATTGTAACTATATCTCGACCATAGGTTCGTAACCTGGACGATCTTCATGATTGTCATGCAGACTATCTTAACAAGTCATTATTTCGAGCTCTCCTCAACAAGAAAGCAGCTCCAGTCATGAATATCATCACAGATCAAATCTTTACAAAAGTTTTGAAATTCCATACGCAACTCGTCTCATCTTCATGGAGTGTTGATCAGAGCTCGGGTCTGGTCGTTCATCCAGCATTTTCTTTGCTTTGCTCAACTTACGAGTCATTTAAGGAAAGCACGTGTTTTCTCCTCACAGGTAAACAATTCTTTACTGGATTACTTTATCTTTTCCTCGCTTTCCTAAGAATGTCATAAATAATACCTCCTTCACAGGCCCTTATATCGCTTCAGTTATTTAGTCGTTCATATAGATCAGTGAAAATAGAGAGGCAACACTCGCTGCATGTACACACCCCTGAAATAATCCTATTACGAACTGACTGGAAATAAGCCAATAATAAATCATATAGCTATGTTTATTATTTACCTGTTTGGTTCTTATAGATAAATATTTTCCCAAGTTTTCTATAGAAAATAAGTATATTTATGGACTGATGGGTAGGAGAGCGAAAACAGAGCATCTTTCGGGAAAAATGGAACCAGCGTGACGGTGCTCTTAGTCCTCTTTCATCAGTTATACGAGGCGTTGTTTTCGTTACCGCTATTGGGGCAATGTTTTCGTTACACTATACCTACACATGGTCACGACATCAGTTTAAGTTGTTGAACGGTATCTCTGTCCCCAGAACGTTTTCATTTTTTTGGCAGATTATGTTCAAAAGCAATAATGCTATTATACGTTTCGGTTTGGGAATTAAAATCGATTTTTTAAAAATTGGCTAATGTTGATGTCGTGACCTTGCGAATTCGATATAGTGTGAACATTTCCTTATTCTCTCCCCTGGTCTTCATTAGTTCAGTGAAAGAAACGAAGGAATCTTCAAATTGAAAAATATATGTTGTATTTCATTTGTATAGTTATCAACAAACTAGTGAACCGTGGTTATCAACCTCATCTGGAAGAACTTTTACTAAGACTTAACTTCAATTCGTACTATGATAAAAGTATTTCAACTCCAAATTCACCGACTTTTGTAGTCTAATATTTTGTACGTATCTTACAAACTAGGCATTCATGTATAAGTATAAGCTAGTTAATTTGCACTAATCAACGGCGCGTCTGACTGAACGATACCTAGGGAAGACAGTAAAGACTTTTTCTGAAACGACTTTTCAAGTGGTGCGTGTTTAAAGACAAGTGTCCCAGCGTTTAATTCTCACCATTGCCTCCCCCGTTGGCTGGTATACTAAATTACTTTACAAATATATAGAGAAAGTGCTTTTAGTGTAGGCTTTGCTGATTATTTCGTAAGGTACAATAGGTTTTAATATTTAATCTCAAACAAAATAGAGCAGTGTGTATAAAAAAGAACTGTGTGTGTTGATAGAATGTGACAAAGGTTAATATGGACCATGTACGCACAATCTGACCCTAAACGTGACTGGCGGGTTGGCTCTTTGGTTCATAGATAAGCCACTTAGAGCGCGCATGTAATTCTAATCATCTCGTGTTTCACACTTCTGACGCGCATCGTGAACAGTTGCGCGCGGTTGAGATTCGTGCGGACAACATTTGCATTTCTTTGCGCTTCCAGAGAGAACCATGGTCAGACTAAGATTACCAATCCCGTATCACAAAGCAGTTCGTTTGATTCTGCCATGCGGTCTTTTGCTCGCCGGAATAACAATATTTATTGGCGGTTTAGTAAGGACACACAATATAACTGGGGCTATGCCCAAAACAGTCACGGAGAGAAGAATGGTAAAGACGCAAAATGATTACTTGGAGTGGTGGGTTGGCTTGCCGGTAAGATACATTCTTGTTTTTTGTTCTGTTGAAAATGTCAATCTCTCAGACGTTTTTTAACTGATCTCTCTTATGATTGAATACAGTGTCGCTGAGAACACTATTGATTTGTTGCTCGAAGTTTGCACTCTCTTGAACCTTCAATTCTCTCTTGATACTTACAAACCCGGATATATTCACTGCGGTAATGCTTTAGCTTTTAATGCGCTTTCGTGACTGATTCATTCTCCTTTTTTTGAGGGTGTGAACGTGGAATTCTGTATTCTGTCATATATCTTAATTATACACTCTTGTATACAGCATAATAGAGACAGAGATGGAAGCACGTCAGGATGTGTTTCTAGCAAATATAAACATCAAATATTTGTTAATGGTAGTCCATATCAGATGATTGTACTTTATACGACTAAAAATATCCTGCTATAAGGTGTCGTGTTACATCCGTTTTCAAACTAATCACGATAATGTCCCAAGTGATGTGTGTGTCCACCGCTAAATGCCTTTCGAACAACCGGCAAAGCTTCTGTGACCACAGTTGGATTCATAAATTCGAAAATCCCAATTATGTTTTGAGTAATTTGTAAGATTAACAAATAAATGAGCGAAGAAACTTGATGATTGCAGTTATACTGTTATGACTATAGTTGCTTTAATAAACAAGCTATTCAAAATGTTGGATTATTTTTTTTAAGAATTCCAACGGTGATCAGGGTCACTTCGGCCGGTTGAACCTAAAGCCTGGCTCACACTTGTCCTGAGAATCTGGTATTCCCTTTGTCTGAGGTCATTAGTGCGCAATATTCTTGTCTATCGCCGAATAATACAATGGATCCTAAATTCTTAAAAACTAGTGTGAACCAGGGCAAACAGAAAAAGTTACAAATCCTTATTGTGAATATCAATATGGTTTTTTAGGTGATAGTATGTGCGATCATAGCAATATGTTCCGTTTTTGTGGATAAACCTTTGCTGGTAAGTAAACTCATCCTATCACGTAGACTATAGTGTTCATCCATCTTTCATCGGAAATCGTTTCCATGCTTAGAATTACGCAGACGCTGGGAGGTGGAGACGAAGAGCGGGAAACAATGTTCCTGTTATTATTAAATATCGTTTCTTTTATCACGCAATAGCGCTAGCGTACATCTGTCTATCGTCGGCGAACGTTTTTGCGCGTAGAGCTTAGAACTGCCCATATGCCAGGAATCTTGGTCTATGTGCTTTTACAGACAATCAATTATCAAGCAAATATCGTGCAACGACAACCATCTGCCTTGATAAGAATCTGTTGAAAACACAAGAGGAACTACAAGACAAATAAGCCTAAGAGCATATCATAACTTAATCTATGGGATATGTTGTGCGTTTAATAAGATATGGGATTCCGTCTTTACTAAATAGTGGTTACAGTTAATTTATCGGCAATTGCAGACTTCATTGCCTAATATTTTCTATTCCAGTTCAAATTTTCTGTGTTAACAATGGGGACATGTTTTGTGGTACTGCTATATTCCCTGTCGTGGGACATAGGAGAATTCTCATGGGTATCTCGTGATATGAGCTACTACAGGGAGTTAAAATCTGAAGGCTTTGACTGTTCTACAAAAGAACATAAATTCAACTACAGTGGGCATCCCTTTATTTGGCGAGAATGCGCGTGCGCAAAAGGCACACTACACGGTAAGTATTTTGTTTATTTTGAATAATTTTTTGATAACTGAGATTTGGGGACATTGTTCATTTGTTCTTTAACATCATTTCTTTTTCAGAATTTGGCTTATTTACTCCATACTCGTGTGAAATACTCAAATCTACGTACTATCTGACCGTCATCATGGGTTTTGCTCTTGCCTCTGCCATTGGACTGGCTTTGTTTACACTGTCTTCTTTTGTATTAATTCTTAAAAGGATTTCCCAGGTTAGTCTGTCAGAAGTTTATTCATTAACATAATCACTTTGGGATTCGAAATGAAAAGTTGACTGATTGTGTCTGAGGTTTGTGTCTGGATTAATTAATTATCTGGAACAGTTGGCGGAAAATCAAAAGTCAACCCATTCCACACGTTGTTATTTCATTATTTTCTCAATAACATACTATTTTTTACATACTGTCACCAAGTGTTCCACAGTGTTAGTCAACAAACCATTTTTAATTATGACAAGCTACATGCAGTAACACATACCCTCATTAGGATGATAGTGACGCTTGGCTTTTTTTTATCGTCGGGCTTGATTTTTTACTAGTATTTGAAAAAGACACGACAAGGCGAGCTCAAAAATAACTCCGCCATCTGCCGGCATTTCTGTCTAGCAGCCACATTTTTTCGTACTAAATTCTTCTTTCATTCTATCTCTTAACCGCTAACATCTGAGATAAAAGGAAATTTCTACCTAAATTTCAAACGATGAAAATGCATAAGCAAAGGTGGAAAGATCATCCCGAAATTAGTAAGATTGATTGAAATTAAAAAATTGTACCACTTTTTAAATACTAGCAACGCCTTTTCGAGCGTAATACTAATTTATGCAAACTTCGCACAGCGATATTTTTTTGTGTTTTCAATCATGTTGTAAACAAGACCCAGCACAATATCACGCATTTCAGTGGAATGACGGAAACATGGATAGAGACGGAAATCACTACTGTACATATTACCCTCTTTTTAATATATATTAAATTAACCAGTTTTAACAAACTCTAATCCAACATATCCCTACCTATCCTAAGTTAACTATTGACACTCTCTCGCTTTACAGATAACCACAGCACTTCATCTGGACGAAAAGCCACTAAGTGAAGACTTTAGCGAGATTCGTGGAGATCTGTATATTGAATCATAAACAATTTCAAGTGGAAACTTCACCTATATCTTAACTGTAATTTAAAGTGTTAGTCCTAAAATACGTGTAAAGCCAATAATTATATATCCTTGAACATCGTAAGTATTGTTCTTCACAACACACGAACTTTACACTACAATGTGACGTCACACACCAGTCATGTGACGGTTGATTGTCACATTCACAATCGTCCAATTGACATCTTCTTACGATAGATGCAATTTTTAACGAACGCCGTCGATATTTTGTTAAATTCCTGAAACAAAGTTCAAACATTTCATTTTGGCATTGTCCATCCTCTGTTAAAAATTTCCATTTTTTTCCGTAGTCCTTGTCTTCGCACACAAAACACGTTATTTTTTGTGTCAGCATTCGCCCTGAAAACATTTTAAATTAATATTTGCTATCAACATCTCTTGCTTTTATTGTATGCTACTTCAATTTTGTGGTACCCACCTGTATCATACTTCTCGTTTGATAATAACGACATTGGTTTTTCAAGAAGAGTATTAATTTTCACCGTCTTTAGTAATTGCCATTTTATCACTAAAAGTGTGAGTAACCCTATACACAGACGAAAGACTACATTTCAGATAATCTTTGATTTACGTTTATAAATGCAAGCGAATGACTTCAGAAAAAAATACCTGACTTACAAGTTAAAAATGTTCGACTTATTCACTTCAACAAAAAATGACTGAATTTTTGCAGAATTCGATACAAATTTACCAAACTTTCCAAATAAAATGTTTTTTGGGGGTGTAGCTATAGCAACTTTCCCCCTCCCCGTACGCCTGCGAGGAACATGAGATGTTTTATGGATAGCTATGGCAGGTAGTTATGCTTCGATAAACCTTTTGCCCAGATTCACTCGTGTGTCAAAACACCTGCCCATTGTTTTTAAAACAATTTAGGTTTACAATAAATGTTAACGTAAACATAACTCTTGATACGAACAGTAAAACTGCTTTTCCGTTTCAACCTTATTGCACAGTACGTTCTTTCGAGAATACTCCAGCAGAACTAAATCGACAAATGATTTCGAAACGTTACAAAATTGTGACGATACGTTTGTTATGTAGTGAAAGTAAATAAGCTTCAAAGCTACGTTTAACTGATGAGGCTGAAAGGGTTTCATGAAATCGGATCTTTCCTACACCACCATTCTGTGGGTACCGCTCTCTGGCCTTTTGAAGAGGCTGATTAGAGGCGTTGTTCTAAGTATGACTGTCATGATTTGACTGATATCGTTTCCACATCTGGACACTTCCCACCTTGCTAACGAAGCCGTAACCAAAGTATGGATCGAAAAATTTAATTTCACGACTTTTTACTCGACACGTATGAAGTCGAACCGACGGAGCAAGTTTTCATTTGAATGAATTTAGAATGACGATGTCGTAAGGTTTATAATGCAACTGGTATTTTGTAGACATATTTAAGACATTAGATCACAGTAGCTATATTATTACATACCGGTTGAAATTATTATGTAAATTCGTGACAATTTATTTCCAAGCATCTTTACATCAAAGCAGATAATTCCTCCTGGTTGATGTTTGACGTGAAGAATGTTGCATCTGAATGCATCACGTCTAGTAACCTGCCTTGATGTAAAAAATCAAAATTTTGCCTTTATCTAAAACCTACTTCAACCACCTGCAACATTACGATTGCGCGCGAAATTCAAATGACGTAGTAAATCACCTGGCAAACCCGTCACCATATTCCAAGTACAATCACATAATAGAGATGACTTTCTGATAGGTTTTCATTCTTTGGTATAACGTGTTAGGCTGTTTGCCGTTTCAACTGTGATCGGTCAGATGAATTTGGTCGTTTGTGAAGAAAAATTGAGCGATAAATTCATTGTTCGAACGAAAAATTTTCCTTGCGAGAAACCGCTTTTAGTTATTACACTTATTTACACACTGCCCTATACTAGAATAACTAGAATAGTATGGATCATCACGCCCTGATACAGGTGATATATATCATCCTGCCCTTCCCTCAAAGAAAACAAATACACGGACTTTATGAAAATATTTCTTTAATTAATATCATATTTTCCACGAATTATCTTGTATCTAACTCCTGGACAATCTTGCACCCTCCCTCCTTCAAACAAAACTACGCCATGTTCTTGCAAGCTAGCTTTCTCTCCAGGGATATATGCTATAATAGTCTGACCATTGTTTAATCTTAGTAAGGCACATTTCCTGTTTGCAGAGTTCGGTTTCTTTGGTTTTCGAATAAAGACTTTAACACAAACACCTTTCCGTTGTGGCCCTTGCAAGATCTGGTTCTTTTTTGCCACTACTGATTTCTGTCTCCGCTTTTTTGTCACTCGTTTTCCACGTTGAATTTGATTTAAAGTTGGAAATGTGCGGAGGTTCGTCCTGGTTGGAGTTCTGATGGATAATATTGGTTCCAGAGTGTCTTTTGGGGTTAGAGTATGATATTTGGAGTATTTGATGACTTGATGAGTTTGAGTTTGATGACTTTTAAATAATGATATAAAATCTGCAAATAAAATACATGGCTGTTGGAACCAATAAACAGGTGATTCTGACTGAAACCACTGATTCTGATATTTGATCTCTATTCTTTAATACACACTGATTGAGATGCATACCATTACGATGGGAAAATTGCCTCTGAACTCTGCAAGGACTGTATCTTACTGCATTCTCTACCTAAATCGCGTAAACAATGCAGTGAAAAGTTAGGAAATCGACAGGCGTGATTGCCAAAGGGCAAAGGGGTTTATCATTTATTACTTTGGTTTAAATTTGTGAACTTTTGTATTTATGAAAACCTCTCTTCGTACTCACCACGGAAGACGAATATTTCCAATTTTTAATCACAAAGTTTCTAAGGGAAACTGACGAAGAAAAATTGGAGAAAACACACGGTATTCGAATGAACAATAATTTCGTCCAAGAAGCGGCCATGTTGGATGATCGCGTCGCGTCGCGTGAAGGGACTGGGATGAGTCAAGATGGCGGCGATGTTCTGAGGTTTGAAAAATTTAAACATGGAAGTTGAACATTTGGAACAAAAATTAAAATATTCTGTCCATTCTTGCTCAAGTTTCTCTGCAAATTTCCATCCAGAGTGAGTGAGCTGTTTTTGATGTGTTGCAGATTGTAAACGATGCTTTTAGCTTTCAGCAATTTAATTTATATTTATATGACATTAATATTATTATTAGTCACTATAAACAGTCTCAGTCTGAATATAAACTGATATTAAACATATTTTTTATTTGTCACTCACTCAGTATCTAACGACATAATTTCTCTACAGATTATTTGTATGTTTTTATTATCAATTATTGCAAAACAATTGGTATCGACTCCAGGGTGCATTCGGTGTAGACAAATCGGAATATCTTCGGCGCAGAGTTAGGGTATCCTTGGCGTACTGGCGTAAAATCAACTTTCCTTGGCGTAGTGGCGTACACTGTTTTTAACTTGTCGGCGCATAAATACCGGATAAACACACCAAACTTTGTAATTCAAAGGTCCACATACACACCGACTTCAACTGCATGCATTTAAGTATTTTAACGACAACAAAGGCATTTAACTTTTTAAAAATGGTCCTCTAAACGTGTAGCATTTTTTGACTCACGAGGTGAACGTCCTGGCGAGTATGCGATCGGCGTAACGTCCTGGAGTGGGTAATTGTCGTAAGTATGGCCCAGGGTGGGAATTTGGCGTAATGTTAAGATTGCTTTGGCGTATCTTCGGCGTGTGATATACACCGAATGCACCCTGGGGTATCGTAGGAGAAGCCTGCAACCATTTGTGATTTGCAGAAGAGTTACATTATAACTTTATATAACGGATCATTGTCTTCATTGACATTGCATCATTTCATCAACACACCTCTCAGCGAATCTTACCTGAGAATGATTTGATTATTAATGCATTTAACCAATGAAAAAACATGTTTTTGTCATGTACCTTTTGGAGTTTATCCCCAGGGGCCAGCCAGGGTCGGGTGTGGGGTAAGCAATTTTCTCTTGTCACATTTCCCTACCCAGGGGGCAAATCACTTATCCCTCCACCCCCTGGGAAAATACACATTGTCTAATCCCTGCGGCATGCTTGCTCCTTTGCACTGCATAGCTATCACTTGCTAAATTGCAATTCTATAGTAATATTTTGGAGGACAAACCAAATGACCAGAATTCAAGATGGACATCAGAAACACACCATCCCACTCAGGTAGTCTTACCAACAGTATAATGAATTCTCTTTTGACTGACTTCAAAAAAGTATTAATAAACAAATTAAATATTTTTTTGGTACAGTACATTACACTAAAGTTGGAAAAACCAGCAGCTGTAACAAAGATAACATTTGGAAAATATTATCAAAACCATGTTTGTAACTTGAAGAAATTTAAAGTCTTCGGTAGCTTACATGATGATCATGAAAATATGATTGAATTACTTGCCAGGTAAAATACATTATTACTGATTACAATTACATAAAATTACACAGTTAAAACCCATTAGCAAAACTACTGTATTATCAATGGGTGTTTGATACCCAATATAAATTCCAAATAAGCTGCATTGAAATACCTGATTACTATGAACAATGTATTCTAGTGGTTTAAAAAATGACAGTGTGAAAGAAACATTTCCATTGAGGCATAAATTGGGTGAAAATATCTTCCCTGTCAAGTACATCAAGATAGGTAAATTACATAACATTATTTATGAATATAATTGATCAAAGCAAGGTGTACAATTTTGATTATGTGATTCTCATCATGTTACCGCAATTAACTATGTTATGCATGCACTTTTTTCATAAACAACAAAATACAAATTTAAAACTGCTTCTATTCAACGAATACAGTCCTCATGAAAGTCATCTCAAGTCTTGATATTTGGGAATCCTAATTTTTCAATCAATGTTTATTTTCTTACAGTTCCAACAATGACGTGGGGACAAAGTTTTAACTGCAGTATTTGGTTTGTTCAGTTAACTGGTGTTAATGATCCTGTTATTGTTAAATCTTGTTCAAACTGGATTAATAATGTAAGTGTCTCGCTCGCATATATTCTGAAATAGACCTAAATTTTATACCTTGTTTCATGAATTTTCTTTAGACTGTTTCTAATTTTTGTGAATTTTCTTTAGACTGTGTAATTTGATCAGTTTCATGCATTATTCCTGAGATCTTAAATATTTGTTTCAGTATCGTGAACGTGAAGCGATACGTTTGTGCTTGAAACATCTTCGTCAACGTAATTGCACGGAGGCTTTTGATTCTCTGAAGAAGAAAACTAAAGTTGATTTGGAGCATCCAATATTAACAGATTTACATGAACAGTTGGTAAAACTCGCTTTTTGTTGTTAAAAACGGAATTTACAGCTTAAAAAAATACAGTACTGCACATAACACGACGTTTGAATATTTCATATTTACGTGTACGGGTTTCTCCCCTGGGATGTCTTGACTAGGAGTATCTACTTGTTACATCACTTCGATGAAGGTGTGGTTGAGATAATGTGTTAGGAATAAAATTGAAATTTCTTTTACGTCGCCTTCATCACCTTTGTACCACTCTTGGTGTACATAGGTACAATAATAAAATCAAACTAAGAATAATATAATAACATTATATAATCTCCAGGTTGTCAACTCCAATTTTGATATGTCAGAAAAGATCATTGAGAAAGCAGCTCACGGTAAAGTACATCGCTGGCAGCTTGAAGCAGTTCATTTAACTTCATTCCAACAAAATTTATTTTATTTATCAGATGGTTTGTTTAGTGATTACATAAATACACAAGATTACAAAGCAAAATGGAGCCCAATAACAACGGCTGTTATGGGTAAGCGGTCTCTAGGAAGAATAGTTTTTACGAGTTCTCAACCGTTCAAGTTGAAAAATTAGCTTGACCACGGCATGCAGGAATCGAACCTGCGTCCTTTCCTTTGCTAGTCCAATGCTGTTCCAACTGAACTATTAGGTAAAGACGAACTGTTACGTGATGTCGGAACTCAATCTGCATGGCCAATTAAATACTGTGTGTCTTGAAGTGGTAGATTATGGTTAAATATTGTTTTCTGTTGTAAAACTCGTTACTTGCAAAGAATAAAAAACTCCTATGTGATAATACAAGACAACTGACAAAGATATCTAGGCTAAACTGGTTAATGTGTTCTTTATAGATACGAATTCAGAAGCTTGTCAGCCAGGCATGAGAGGAGGTCATCAAATGTGTATTGACACTGACCGCCAAATTATTTACCTCTTGGGAGGTTGGGACGGAAACGATGATCTCGCAGACTTTTGGATGTTTGATATTAAGGGGAAGTCGTGGAGAATGATATCACGTGATACGGAACAAGACGGGGGGCCCTGTGCCAGATCGTGTCATAAGATATGCCTGGATCATAAAAGAAAACTGATTTTCATGTTAGGGCGATATCTTGATTCTGAAGTTCGAAATACCATATCTTTGAAGGTATATAAAGAATAATCAGTTTTTTTCTGTAGAGAATTATATCATCAGTTTTATTAACCTCAGCCTGGACCGGTCCCATTTCTGGGTTTTCTTTATGTTCATATATGTCACTGTTTTGAAGTGCATCATATGAGAAGTGGTTGGCCTTATTATTGGGAGCATAGGGTGCAGACACTTGTAAACCAAGTCAAAATGGGTGCAGTAAACGTCGAACGTTTTTTTAATACTGTCGTTACGTTGTAACGAGGACATAAACGCGACGTTCTCTTTGTGAAACAATCCTTGATTTGTTCCTGCACTTGGCGCTCACCCAGCACCTCCCCCCCCTTCCCTTGCACACACGTTGCCTCCCCGTACACACGAGCAACCCCCTCCTCTTACACACACCTTGCCTCCCCTTACACACCAACAAACCCCTCCTCTTACACACACCTTCCCTTACACACATTGCTGCCCACCATTGGTTTGAACTGTGTTTTACTCATCATTGTTTATCATCGTTATATTCTCTCCATACAGAGTGATTTTTTCCTTTACAACATCGAGGGTGGACACTGGACTTTGATATCGGAAGATACAACAGCGGAAGGTGGTCCACCGTTAATATTTGATCATCAGGTAAACGTTATAGCAATGATTTGGCTTTTATGCAATTGTCGATCTTACTTCATCATTCAACGTAAATATTGTTGATTTTAGATGTGCGTCAATGTTGAAAACGGAATGATTTTCGTATTTGGGGGACGAGTTTTATTGAGGTAAACTTTCTAAACACAATATATCGTGACCTGGAGTCGAACCTGAGGTCTCAGGTGATATACACAAATGATTTAGGTTAAAAAATGACTTTATTTTGCAGTACATCATCGGATATTGCTGGTTTAGCAAGCTCTGCAATCTTTAGTGGTTTATTTTGTTATCACAGTGGAACCAACACATGGACCAAATTACGGTAAAGTTGATATATTAGTTCATATATTTTTGTTAAGCTACAAAAATACTATTCTCTATTTGCTTTTCTTGCTGGATTAATATAATTTCATATTTATTTTTATATATAGCGATGACTGTCCAGAACTAATATCAAGAATTGGGCATTCGATGCTTTTTTACGAGGTTAGCTCACGCCTAAAACCAATATACCAAGCGACAAATTTAAAAATAGTTGTATTAAAGTATAAAACATAATCCGAAGATTACCATCTTTCAGCCAAGATATGGATTGAAACTAAACAAAAACGTGCAATTACAAAGTCTTAGTCTTGTCTTGTTTTAATATAAATCTTGGATTATAGTGAATTTCAGGATCGTAATCATCTTATTTTGCAGTCCACATCTGCTTTAGTACTAAGGGGTTCATAAATATTAATCCAGTGTATTCGTGTTTCCTGTAGAAAAATCAAGCACTGTACATATTTGCTGGTCAAAGAGGAAGGGAATTTTTAAAGTATGTTTCCGTTCTTGATATACACATGCAGGGTCACAGTTTTACAGCGTTACTCAGCCCTGATAGTATCTAGTTGTTTTGAGTTGAGTATAATATGAAGCCTAATGTCCCTCGAGGCTTGATGCACAAAACATTGAAAATTCCATGGTCGAGGAGCAGTTTGAACGTAGGCGACAATAATTTAGGTAAAACATGACAGAAGCATGTTACACGGGAAGAGGTAAAACAAATTGATTTCAATCCCAAAGCCATTACCCACACAAAAATGAAAGTTTTGTTGAGATCATTCATTGGAAAGACTATATTTAGATATGTTATTCACTCATAATTTTACAAGGGGCAACTTCAAAAATTTGCTAATGTGTTAACAGCTCTTTTCTTCACATACACGTTCAATGTTGTGTATTTCCTAATAACATTTTTGAATGAGATAAACGAATAAGGAATGAAATTTTTTTGTAGTAATTTTACGATGTATAATACAGAAACAGATACAGTCACCGTCTTGTCAAATAATAAAGATGAAGGTAATAAAGTCGTGTAATGTACAAGTATTTTATATGATCAAAATATATTTCTTTATCCAATGCTAAAGATAGAAGTTAGTAAGATTGATCGTGTAATGTACAAGTATTTTATATGATTAAAATATCTTTTTTTTATCCAATGCTAAAGATAGAAATTGGTAAGATTGATCGTGTAATGTACAAGTATTGAGATCACGTAATATACAACATTTATTATAAACTATTTCTATAGTTCCAGCCGCTGGTTTTACTCAACGAGCCACAATTGACCCAGAGACGGGAGAAATACATGCATTATCTGTAAGTTTAGCTTCACAATCATCAGTTAGGAGATCTTCTTCGACGCATTCAGCAGCACAGATTTGACTAATATGAGCTATTGGACTGAGCTCAATCTCCTCCCCAGGGTCACAGTTTTTTCTAGTTTGCAGTTGGACTGAACTTTGCTTCTAAGCTGTATCCACGTGAAACGCTCATGGAATAATCTACTTGCCGTATTTGCCTGTAGTTATTGATAATTTTGCGATGTGCACATGCAGTTTTCATATTGTGTTTTATCACGTTGTATCTACAGTGCCAAATTATTATAGATTTGTTCATGGAATTTAAAGAACGTATAATTTGAGCTCTCAAACGACATTCTATTTTCTTACTCCAGGGACTAAGTAAAGATAAGATCAAGCGCGAGGAATCAACACGGAATTCTTTCTGGGTTTACGATATCGAGAACAATAAATGGTCGTGTATTTATCGAAATGAAAATACTGGCAATCAATATTGGAGCAAAATGCAGAGTATTGAACCTTGTCCAAGATTTGCTCATCAGCTGGTTTACGATCATATCAATAAGGTTAGAAACGGTTTAACATTAAAGATATTTAGATTTCACTTCTCTTCACTTCTTGAAAACCCAGTGATTACTTAGATTAGATATATTTGACGCGTCTGATTGGTTGATCAGATATATTAGACGCGTCTTATTGTTTTATAGTCGTAGTCAATCCAAACCTCTTAAAGTCTCCATTGTTTTTGTTTCATCCAGGTTCATTACTTATTTGGTGGAAATCCGGGAAAATCTGGTTTTCCAAAGATGAGACTGGATGATTTTTGGTTATTGAGGCTCACAAAACCTTCACTTCCACATTTCCTGAGACGTTGTAGGTTCCTGATCAGGAGACAGAAGTAAGCTTCTACTTAAGAAGATTCTCTTATTCATTTTATTCCGAAATGTGTCTCTGTACTCCACCAAAACTCCATATACAATTTTCTTTTTTCTTTTACCGTCTTCAACAACTGAAATCCTCAAAATCTTTCACTACAAACTATCAATTGCTTCAGGAAACTCATGCTCTTGTTTATATTATTTTTCTTCAAGGTTTGTTGAATTAGCGAAGTGTAACAGTCTGGAAGCGTTAGCTTATTTGCAGGTAAAATTCAAAGAATTCAATTTGATTTAATGTAAATATAGACTGCGAGGGATAGGGTTAAGACATGGACTGGAGAGAAAGCAGAATATCATGCGTCACAAGGTTGAACTGCATTTCTAAATTTCTCTTTTTGTTTTAAGCATGATCTTTCAGCCTTGGTAAACACCGATGATATTGATGAACGTCACGAGGTACGCCTGGTATTTAATATTATATAATAACTATAGTGAAACACGCAATGTGATTGGTCAATAGCCGTGCAGGATCAGACAATCCTGCACGCGTTTTAGACAATCCTGCACGCGAAATTTAATTTTAATAAAGTTAACCGTTGTTTCACTACAGTTATTTTATAAAACAATTACCAAATGATTTTCCGTGCAGGATTGCGTGATCCCTGCACTTGGGATGTTGCTCGACTTTCGGAAAGCGTGAAAATACACTCGCCTACGGCTCGTGTATTTTCACGCTTTCCGAAAGTCTCGCAACATCCCGCGTGCATGGATCACGCAATCCTGCACGGAAAATCATTTGGTATTCCTTTAATCTATTCTGAAGATATTCTTATGATAAAAAAACCATTTGTTTTCTTTTATGCAGTTTGAGCGTTTGACGTCCAGTTTGTTCACTTTAAAAGAGGAGATGAACGAAGCATGCTCAAGCAACGAAGGTAATTACGTCGATTAAATGATCCAGGATGTTGATAAACGATGCCTTTCTTAATTTGAAGCTTTCTTTTTCACAGGAGCTGAATTATTTTCAGATGACCAGGCATTTATTGGTCGTTCCCAGGTATGATAAATAGTTCTAACTATCCTGCCATTTTATAATTTTTCAAGCATTTTGCACTGGTTGAAAAAACCTCTATGGATAGCGCTATATCCAGCCTTAAAATGCTTCAAAACATTAAATTGATAAAGTGTTTATTTTGTAGTTATTTGATCAACTTGTCACCTACTTTCCTGACAATATGACTCAACCTAAAGGAAATCTCACAGACATCATTAAGATCTGATCGCAAAGTTTATCTCGTAATGCGTCATTGAAAATCTCGCTATGGTATTGTAAAAACACTGAAAGTGTTAAATGTTAATACGAAATAAAATATTTTTGTAGCTAACTTTCAGATTGATCGATACATTTCCGTGGTTTCCGTGAAAACTACAGTTATAGCCAGGGTCATAGCAGAACAGATATCATTTTCTCTGTTCTTGAATTATTGTACAAGCTCAGTGAAAACCATTTTCACATTTATATACCCCAAACGACAAAGTAGAATTTATAATTAATTGCTTCTTTTGTCCATAGTCCATTTGTCGTGCTTATTGAAATATTTTAAGCCTTAAGGTTTGTATGTCAGTTAAATTTACATCCATTTTCTGACTTTGTGAGATTTTTTTCCTCAAGCGGAGGAAACAAATGTCATGACGCCGGTCCCGCCAAATCACTCTGTCCAAAATATCTGTTAAAATAGTTTTGAGATATTGTTATGGCTTGGTTTGTGGTTTGTGGGCACGTCAGTGTTCCCAGATAATGTTAAATTGTGAACTAAATAAGGAAACGATCCGTGAAAAAAGACGATGTTGGAAATAAGTTCACCAAACGTTCTTGCCAATGATGGGGTCTGACCCTCTCACATTGAAACGTCAGATTAAACTGGGTAGGAAGGTATATTTTTAAATCTGAGTGAGATCTTTCTCATCATCGACAAAGAATCCTACATTCAAAGTCGCATACAACATGATACACACCTCATAACTAGAAGGATGATCAGATATAGAGCTGCTCTTTCATCTTTCTGTTCTGGGGTCTACATAAATATAAACATTTGAAGATCACAATTATCTCGTAGCAAATCAATCCCCACTCATTTTGAAGATCCCCTCCAAAAGATATTGCCAACAGAAGGTATGTCAAACTTTTAGGGTGAATGCATGCAATTATCAAGCAGCTCACAACTCATTCTTAACACTGATTGCACTAACCAACTTTTCTTTTTGCTTTGAACACAATCTTGCTAATGTTCGAAGGGAGTATGTTGAGTCTGGAAGAAGAGGTTTCTCAATGGCCGTGAGTAAGGCATAAATCCATTGTCCCTATAGACATATTATCAAACTTTATTAAAGTTATGAAGGAAGCTTGTAAGACATTTGATATCAATGTATAACTTGTTGATTTATGGCAAACCTGCAACACAGTAAATGGTTGTCTTTTCAACCAGTTGATGTGATGATCCAAAACCATTAACACAGTTGACTTGATTGTGTTGGAAAAAGTCAAAGATCAGTTTAGTGCCACTATTATAACAAATAAGTTTTTAGAAGCCAAAGGTAAGCTACCTGATTCATTTGACAAATAATACTTAAAAGCGCTGGTGTTCCAGAATTATCCTCCTGAAACAGATTAAAATTGACACTTGTTCATTTTGTGTATTTTTTAATTTAGCTGCTTGGAAAATCATTGTGATTACATATTTTGGAGATAATCTCACTTCATCCTGGACATCTTCACCAGCACCTTCTGTTTCTTCTTCACTGCAAATGTAGATAACAAGTTGTTTATACATTTATGTCAGTTTGTGCATCGTCCACCATGCTTACCATTGGTTGTTGCTTAGTTGTATATTATTGCCAATGCAAAATTGAAACCAACGATGTTCATTCTCTGCATCAGGCTATAATTATGATCAAAATTTTGAGGATTATACCTTGATGTATTTCCAAATGAAAATGTGAGCAATGATTAATGCACAAGTGGTGTTTCCTTCACCAGTGCATATAATAAATCAAGAGCAAGACCTGATTTGGTGGAAACAAAGGTTCTTAACTACATTAACCCTACAATACTAACCAATTTCCTTTTCTTTATTTTTTTTTCTTTAAACAATGCTTTTTGATGAGCTAAAAACTATAATAGAAGAAAGATTTATTGGTATCACATCACCTAAACACTTGGAGCATTGTGAACAACTGACGTAGTAAAGAAATTGCCTAAAAGATACAAGAATGCTTGTTGTGAAAAATGTCTCTGTCTAAGGGCCTTTGTGTAATCATTACATCAAATTACCTGTCTGATTTCAGCAAAAGCAGAAACCTGTTCATTTTTCCACTCTGCCGATGGCACTTTGTTGTCTTCTGATGTTTTTATTGCCTCCACCTGGAATATATACGAACCAGACTTTTGGTTTCAATTTATTAAATTAATTACAACATTGTATTGCTTACAGTTGTGAAATTTGGATCTTGATTTGCACTAAAAACACTACAGTCCATAGTGGCAACAACAATATCTGGACAACATGCAGCTTCATCTCTACACAGAAAAGAATCATAGAGGTACTTGGGGATGGTTCATTAGGATTACAATATACAAGACCCACCCAGGAATAATTTTAACCATTGGAAAATTCTAATTATTAGTATTGCTAACAAAATATTTAAAAAATATTTGTTTTGTTTGGGAAATAAAGGAAGTGCTAAAAGATGAGAGCTATATCTGGGAGCTCAAGGCCCAGCTGAATTCTCATTTGTATGAGTTGTAGGCAGGTCAAGAGGTAACTTGTTGTCTGACTACTAGTGAAGTTAAAACTGGCCTTACTTTTAACAAGTGTGTTCATCTAGTGGTAAATGGAATTGAATGTATATTTTGTGTCCTCAGGTTGCATTGCAGTTGAAAACGTTTACAAGGGACGCTCAAGCAAGTTGCTAGTGTGATCAACGCAGTGATAAGGAAGGTGATACAAAATAAACACTGCACAATTACTCACTGTACATGTTTTAAATAGTCATAAGCAGTAGAAGGAAAGGAAGAAGTATCTGTTAAGCTATTTTTCGTCTTATCTTTCCCATTACTCAGATGTTTCAGACTAAACACCGGCTCCATGCCCTTTCAATAATTTCTCATTTTGATTTTTGAATGATTGATTGATTGATTGATTTGACTCCAAACCAAACTCCGAAGTAAAGTTAGTAAACAATAAACATAAACAAATCACCCCAGTCTTCCGCGCGACAATGGTAAAAGATAAAATGCGGATGACGGAAGCGAAATTGCGGATGTGCGAATGCGGAGAAGGGAATAAATGTGAATAGTAAACGTCCTTCAGGCTGCCAATCAGTGACTGGAATCAAATTACGGTTTAGCGCAATAAACCACAAGTTGCCATAAGTGAAGTTCACTGGTGTGGAACTGAAATCAAGGACATTTATGATTGTTTTCCATAATGAGATTAGTTCTTCTCTTGTGGCTTTTATATTTTCTACAAGGAGTTCCATATGGCTTTCAAACGAAATTCTTACCGGTATTTTTAAGGAGTTATTCGTTATCTTTGACGCTGATCAGCCTAACTCGACTGTTGAGTTTACCCTGGCTGTTAAAACCATTGTGGGCTCCTTTTGTTGACAATTATGGTTCCGTAATATCGTGGATAAAATATAATTTAGTGGGAATGGCTCTGTGTTATTTGGTAGCCTCGTGTATTCCAATGAATAGTGTTATGTCTATTGTTACTGTTATGGCGTTATTGAATATCATGGCTGCTACTGAAGACATTGCTGTTGATTCGTTGTTTGTCAATCATTTTACTCCTGATAGAATCGGTAAGTCAGTCCAATTGTAATTTTTTTTCTCTTGAAGGTCAAGGCGTGCATATTTTTCTGGGTGAATTCAGCCTTTGTCATAGCATCAGAAATCATGTGACATGTTCCTGATACTTTATCCTGTTAACAGTATAGTGATACTGATACGGTGTACACGAATATTAAAATCATTAAAAGGCTTTAGCATGCAGTGACACAAATTAGATATATTTTGAATTTTAGGTTAAGGGGATTATTTTATTTAATTATTGTTTAATTTAGGGATCATGTTATCTTAACAACCCCCTTGCCATTGGGATCCTTGTACACTACGCAAATAAATTTTTGGAATGCAGAATATTACTCATGACACATAACATGATAACATAATCCTAATTTAGATATGAATTTCTATTGTTGCATCATGTGCACAAATCTACTATAATGTGAAGTAATTTTTTATTTGATTTTGAAGACAAGACTTGGTTCTTATAGGTAATAACCTTGTTTTCATTACATATCACAGGAATGGGTAATATTGCTCAGGTTGTTGGTTATAAAACCGGAACACTACTTGGAGGTGGTCTCCTTGGCTGGCTTTCTTCTTTTTGTCCATGGGAACAATTATTCTTTTTTCTCTCTGTGATATACATGATTTCAGCATTTTTTATATGTTCATCCTTCTTTATCAATTTAACACAATTTGAGGGTAAACAGGCTAAAAGCACTGCAAAAATAACGACTGAACATGAAGAAAAAATGATTGAAACACATAACAATATGTGGAAAACTAGTACCCTTTGTGTTGACCAAATGAAAGACAAAGATTGTAAAACAGAGAAAATTAGAGCTGTAAAAAGAAGGCAAAATTTTCAGATTATGGAAACAGATGAACAAGAAAAATCTGCTACAACTAAAAACTTTCATTTCTCATATCTTTCATTGCAAAAGTCAAGAAATTATGTTCGAAAAACATTGGAAACTTATGTTAAAGTGTATCAAAATGTATTGAACTCAGATGGTACAAAATGGACAATAGTTTATGTCTTGATTTACAAACTTGGTGAGCAAGGTATAATTTCAATAGTGCCGATGTTTTTACTTGATAATGGAGTATCATCATCAAACACAGCAATGATAACTGGTGTTTTATGTCAATTTTGTTCAATCTTTGGATCTCTAATTGGTGGAATGCTGTTTTCTAATTGGTAGGTTTTGTATTTTCAAAGTGGTTACCCAATCTATAAGACATGATGTACAGAGCTCTTGAAGATTTTGTTCTGTAAACAACATAGTACAATAAAAATAATTTCTTCATTTCCTCTTTAGGGAAAGCCTGCATAGTACACTGGCAGTTATATCATCCATAAGATTCGTTGCTATCTTTGTTCTGACTTGGCTTGGATCCCTCAATTCAATAAATATTAATTGGATTTGGTTCATTTTATTTGATTGTCTTCTTCATTTAGTCTCTGGCATGGTAACAACACTCACATTTACCCTCATGGTTGCTTGTTCACAAAAATGTCCTAAAATCTTCTCTGCCACACATTATTCCACTTTAGCAACTTTTGAAGTTCTTGGAAAGCTATGTATGGTGTCGATTTCTGGAATAGTGGTTGATCTAATTGGCTATATCAATTTTTTCACCGTCTGCACTTGTCTTGCCGTATTTCCGATAGTTCTGTTGGGAACAGGGTCAAAATACAAGACAGAGAAACTCATTCTAAATGAGGATTAAGACACAAAAGCTTTTTATTTTAACAACGTTTTGATTTGAATCTTTCATCAATAACTCGTAATCCAGTTTATTTATCATATCCGTAGAAATTCTGTTCTTAAATTCGATTTCTCGTCGAGTTTTCCTATTCCCAAACTCCTCTATCCCCTGGGCTCTGGCCCTGATATCCCATTTCTAAAATATTCCTAAATATAGCCTGAAATTTATAGTTTTAGAATTATGTTGGAAGAAAAAAATAATGAATTATTTAAAACTGCCAACTTGGCATCAAATGTGGTATAACAACTGCCTAAAATAAACAAAACACTTCTCGACGTTTCGACCTGAGGGCCTTCGTCACGAGAGTTAAGCCGGTAGCGTTGGCTGGTAGCAGCAAACTTGAATTCTGACCCAGTGGTTCTAGGTGGGGCACTCTTTGTTGCGCGGAACATTAATCACTGGGAGAATACCAGAGTTCGTTAGTATTCAAGGCTTTGAATTCAATTGAATATCAGAGATTTAGATTTTCAATTCTTTGAACAAAATTTTCAAAGCTGTTCACTTTTTTGCAAACCTTTCTTGAACATCTTGACTGAAACCATGGATAATGAAAACGCGTGTTTTTATTATCCATGCTGACACGTATGTCAATCCACGACTGGTTAAACCAACAAATTACTCATTCGAAAATCTTACTTCCTTTAGTTTATTTCCTTTTTTTATTTACAACGGTTTTTTATTACAACAGTTCTCAATTTATAAATACTTTAATTCCATAATTCATTAATGTGGCGGAGGAACGCTCCTCGAATTGTTCGACTTCTGAGTAGATACGTGACCGGATTAATAGCAGAATTCAAGAAGACGGAAAGTTCAAGATAGGGTACGATTGTATACAGACTTTCTAAGGTATAACCATGATATGCACTGTATATCCAGAAACACGTACCAGGATAATAACACAGGATCATTGCACCAAGAACATAAACCATTACCTGGGTTGTTTTAATTTCATGTAACGATATTGTTGGTCGGTACAGCCGAGTAGAACGAACCATAATTTGTATTTGAAGTTTTTGTCTTCTTGCTGCAAGTAGAATCCTACAATATACCACAAGTGCTGAGAGAGTTGTATAAAACGTTAAACTGCATATAATCAAAAAGAATATTTCTAATGGAAGGACCGCACGACATACTAATAAAGCAATTAATATTATTCCACATCCAATTAGAACGATTTTTACGTTCCTCTTACTGAATATTATTGGGTAACGTAACGGATAGTAAATTGCAATATATCGATCATGTGTTATTACGATGTTCGTCAAAAAGGATAATCCACTGCAGAAAATGTAAATAAGACGACTTGTATCAAAAAGGAAACAGTTGTGTGCGCCATATATTTCCATTGTTGCTCGGGTAATCGCAATTGGTTGAGCCAACACGCCAACGAGGATGTCACTAACAGCCAACACAATCAAAAGCATATTGGATGTATTCTGAAGTATACGATTGCTAAGATAGGTTGAAATAAACAGCGCGTTTATTAATACTGTAAAAATTGCCAGGAATACATTGAAAATAATAACAATCATGTTAGCTGTAACGATACGAGGTGTTGGTAGGCTTACTAAATATGTCGCGATACGACACCAACCAACTTCAACTAAACTTGAATTCATTTTCACTTTCACGTTACTCCAAAAACAAAGATCCAATAACTTATTTTGTTTCTCTCACAAACTAGGTATTCTTACATAAATAATAATGTGTTTTCCATTAAGCCATATACGGCATGCTGGGATGATAAAAAGATTGCTGATATAAGGCCATTAAATTTTAATTCTTGTTAATGATTTTAATATAAATTTGATGTACTTTGTTGCATTGCTTGGATGTATAATATTATAATATTAATTAAAAGGATTATACTGGTTTGAGCATATCTTAACTGGCGACAGTTTCCCGTTACATAATCATAACATTACATACTTCAACATTTGTCAGAAAAAATATACTATGAGTCAAAGAAATAAGCATAAGAACTCATTCTTGACCTGAACAATGAAAACTGAGAAAAAAGTGTGCAATAAATAATCTTCGTGGGTTTGTCATTTGTGTGTTTGCAAATTGCGTCCGGTCACTCTGACAAATGAGGCTCTTTTTCCAAACACTCTGACTGTTTGTGAAACAAGATTTGATAATTTCGTGAGAAAGCATGCAGACATTCTCCACTTTCAATGAAAAATTGACGCGTTTTAATTGAACATGTGTTGTTTTCACGTGCAAGAGTCAAAAATTGCGGCAGCCAACAAAAAAGGTGTTAGATAAGTGGGCGTTTCTGCCGCCTAAGATAAGATTTTCAGATTTGTGTCCTTTGGTCTGATTTTTTAAATCCGATTTTTTTACAAACAAGATGAAAAGACTGATTAAAGTTAAAAGAGCCGGAAAAATCGTCTTGGACGTCACGATGCTCAGGCCTTGCGATAACGCATCTTAAATTTTAATCTTAAACGTTCTGATCAAAGGCAATGGAACATAAAATAATAAGTCGCCGTCTTAATTCCGGGAAACGGTTTACGTCAAAAAAAATTCAAGAACTGCATTGCTGTGGAAAGAGAGAGCAGATGTTTATGTCTATAATATGTCGAGAGATAGACTGAAATATACAACTCATCTAAATAACTTATTTAAATGACTCTAATATAATGAAGCGTGATAAAAAATAGATAAGAATCATGAATGCAGCGAGGAAATAATTAGTAAAGAGAAGATGTTGCGAAAATCCACCTGCCCCACGTTTGATGATTAATTAGGATATTAATATTTCATATTACTACACATCAGTTTGTCACTATGTGTTTATCTTAAAATAGACAGACTTTCTGAGTGTGGACACTTGTATTGGCATCTGTCTGTATCCGGCGAACTCATTTCCTGACATATCTCCGTTCACTTTTGTGAGAATATCCAGCACATGCAATGTCTGTGCGTGGTCTTCGAACTGCTTCATAAGAGTCTGGATGAACCAGGATCCTGTACGAATATCTCTGTAAGATTGCTCACCATCAATAGTTGAATGAGCGAGTAAGATGTCAGATGACTCTGGTGGCAATAACATCTTCTCATAATCACCATCATCTTCAACGAAACTATCGATCTCGTGCCCAGTGGATACTCCGTCACTCTCCTTACCCCGCGCAGAAGGAAGACCTGGGGACGAACCCTCGCTTCGACATGCCTGAATAAAGAACAATTTGGGTTTTCCCAGAAGATCTTTATTTTCTTTGAAATACGATACAATGTCTTTGACCTTGATTATATCTTCATCAACACCATAAATGCCATATCTATATAATATACAATGTGATTTTAAAATTCTTGTTGTCATTCAGCAAATAAACTGCACTAACTGCACTACGATCATACAACTGTTTGAAGAGCTAAACCGGAAGCATCAGACTTCATAATTACCTGTTTCCATGACTTAAAATAAAACATACGAATCCATCATAGTTGGAAAATAATTTATTATCAGAAGCAAGTTTTCTACAATGTGTACGGATCTCAGAAACTGTACAATTTTCTTTCAGATCATCAAGTGTTAAACCAGCTTTCCTACAGAATCGTTTGATTGCACCCACGTCTTTCTCAGATCCTTCTCGTGATGGCAGTTTTCTGAAATTTTTCATGTTGTGTATGATAAGCGCGTAACCTCGGTTAATATGATGCCCGTCTTCGTCTGAAAAGATTTCAAAACATAATTCTGAATGTCATCAAACTTATTCAAAAAAGCTGTTTCCATACGTCTTGTTTCAATCATTCAATGTACGACTCTCGATTCCACGGTCATTATACATCGATTCTGAATACAATCGTATTGTTAGAATGTTACATGTAGTCTTAAAAATAATTATAAAAATTAGTATTACCTGCGTGACTCTTAACAACACTCGTAACTGATGGCTGCCCATGACCTGTTAAGATAGACACAATCTGTACACATGGGAAGTCTTTGTTTGAGCAAATGCTTTAAAGGTTTTGTGCAATCGGAAGTTTGTTTTAAAATGTTGGCAGCTGTGTTAAAATGGAACAATAAAATTGGCAATTTGATGTTAAAAGATGAAATCACGAAATCTAAATTGTGGTTTTATAATTCTATAGATATCTTTATTTCTTTAAGATTCCGTCTTTTCAAAATCGGCGAGAAACGAAAGCACATATTCAATGAATGTCAACAAAGCGGTCAGAGCCCAGAGGTGACTGAGGTATACGTTGTTGTTTCTCGCAGACTCACAGAGAAACCTGTCTCAACTCTCAAAAGTATAGTGATATTTACCTGAAGTTCCCATTGCGATCGTAATATTTTGATTATCGCCTATGATTGTTGTTCCGCTACCTACATTAACTACATTTATATTATATTTAGCTGAGCCTTCAGCCATCTTTTCAGATTTTATAATGAACCCTTCCCTAGTCTTCTCTAGCGACCGCTGGTCTTCTCAGAAACAATGACTGCATCAATTTCTTTGAAAGTAAACTTTCGTGGCAAATTAAAGACAAGTTTTTGGAAGATCTATAAACTCAGATCTCACTCAGATCAAAACACTCGCATATTGTAGAATTAAATGTGATTATGAAAGAGATTGCAAGCTTTTCAAGAATTTTTTACTTCATTTTCAGTTTTTAAGTATTTATATTTACATAGATGTGTTAATTGCAGGAGAAGACTGGAATACGAAAGTAATCTGACTGTCGGCCAAGTACAAATAACCCGACTTATCACTGATTTCTGCAAAAATTGCCCAAATTTTAGTATAATACGATAAAATACATAAAAACTTGCCTAGATTCAAATGCTCTACGTCGAACTTTTCATGGCCGAACCTAATGTTAATGAGTTAAAGACAAAGTCTTTGTTTAAGTTCATTTGCATTCGATTCAGCTCACTGATTCAGCATGATGAAAAGTTCGAGGTCTGAAACGGTCAAACGGGCCTGAGAGAACCTCGGCCCCAGGACCACCCTGTCCACCCATTCTAAGACCGGCGTTGCAAATCCACTTCAACTACCCTTTCAAGTTAATATACTTGAGCTTTTTTGGTATTCTTCATTTAACAAACCGGGCTTAATCATGCAGGCAAGTTAGAAACTCCAAACCCTTTTGTCTATTTTAGGCCGTTGTTTTACAACATTTGAAGTTATTTGCTACCAATGCTATCGTTAAATGATAATCAAAAGATCGTGAGCGAGGTTCATATTTATTTCCATCACTACTACCACTGTTAAATTTCACTGTTAATAATATTTAGTCAGATGTTTAATAGGTGTGCGAAAGGTAGAGCGAGGTAGAGCGAGGTGTCATCAGTTTCAAAATCATGCATCGAAATATGCATGCATAGATTTACTCTGTTTCAGCATTGTTTTTCTATATTACATCATCTATACTGTCTTTATCTTAAAGTGAATCAACTTCCTCAGGTTAGAGATCTGAATTGGCATTTGTTCAGTTTTTATCCTCTGCTTTGACTTCTCAGCCACCGCCTTATTGACTAGAGTCATGATTTCCATCAAATGCGAGGTCTTTGCATGCAATCTCATCGTTTTTATAAGATCTTGAATAAACCAGGAACCTTCATTGATATCTCTGCATGAATATTCTCCGTTGATAGTTGAATGTCCGATCATAATATCGGACGCGTCCGATTGACATAGACCCCAATTCGGATCGCCTCCGATTTTTTCCAAATCTTCCTTTTGTTGTTGGTTGGAGACAATTGGGCGACATGCTTGGATAAAAAACAGTTTTGGTTTTCCTGCAAGTTCATCACACTCTTTAAAGTACGACACAATTTCGTCGATACTGATTATTTTTTCGTAACTACCATAGATTCCAGCACTATTTAATTTAAAGATAAATATATGAGTCAACCTTTTTAATATTGCGTTACTGTGTATGATAATGTCGAGGTTCATATTTATGATAAATATATGAGTCATCATTTTATTGCGTTACTGTAGTGACCATGCACTGACTCACGTCTGTGGCACAGATATTAATTTCAAATGGTATACATGCAATGTTCCAAGTATTGAGAATCGTTTTATGGAGGCACGAATCTTCCCCAAATGTGAAAAACAACTGTGGTACGTCTGTCCGGCCTTGCATGGAAGTTGGAATTCAGTCGTCTTCTAAAATAGCGCAGTTTTCGACGATAACAAGATTTTACAACTCTTGGTTTTCCCAGAAAAAATAGCCTGTATAGGACGCCTGAATCACACTGAATGGATTGCAAGTATTATTTATGCGGCGCTAAAGTTCTGAAAACTGTAATAATTACCTGTTTCCGTGGCTACTTATAAAACAAACAAAACCATCGTAGTTCCGAAATTCATTTTTATCAGCATTCGTTATTTTTTGGCAATGATCACGAATATCAGTGACTTCTTTATTCTCTATCAGATCAATTTTTAGACCAGCTTCCAGACAGAAATCCTTGATTGCTTCAAGATCTTTCTCAGAACCTTTTCTGTATCGAAGTTTTGGGAAATTTTTGTTATGAATCACCAGTGCATAACCTCTGTCAATAGTGTACACGCTTTGTGTGTCTAGAAGTAAATAGAATGAAATTAGCTTAGAAAAGAAATTTCTCAATGTCTCTGTTATAAGGCACTCTTCGGCAGCCAATGATTTATCTGTTTCTGTCATAGGACTAAGGAACAACTGCTAGGAACGACTTTTCGATCACTAAGTATAGCCGCGTTACAAACAGTATAGCGCTAATTCGATCTAAACCTCTGCAAACCTTTTTTAAGGTAGGATGATGTACTTTGTTTAGACTTTGCTGTCTCTTCATCTGATACATCACCATCGCTTTCATCAATCACTCGCTACAGGAGAACCAGGAAAAATGAATGAAATTAGGAAATGTGAATTGTGAATGTGTTATTATCATGAAATTTATTTAAAAGTTATAAGAGCCAATATACAGACAGAGGAGTGACTATTATAAGAACGTCATATTACAACCAAATTTACTTTTCATGCATATGAATTGTGAATATATAAAGATTGGTCTTTGTCAAACTGATAATTTCACACCGAATCGTACCGAGTTTGTCAATTCTCCGACCAATTTTGGTTTAGTTTTCTCTTCGTTAGGTACGAGTGGAGTTTTGTTGACCTTGTTCTTACATTCAATTATGTTTGTACCACAATTGCATCCATCGCTGCAACTCACGCCTTTGTCTTTACAAGGACACCCTTTTCTCTTTAGACCAGTTCCTTTTTGACAACTGTTTTTGCATGAACAGAACATGATTTATAGGCATCCGCCTGTCATGTGTGTCTGTATATATCAAGGTTGAAGGAAATAATTTGATTCGCGGAGACGCTGCGCTGGTCAACAAGCGTTACAACTGTGATATTTGAATTGTGGCAGGCCAAGAGAACATACGCGAGTTGTCTGATTTTGCATGCCTCGTCCTGCGTGCTATAGTATAAATAGGATGTGCTTATAAATGTAGCAACTTTTTAAAACGAAATGTAAAAACATTAATGAAATTGAAAATGAAAAATATACGACAGCCGACAATCATTTTTCGCGGTGTGGGCATGCAGTCAACACTGACGTGGGAAACATTTGCATTAGGTTAAATGATTCAATAGTTCGGGTGAAATTTTCGGAATTTTATACTAGAAAAGGTTTTTATTGTACTTGAGATGTTATTGGAGGCCATGCAGGTTCAGGGGTTTTCAGCGGCAGAAAAATTTGTGAGACTAGGCTCATCGGAACTGCAAGGGGGTAAGCAGCAGCCTCCCCAATAACTGGGTGTAAGCAGCAGCCTCCCCAATAACTGGGTGTAAGCAGCAGCCTCCCCAATAACTGGGGGTAAGCAGCAGCCTCCCCAATAACTGGGTGTAAGCAGCAGCCTCCCCAATAACTGGGTGTAAGCAGCAGCCTCCCCAATAACTGGGGGTAAGCAGCAGCCTCCCCAATAACTGGGTGTAAGCAGCAGCCTCCCCAATAACTGGGGGTAAGCAGCAGCCTCCCCAATAACTGGGTGTAAGCAGCAGCCTCCCCAATAACTGGGTGTAAGCAGCAGCCTCTCCAATAACTGGGTGTAGGCAGCAGCCTCCCCAATCTCGTAATACCGTGGATTTTCACACGTACTAGTTTGTATCACTGAAAATGACAAATATGAGATATAAGAGGGAGGGGAATGCGCTGCAAACACTGGCTGCAAGCTGTGACCACATCCTTTCCCCGAAAATATTATAATTTGCATGATCGTGTTGTCATTATTATTTCTATACTCCTCCACCAGAATAGTCTACTGTGAATTACAATGATCCAACTTTAATCCTGCAATCACGACACAAAGTTCATTATGCTAGCCTCTGAGCTAGCTTGATTTATTCATTCTACTGACCCTAGCTTATATTGTATATCGATATTTCTCATGCCGTATAATATGAAAGTCTTTTTCCTGCATTAATCAGTGTAATCAGGTTTTGGTTTGTTTTTTTTCTTTGGGCTGACCTGAAAATGAAAGGGATAATTTGGAATTAATTCTGCTGAAAATATTAATTTTTAAAAATATAATATCGATAATCCTCTAATTATGAAGGCATCTTCGAAAGTCAATTATTGTAACCATGCACCCTTTTAAAATGCACTGAAAACTTTACTGAAATCTTTTGTCGCACAGAGTACGAATGCTCTGCGGGACAATTGCCTTTATTTGCACATTGATCGTAAGTTATCTACTCACTACTACTTCGCGTTTATCAAAAGAGGCGGAAAATTTGCATCTGACATTGCAGGAAAAATCGCAAATGTAAACGTTAAAGTACCGGCAGAAGAGAACGAGCGCTTTCGTACAGTGGCGTAGCCAGCCTGACGATTTTTTCCCCCTATGTAAATTTCGAGTTATTATAATTATTCATTTCTTTAGAAATTCATTGTTTTCATATTCAATAAACACCAAAATATTAGCATGGTGGGACAAATCGTCAGGCTGGCTACGCTACTGCTTTCGTAATGACATAACAATTGTATAGAAAAATGAATTTCAGTTTTAATTCTTAGATGAATGTTAAAAGCGCCTTACATGCAGCCTTTACTAACTGATGGTAATATGTAGTTTGATATTATCAGTCCACGCTTAAGCAAAACATACAAACCTTTTTTAGGGTAGCTTGATGTAGCCTGTTTAGGCTTTGAGGTTTCTTTGCCAGATTTATCGTTCTTATCAACCACCTGCTTCAAGAAATTCGTAAAATAATAAAATTAATATGGTTTCAAAGTAAGTTTTGTACCATTATTAATTGGGTCTGTGTAGGATTTAATATTATACCAATAATGAATGTTTATGAGTGCAATGGTAAGAATATTTTCATGAGGTGAAAGAGATGGAATGTTCCATCGGAAGCCGATGATGCATAATATAAACACAATCAAAGTGACCGTGCAATGGACAAAAAGGTCGGTCAATAAAAAGGGTCAGTAAAATGGAAATTTTTGTTTAATGCCACGTGATAAAAAACAACCAATTAAAAGACATTATATTAATAAAATGTTATATAAAAATAATTAACTTGAAAAACAGAAACGTCATCTTGGAGATTAGGTATTATTATTTCATTTAATAAAGTCGTTTTTCTACTTTTTCATATGACAGAGATTTAGAATCTCACTGAAAAAGACTGGTTCACTCTCACACAATCTTACCAGGTTTTTTAATCCTCTGACTAACTCTGGATCTGTTTTTTCTTCGTCAGGTACGACTACGAGTGGAGTTTTGTTGACCTTGTTCTTACATTCAATTATGTTCATGCCACATTCGCATTTATCGCTGCAATATAGCTCGTCATCTTTGCAAGAACATCCTTTTCTTTTCGGACCAGTTTTTTTTTGACAACTGTTTTTGCATGAACAGAACTAGAAAATGCCATAATTAACGTATATTCAAGACTCTAAAAGATGGTAAAATAAACTACAGACAGTTGAATTGCTACAAGCCAAAAGGCCCACCTGGGTTCTCTTCTTTTCTTGTTCCGTGTCTATATTTTTTTTGTGACTCATCTCTGCAATGGTCTGGTTAATCAGATGTATCTTTAATGTGCAACAAATGTTTAAAGCAAAATAATACAGAAAGAAAATAAAATAGAATAAAATAAAATTGAAAATAAAAATGCAAAGAGCATATGGGAAAGATATTGAATCGTTTTCCTGTGGTGGTAACACGAATGTCTTACGTCAAACCTAAATTTATATAAGCTCCAGTAATCAACATGGTGGAAATGCTGTGAATTTTAAGATTAAAGCTATTTTCCTTGTATGAAATATTTCTTCATCACATAAGAACCGTGTGCCATTACTTATATATGTACGTACGATATGAAGTCATAAATTATCAATGCCCGGAAGGAAGCCGTTTAAATTTACTTAATTCACCGGGTCTTTTAAAAGAACAACCGATTTACTCTCCCCTTGTCCAAATAAATATCACATGCGACATGCACCAGCCGTCAATATAATGCGTTTCAAAATCCATTTGACGGCGCCCGGATATGGGAATGGAATCTTACATTTCGTTGTTTGTATGATTTTGTGGTTGGCAATAATTTTGGCAGGACATCGTGGTCAATTATGTCATGGAACTTCATAATTACAATCCTGGTCAAAACATTGACGACACTCAGTGTTAATTGCCACTACAGTCAGTAGTAACGGAATATATTTCAAAATTCTCCCCCTTTCCCCCACAAATCAATGTTGGGTGATGTGTCAGAACTCATTCAAGTATTCAGCATGGGCTCAACATTGATTAGGGGGCGAGGGGGGAAGTCGAGACAGAAATGTTGATGTTTTGCATAAAAAACTACAAATCATTTTGAGTGTAGTCAATGGTTTTGGCCAGGATTGTAGAAGTAGTGGACTTGTGAATGATCGTGCAGGGTAAAGTGATGAAGTAATGAGTGAAAAAAGCTCGAAACAAGGATGATGTCATCAAGTGCGAAACTATTACATCAAAATTTTATTAACTTGTAACAAGCTTAATTACAAATATCATTATTTTTTGGCAATTATGAGAAATATTTAGGGTTATAAGTTTGATACACTATTCACATTATGAAGATTCTCGTGAGATTGGCGATTACATAAATAAACTACAACAACATATTTCGAAGTAGAATATTAACAAGAGATGGAATCATATATATCCAGGAAGACTATTAGAAATACAGGTTAAAAATAAAAGTTGGTTCGATTTTTTCTAAAAATATACAAGTAAAGTTACGCAATATGATTTACATTGTATCGTGCTGGAAACAATTGTTCGTTGTGTCCAGTGGTTGTGTCTAATAACTAGCTGATTTTCAGGATAGTGTTTGGTAACTAGCTAATCTTCAGGATGGCTTAGCATATAGTGTATCGTGCTTGAAAAGATCATTCGCAGTGTTTGGTAGCCAGCTAATCTTCAGAATGGCTTGGCGTATTGATTAAAACAAACAAATTTTGTCAAAGTAGAGACTTGAACTGGCATCTGTCTTTCTCCCATGAAGTCGCTTCCAGCTATAACGTCGTTTACTGTAGTCATGATTTCCAACAAATGATGGGTCTTTACGTACGCGTCTAAACTTTTCATAAGAGTTTGTATAAACCAAGATCCCTTGGCGGAGTGCTTATATGATTTCTCACCTTCCATGGTTGAGTGAGCAATAAGAATGTCGGATGTGTCTGGTGGACATAACCTCACACTTGGATTATCCTCATTTCCATCATCTTCAATGTCATCACCTCGGCATGCTTGGATGAAAAATAATTTCGGTTTTTCCAGAAGATCTTTATTTTCCTTGAAATAACCGACGATCTCATGTACACCTATTATTTCACCGCGTTTTCCGCAAATACCATAGCTACGAAAGGAATGGAAACGAATAAAATTCTGGCCATAAGGTCCATAGTGGATCTTGCCCTATCTAATCACATCAGAACACCTTAACTTAATTTAGCATATTTCATATGTGGTAAGAAACAACGTTAATTTGATTTGAATTTTAGTAGAATAAACCGACGTCGTGAACGTAGGTTAAATTGCATCAGTTTTTACAAAAAAAAGAAATAACTACAAGATTTTATCTAACTTTTAAGATCGACTATAAGTCTACGGTGACCGAGTGGCCGTTTACTCCAACTGTATAATCTTTTTTTACCTGTTTCCATGGCTGAGTATAAAACAAACAAAACCATCATAGCTCTTTAATGTATTTTTTTTGTTGAGTTTGCGACAATGCGCGCGGATTTGTTTCACTTCAAGGTTTTCTTGAACGTCCATAGTCAGACCGGCTTCCTTGCAAAATATTTCGATTGCTTGTAAATCGTGACGTGATCCTTCTCGATTTTCCAAATCGCAGTCTATGAATTCAATATTGTGTATTACTAATGCATAACCCTTCTTGATCTGGTGAAGTTGGCATGTTTGAGTCGTCGTGATCTTGCGTGTTCCTGAAAAGTTGACAGTTTTTAGAACAACTTGCAATGACGTTTTTGACGTAGTTGCATGAAAATAGATAAACATTTACTGCACTGGCAAGCAAGTTATATTTTTTCCTCATTTACAAGACCAGGTTCTCTGCTTACTTTTACATTTGTCATGAACCTTATTGCATTCGCCTTTTTTGGAAGGACGATTATCTGGTGTTGGTGTATTCCCTTTGAAACCACAGATTGAGTCGGTGTCATTATTATCATCAAGATTTAACTAAATTAAGAGAAACGGTTGCAATGAATACTAGCTATTCAACACACACATGGATGCTTTAAATTGCATTAGGACATGAATTGGGAATTTTCAATTTTCTTTCCGATTTAAAAAGAGCTGACAATTTCAGTTTCATTTAAGCCATTAAGGTCCGATATTTTTTGGTCGCGTAGCCGAAATTCGTTTGATTCGGTTTTTGTGAACGAGAAGTCTTAATTCAGTCTTAATTCATCCTCACCGAGCCTGAGAAGTTCGCTGCTATCTCGGTTTCCCTATTTTTGCAAACGAACTTTGTTCCACACGTGCAATGCTTGTCACAGCACAACCCGGCGTCCTTACATGGACAACCTCTTCTTTTTTGACCACTTCCTTTCTGGCAAGTGTTTTGGCATGAACATCCCTAGTAGTAGAAATAAGCGATACATTAAAGAAGGTATCTTTACATAATCCCGCTTAGCCGAAATTCCACGAAGCATCAGATGACTTTGGGGAGAGGTATTGAAATGAGTATTGAAACATTAACATGTGGTAGACAATAACTCCTAGCGGTGGGCAATAATGTATGGTCATTCCTTTAGAGCATTTCACGCATCGTTGAATCTTGGGTACATGGCTCTGAGAACCCAGATTCATATCAATTATGCAGACGAACTGAGAAAAAATAAAATGACTAATTCATTACCATTACATTCCAAAATGCATATACACTGTCATATACATTTGCATTATGCAGAAAGACAGTTTCTTACTTGTGTTACTTGGTGATATTTGTCTGCTACTTTTCCATAACTCATTTTTCTGCTGTAAATGAGATGTCTCTAGAGCTCTCGACTGACAAAAAGAAAAATAAAGCTTGCTCAACGACTTGGGAATTTTTATATCGTCAAAGGGAAATTGAAAATGAAAACATTTTAAAAAGCCTCTCGTTAACTAGACGATAAGTCGGCTTTTGAGTTTTTTTAACCGAAATTATTTTTTCCTTTCTCTAATATTGGGTAGCAAATAAAACGCCCGAAACTACAGGATGTCTCAAAAAAAAGAAAACTATTGAAATCACCCATAACAATGCAACTGTTAGAGTTTGAATGTCTAAGCAGTCTGTTGGGACTCGCAGGTGTATAAATGTTTGCCATACGCATTTTTATGCATGTACATATATGATGCAGTAGAATTTGCTTGTACACAAAAATGATATTTATTAACAATATTTACAATTTACAATGGATAACAATATTTAAATGTGCATTTCAAGGACCATGACCTTCGACATGTCCCCTTTCTCTAGCAACACAAAGCATTTAGCATTTTATAAGCTGCATTAAATCCCCACGGGCTGAAATTCGTGAGCACGGCATTCAAATTTTAACAATGAGTGATTTTAATAGTTTTCGGGTTTTTTGAGACACCCTGTATAGCAATAATACGCACGGATAATTTACATGCAAAACGTCATCCAGATTTATTCATTAGATCAGTGGGTGTGTAAAATTGTCTCTGTTTCTATGGCAACAATTACTTCGCCAATTTCATGGCGGCCAAAGATTGTTATCGACATGGCGATCAAAAAATGAATTTGACTTGTGTGGATGAAGCTGCGCTAAAAGCTCGTCTTATTGCAAAACCACAGCTCGATCAAAATCCGAAAGCGCTAAAGTTTTCCGGTATAACTGCAAGTCAACGACGCAAGGTTTATACTGTTTTGTTTTCACTTTATTTATATTCCCTTTTTCACTTTATATTGCTACGCAAATAATTTTTTGAAAGTAAAAACTATTGTCATATAATTTAATGCATGTGTATTTGGATTAATAGTAAAAAGTTCATGAGAAATATTTGAAAAAGTGAAGTAATAAAGACATGAAGTGTAATTTTCTGGTTTTATATGATACAAAAATAAATATATATATAGTTAGGTGAGAATTTGGTAACATTTGTATTTAATCGTAGATCTGTCATGGTAGATATGCATTCCTAGAAAGGTGTTCCACTGCCACCAGGGGTTGATTTGTGCAAAGGCTGGGTTAAATTTTAACCATGCTATTGGTTTTAACTTTAATACTAAGACAAAATTAGTTGTTAACTTCACAATGACAAAAGCTTCAGAAACATAAAGTTGGGTTAAGCTAGTCTAGGGGCCTAAACTTGCTTATTCTGTATGTTGTACTTTGATCTTTGGAAAGAATTAATGGTGGTCAACAGATATAATTCACAAGCAAACTTAATGTTAGTTTTGGAGTCATATTATTATTCATTCTTTTTATCAAATAATATATTATATTCCATATAGAATTCTCCTAAAACTGGAAAACTTGAGCCACTGGTAAGTTTGTTTGTTTGTAAACTATTTCTTTTATATTTCTGCATGTTTCTTATTATCAGGTGTGTATTAGTGTATATAAGTGAGAGGGTGTTTAGTGTGGTATGTATAAGTGAGAGGGTGTTTAGTGTGGTATGTATAAGTGAGAGGGTGTTTAGTGTGGTATGTATAAGTGAGAGGGTGTTTAGTGTGGTATGTATAAGTGAGAGGGTGTTTAGTGTGGTATGTATGAGTGAGAGGGTGTTTAGTGTGGTATGTATGAGTGAGAGGGTGTTTAGTGTGGTATATATAAGTGAGAGGGTGTTTAGTGTGGTATGTATGAGTGAGAGGGTGTTTAGTGTGGTATGTATAAGTGAGAGGGTGTTTAGTGTGGTATGTATAAGTGAGAGGGTGTTTAGTGTGGTATGTATAAGTTAGAGGGTGTTTAGTGTGGTATGTATAAGTGAGAGGGTGTTTAGTGTGGTATGTATAAGTGAGAGGGTGTTTAGTGTGGTATGTATAAGTGAGAGGGTGTTTAGTGTGGCATGTATGAGTGAGAGGGTGTTTAGTGTGGTATGTATAAGTGAGAGGGTGTTTAGTGTGGTATGTATAAGTGAGAGGGTGTTTAGTGTGGTATGTATAAGTGAGAGGGTGTTTAGTGTGGTATGTATAAGTGAGAGGGTGTTTAGTGTGGTATGTATGAGTGAGAGGGTGTTTGGGTATGTAACACTGCCTTATTGGTGCCAGAAGAGTGTCTTTCCCCACCTACTCAATTTAACCAACCTTCCACTGTGCTTGAGGAAGTTGGCCCATCATAGTTTACAATATATAAATGAAAATTCCTATCACTTTCAGCCCAACCTAGGAGCTTATCAGAAACGTAAACACGCTCCTAAACCAGGCGTCGCTTCCATAAATGGCAGAGATGAATCAGAAGACATTCCTGATAAGAAACCTCGTCAAAAAGCAGTTATTGAACCGGTCACCAGAACAACATCTCCCCTGCCAACTTTACCTGATGATCTGTTGCAGCAACAAAGAAAGTTTGACAGATCCTCTGGAAAACGAACAACTGTCACATTTTTTGATGTTCCAAAAGATGAGGTGGAAGAAAGGAGTCAAGATCCATTGACATTTGTTGACATGGTGCAATCCAATCCAAAAATTGGCTTTCTTTATATGAGCCCTGCTGTTGAGAAGTCATCTATAGAATATAATCCTTATAACTTGAGGTTTGTAGTCTGATTGTTTTTACTTATGTATTTATTTGTATCAAATTTATTGAATAATGTTCAAATGGAGAAAATGCAAATGGAACACAAGGTCCCATGCAAGGCATTCCTCCAATTTCATATACAAAAACAAATAACACACAGAAGAAACATATATAGCTACACACATTGAAGAATAAGCATATGCCACAAGTTTGAAAATGAAAATGAATGTTTTGGGGGGTTTTTTTATTAATTGTATAGTAAATTGTACTGTATACTAAAACACATGCATGTTGCATTACATTTCTGTCTGCTGTTTTTCTTAGAATTGTGAATCATTCAGAGATTAAGAACTCGGACAATTACTATACAATAAGTAGTGAAGGTGTTACACATGTGTCAAACAATGAAGCTGAGTTCACTCCACTCAAAAGATGGGCAAAGGAATTTGAGGATTACAAGAAAATTATCCAAATAAAGACGTTTGAAAAGTTCCGTATTTGGAAAGCTTTTGCAGTCTGGCGGAAAAATGTCAGGACAAAGTAAGCTTTTGATATGCATCATCACTTAAAGTACCACAATTGCATGTATCTTTATCAAAAAGAAATGTACTGTACAATGTGAAAGACAATTAACTGATATCTTGATAAAAGAGAAGTACGTTCCAACTATGTTATATCCTAGTACAGTTAAAGAATCTGCTTGTTTTGAGATATTTCACTGTATAGGGCTGTACCTAAATTGCTTACAAACATCATCACGTCTTTTTGCATCAGTTTTTTCATGCTAGCGGAAAAAAACACGAAGATCGTTTAAAATCCCAATCTTTCGGCCCTCAGGCATCTTAAGGTGGCTCCCTAGGGTTTTGAGAATTTTTTAAGTGCAGGTTTGATGATGCAAAATTAAGCACCAATATTGTAAACTATAGATTAAAATTAGCTTTAACGTATTGAGTACCATGTTTGAAATAAGAAAATATTGATAGGTCAATTATAGAAGCTGTTGCCATGGGAACAATGACGTTTCAAAATGGCCACCAATTATCATTAAATTACGATTATTTCACAAACCCTTCGGTGAAATGTCTTCTTTTTCCACTGAACATTTTTCCAGATGGTTAGTAATTGACAGGACAATTTTAAGAAAAAGTTATCGATACAAAAAAAATTAAAGGGGGAAAATATGGTTTTACGCAATTAAAAAAAATTCTATCGATAACTTTCTTTTAAAATTGTCCGGTCGTTTACTAAATGACCTGCAAAGCATTCGGTGAAAAATAAAAAAAATTCACCGAAGGATTCACGAAATAATTGCAATTAAATTATAGTTAGCGGCCATGTTGAAACCTCATTGTTTCCATAGCAACGGCCTTCATAGTTAATCCGTCAACAGTTTCTCATCTTTAACGTACTCCACAATATAATCAAAAGCATTATTGATCTTTAGTCTGCAATATTGGCGCTTAATTCGCCACAACAAACCTAATATCTAGAATTTTTAAAAAACTCTAGGGAGCCACCTTAACCTTAGTATTGCCGCTTCATATAGAAGGCCTGATCCTGATTGAAGGTTAGACATATCCATACCTCTGAAAAAGGTGTAGTTCCATCTTACTTAAAAATTTGAAAAAATGGCTTGAATTGCTGGGATACATATACTGTACCTATGAAACAACGTGCTAGTTATGTTGTTTTAAGCTGTAGGTGACGTTATGCAATATGTACCTCGACCAATACTGAACTGGGAGAATTTGGAAACTGTGTTATTACTTTCAGGAAAATTTCAACATGCAAGAACAGACTGCAGGATAATCTTTTCATTGTAAATGCGGTAAGTATTTTGAAAGAAATGATAATAATTATGATACACCATGATGACAACAACACGTGTCAGAGGTTGTAACGACGAAAGGAAATGCTGGATATAATTGAATGTGGAGTAAATTAGTTTCAAACTTGTGCGTTTCTTAATTTTTGTTGTATGATGACATTGTTTTTTAAAATTTATTAGTCTTTACGTCCAGCACTTCTTAACGTACGTGAGATGTGTTATCGTATCAGCGACATGGGCCTTTGTAAAGTTGAAAGAAATAAAACGTACACCCTTGATGAGTTCAGACAGGCGCAGTTTGACCAGCTCAGGGAGGTGAGTTCAGTTGTGATTCTATTCTTGAACGAGTTCTTAATTCGTTGATATGCATGTGTATAAAGCCAGGCCGGCGCACACGACGCGATTTTTTCGAACGATTTTAGTCGGCTGACTGCAATAGGAATATATCAAAACAGTTTGATATTTGCCGATTAAAAGTGGCCGAATAAATCGTACGACAAAAATTGCGTCGTATGCGCCTGGCTTAACAGCCTGTAATTGTAACCTGTTCTTTCGCTAAGTAAGTTTGAAAGTCACAACCTAACTTTTAGTGTTTTGTATCGCCTGCATGATTAAGACATTTAAGACAGTTGTAGCTAGTATATTAATAGTCAAAGTTGAAATTCCATGGTATCGTAATTAAATCATTGTCGTAATGAATACATGCACGTCTGACAGGTGACAGGGCGACTGGAAGAGTTCAGAGATCTTGTGAAGGAAGTCGTCCGCAGCGCATGCCGTGCTGCTCTCAAAGAAGCAGGATTTATTCCAGATGATTATTTGGTTGAAGTTGAGAGTGATATGGATGGTAGGTTTTGTTAGTGGATCACCAATTCAGGAAATACCTTTAACTGTCTCAACTGGTTTGTATATACTGTGGTTTAATGGGTAGGAACACTTATATATAGAAACACTTCAGTGTGCCACCACTGTATACAGGACACTTCACTGTTGTACAATAGACCTTTCCCCTTTTAGCTTTCAAGCACGCGATGCGTGACGGTAGTTGATTATCAAAGGTCCAATTCTGTAGTTCACTGCTTTACTTGGTGATACTAGCTCTGACATCGTTAAAATATCTCTTACAATAACGACATGATCTATATATAAAAACTGACATGATCTATTTTCAGGTTTAGTTCAAAGTCATCTGGCAGCCGTGGAAAGTACTTCATCTTATGGAATGTATGGAGATTATGAATTTGATTTATATGGCGAGGCACCTGATAAAATGACCTACACTGAACAAGCAAACAAACGCAGTCATTGTGCCAGACTCACAAGGTAAAACTGCCGCAGCTAATGTAAAAATAGTAAGAGCAATATCCTGGCGTATTTTGGAATAGCGCTTTCCACTCTGGATAGTAATTTTGGTAGGAATGCTGGAACAGCAATAAAGTTATAGCTTTGAGGCTGACAATTATCAAAGAGTCCCCAATGTAAGAACACTAAGGTTTAATCAAAGTTGCGTGTCTGTGGTTATACCGAACACCAGTCAATATTATAGAGCGATTGAAAAACAATTTCGTAGAATACAAAAGAATATTTTATTAATGCTATTGCAAACACCAGCTATTGTGGGCGAGCAGCAGCAGCATTAGATAGAGTTGCCCGGGCAACGTCAAAGGGCAACGTCTGATTACCAACGAAGAAGTTGGTTTTTCTTGTGACGGAAAATCTATACGCATGGCTTATTCTCAAAATAATCATGAACATTACAAGTTTAAAATACCAATGAACTTTCAGAAAGATTGATGTTGGATTTTCCTTAATGACTTGCATTTCTACACAACACGTTCACACCTCACTAACCATGCATGCTTCACATATTCTACACATATTCAGTTGTTATAGCTACAAAACGTCTGGTTATGTTTTTTTTAGTTTTATTCGCCTTGCTGATTACCTCATTGTTAACACAATGCACGCACTTGCTGTAAACTCTGTGGCTACTTTGCTAAATTATTTGGAAGAACAACTGCATCATTTGAAAGATTCTTCGAGTCCTACGGCTGATGAAAATGTAAGTTCCAAATGAAGCTTTCTTAAATTTTACGACATATTATCTGCTAGTTTTATCTACAGGACAGATCTTACTCAGATCTTACCCGATTGGATGACTGAGTGAGGGTTTTGCAATTTTGCAATCGGGTCTGTCTGTGTACATGCCTAAATATACGAAATGGGTCTTGATTGATTCATGATTCAAGACATCGTGTTGACTGCGATATTTAGTGAAGGGCATCCAGTACACTCCTTGCAACACGTGTTTTTACGTCATCGTATTTGTTTTATACAGGCTCAGGACGAGGAAGGTGTTGAGACCAATCCATTGTTTATTACGGAGTTACTTGTCGAACCACATTCATTGTTCTTCAGTCCTGACCTAGAGGACTTTCAAGAAGGCGTACATGAAGTAATCAGTCATTTCCAAGAAGCTGTACTCAGTGTTCATAATCTAGTACCAGATATTTACTTCCAGGCTTTTACCAGGTGCGTTTATTCTTTATGAATAATGATTCATGCGTGTCATTTTTCTTGATTTCACTTCTAATAGTTCCTTGAAATTTCACCTCAATCACACCCGACGAGAAATCCAAATTGACTTTTCACCAAACACGGAATGTTTATCTCAAAGTAAAATATTATTTCCTATCTCTGCAGTCCTATTATTAACGGGAAAGTTGAAGACAGGAACGTTGGCGAAGGACCGAGTTTAACAATGATGTTTGAAGACGATAAACATTTGCAATATCTAAATGATATGTTGAAGGTACGTGAATAATTGTAGTCAGTTCATGCGCCTTTCATGTCTTCATCGAGTTTCCATGTTCTGGATTTTAGTCTTGTGTCTGACTGGATGAAGATACTCGAACTAGGTTGCCTTATTTCACTATGAATAACATTTTAAATAAGTAGATGTGATTAGATGCTTCTTACCAAATTATGCTTTTTTAACAACTGTCAGTATTCTGCTGCAATTGGTATGAGACAAATACAAGCAATTTTTCCGAAATTCCTTTACCTTTGCAGGAAACGGTAACATCTGCATTTTCCTCCGCCACGAGGTTTGGAAACACTCTGGAACCCTACAGACAGTTTTATCAAGAGAATGAAAGTTTGGATCTGGAGGAAATGAAGACGCAGGAACACAGTGCGTAGATTATATCATTCGCGCGAAATAGCAAATTGGAAATAATGTTGTCTTGTATCACTTCTCAAACAAAACAATTTTCAAAGTGAGATTTACACGCGAAGGTTGCCGGATATGGAACGAGTTTGGGATTACCCATATCTAAAGAAAGAATACTATACTGCTTTACTTATATTGTCATTCTCTTGAATGAGAAGGTAGATCCATTAAACATAATATTTTTTCCTCTCTAGATGTTCCATTCTTTTCCATGTCATTGGAGAAATACACAACTGAGCGTACGTTGGTCGAGAAAGTTCCGGATAAAAAACCCATTGGAATGTTGTATTTGGATTGTACTAAACTGAAACAAGTTCTCATGCCGTCACCACTAAAATGTCTTGATGTAAGTCAAATCGTCTTTTTAACTGCAGCAATGTTTTCCCGAGTTCGAATATTCCCCGACTTTTCGTTATTGATTGAAACTGTTTTACTTCTTTGTGTAGGTCATTCATGAAATCCTACCTAAACTCGCTAAAAAACGAGTTGATAGTTTAATGGAATTCTGCCAAGACTCTCAGTTTAAACTGGAAATTATTCCGTCAACAACTGAAGAGTATGTTGACAGTCTTACATTCTTGGATGAGATACAAGAACAGGTTTGTTTGAAATGAAGAGCATTATGTGTTCGAACTGTTACCAGTCGTTTGACGGAGTTGACATTTATATTCCTTCATTTAGATCGAAGATCTGGAGACAAATTGCACAACTGCAAAAGAACTTTATAATTTGATAGAAACCTACACAGTGCCAACTCCACCTGAAGATTTAGCCGTTTATCAGGTGGGAATAGTTCGATTTATTTTTTATATTTTAACCACATTAGCATAATAACTAAAGATTGATGCGTATTTTATTCATAGACTCTTAACAATGCTGTATCGATGGTGCGCAGTGCAATAGACAAAGCCTTGGCTGACAGAGATCAAAATCTGGACAAGTTTTGCACTCGTTTGGACAAAGACATTGCCTTGCTCGGAAAAGAAGTAAAGTCGATCAAACAAGAGGCACAGGTTAGAAAATATTTCCATAGTTTTCAGTAGTAACTAGTTTGACACATTGCAAACAGCTTGTTCATATTCTTCTTGTCTTCAGAATCCAATCATTCTGGATCCATCTGCGGAGTCAGAGAAAGTTGTTGGTTTTCTGGGCGAATTACAAGAAAAGATGGATGATTTGCAAAAGAGAGCGTTCATGTACAAGTCGTACCAAAAGAATTTCAAAGTATGGAGAAATAGATCTGAGAAAGGTCGTCTAAACAATTTCACATCGTTCAGGATGATATACTTTATTTTATCTTGTAGGTTGAAGTAACGAAGTTTGAAGAATTGGAAGAAACACACGCAGAATTGAAACTAAAACAGACACTTTGGAATTCGAGAATTGAATGGGAGGTGAATCATGAAGAATGGATGAATGTAAGTAAATATTTGCTTGATGAGTAGCAGGAGGGGAGAACAAGGGGACAACGAGGGACAACGAGGGGAGAACGAGGAAAGAACAAGAGGAGAACGAATGAATGGCGGAATAAATTAAGATGATAACGTGGATTATATTTTATGTTTGTTCTTTTTTTTCAAGGCAATATTTGAGAACATTGATCCTGAGTTACTGACGAACCACGTTATGAAATATCATAAAGTTGTTTTGCAGCTTGAGAAAGGTCTGCCACCGAACGCTGTTGTTCCTCAACTCCGAGGAAAAGTTGATAACATGCGCCACAAGGTAAGATACAAGATCTTCATAAGAGTATCAACTATATTTATACTATACTGGATTAAGTCATCCAGAAAACTCTTTAGTCATCCTGTGTTACTACTCTCTAATTTCCCATTACATCGTCCTCAGCTTCCGGTGATATCAGATCTACGAAACCCTGCGTTAAAACAACGTCACTGGGACGCTATCCAGCAAGTCTTAGAGCACGTGTTCAGTGAAGAGGAGCCGTTAACGCTAGGATTGTTGGAGGATATTGATGCTTTTGATCACAGTGAGTCGATTCAAGAAATATCAGGACAAGCATCGAGTGAAGCTTCGCTGGAAACACTTTTGAAAAAGGTAAAACTTGTAAAGTTAGCAATAATTCATCACACCTAAACGGTTGTCAATAGCGTTGTTGTTGTTATTGTTGTTCCTCCGGAAGGTTGAAGATGGTTGGAAGACAACAGAGTTTATTGTTCTTCCACATCGAGATTCTAAAGATGTGTTCATCCTTGGTGGTGTTGATGATATTCAGGTTCAACTGGACGACAGTCAGGTAAGAAAGACATCATCTACCACATATAATGCTGTCATGAAGCAACAAGGATTGGTCAAGGAACTTTACTTATACACTAAATAATCCTACAGCACATTTTTGTACATGATTTCGCAGGTCAACATATCGACGATTGCAGGCTCACGTCATGTTGGGCCAATCAAACCGCGTGTTGAAGAATGGGTGCGACAGTTATCGCTATTCAGCGAGACACTGGTGAGTGATCGTAACTGCATGGTATATTTCTAATGTCTAGGTCACATATCAACAAACAATATTCTCATTTGTTTTTCTCAGGATGAGTGGATGACATGCCAACGAAACTGGCTGTATTTAGAAAGTATTTTTAGCGCTCCAGACATACAGAGACAACTGCCAGCCGAAGCGAAGATGTTTATGACCGTTGATAAATCTTGGAAGGAAATCATGAGAAAAGTTGCAAGATTGCCAAATGCTATGAGAGCAGCAACACAGCCTGGTCTATTAGAAACATTTCAAAACAACAACGCTTTGCTGGATCAAATTCAGAAGTGTCTTGAAGCTTATCTTGAATCAAAGTGTGTTGTGTTTCCAAGGTAAGAGATAGTTCAGTGTTTGTTGTTTTTCTTTCACATAGTTATAACGATGATTATATTCTTTTTAAGATTTTATTTCTTATCTAACGACGAATTATTGGAGATTCTCTCTCAAACTCGCAACCCTCACGCAGTTCAGCCACATTTACAGAAATGCTTTGATGCAATCGCAAGGTACGAATGCTTTATAATACATGCCGTAATCCAGTTTCATAATGCATGCATTAGTCCAGCTTATCCGAGTTCAGCCCTTCTCTATAGTTATAACTTAACCCTCTTATTTAAGTACACACTAACAACCTGCTATAATTATTTTCCAAGTTTGGAATTTGGAAGTGCTCCACCTCCGGCCCAGGATCCCAGTGACACCGCTGGAACAGATAGACGTATGTTGAAATGGTTTGGTTTATTAATTCTTACTTATTCTGCGGCGTATGTAATTTAATAAATGCGTAATTTCTTGTTTTCGCTAGCGCCCTCGCCTAGTAAAGTTGTTGAAACGAAAACAAACGATATTGTCGCGATGATTTCTCCGGAAAAAGAGAGAGTCCCACTTGGAAAGGTATCAAACTTCGGTTGAGTTTAATATACTTTATATCATTCGGTGATTCTAAACTAGCCAAATGAAAATCTTGCAATCATTTCACAGAAACCTTTTATTACTAAGGTTCAAGCTAGTAAATTCCCTGCTGCGATCAAATTATTTTTCCACATTTCGTCCAGGGTCTAAAAGCGCGAGGAAACGTTGAAGAGTGGCTTGGTAAAGTGGAGGAGTCAATGGTTGCTACGCTACGAAAGCTGACGAAATATGCCATCGGAGATTACGAGGAGAAAACTCGTGAAGAATGGGTCACGTGTCATGCAAGTCAAGTGAGGAATCTAGAAGTGATTGTAAAAATCCTGATATTTTCTCGCTGAAATGCTTTTTCTTGCCAGGTTGTGTTGACAGTTTCACAAACAATGTGGTGTCGTGATCTCACAAAATGTCTGACATCCGACGGTGATCGACTGGAAGAGTTGAAACAAGCGGAACAAACATCATTTCAGGTCTTTCCAAATTTCCTTTTTTCGAATTTTCCAGGATTTTAGGATTAAGATTTTTTAAGAATTGATGTAGACAGGGCAAACTGTACACAAAGGCACAGCAGCAAATGTTTTTCGCATTCTAATCATTCATAACGGTCTTATTCATTCTGTTTTAGAGCCTGAATAAACTGGCGGCACTCGTTCGAGGTGAATTGCCTAAAATCACACGAAGTATTTTGTGTGCATTAATTACAATTGATGTTCACGCTCGGGATATCGTCACTGGTCTTGTCGAAGCCAAGGTAATAAATAATGAATCGCTGTAATACTGTACTTTCTAAATTGATCGATCACACAGACCGTCACCTTGCTGATTCTGTAAAGAAGGATACTGTAGTGGATTTATATCGAGTCACCCAAAAGCCCTAAACCTATCTCCTTAACATCGGCTTGAGTATCTAATGCGAAAATCACGTATTGTATGGTGTAGATTGACAGTGTTGAAAGTTTCGAATGGGTGAAACAGTTACGTTATTACTGGGATCAAGATCTTGACAATTGTGTGGTGCAAATGTCTAACTCGCAGTATACTTACGGATACGAATATCTCGGTGCTTCACCCAGACTGGTCATAACTCCACTCACTGTAAGTTGTTTATGTTTGTGGTAATCTGTCAACACTCTGAGACATGTCTTGCAATGTTGTGTTTAAAATATTTCTAGGATCGATGTTATCTGTGTCTTATGGGAGCTCTGCAGCTGGACTTGGGTGGAGCTCCTGCCGGGCCCGCAGGGACGGGGAAGACTGAGACTACTAAGGTTTGAATTATCATCTGTTTTCTAAACGTAGGCATGACTGGTTATTAAATCTAATGTAGGTATGACTAACCATGATTGCTAACCCTTATCCACAGAAAGTAAACTTACATGGCTGGGGCTAGAAGAATGAAATATTAACTTCTACCTAAATTTAATTCTTTGACATTCAGGATTTAGCCAAAGCGTTAGCGAAGCAGTGTGTTGTGTTCAACTGTTCTGAAGGCATTGATTATAAGGTACGTTTAGGATTTCTTTCAAGACAAAACCATGAAGTTTGTATTTATATCATTTTATTTGTTTTTTGAAAATCTAGATGATGGGCAGGTTTTTCTCAGGTCTGGCTCAGTCTGGGGCTTGGTGTTGTTTTGATGAGTTCAATCGTATTGATATCGAGGTCTTGTCTGTCATTGCTCAACAACTGTTGACCATAAGGAATGCAAAACTTTCACGGGTAATTAGAACTATATTTATTTACGATACACTGCCTAATGATGGTGAAAACCCGGGGAAATTCCAACCCTGGGAACAAGGTTGGGGAAATTCGTTTGGTCTGTAAATTTAATCTATAAGAAATAATGTTTGATAATATTAAATGTAAACAGTACAGTGGTGGAAAAGAAGCACACCAGGGCTTTCTACATCTTTGCATGTATTCAAGATCTATCTTTACATGTAGCTATATTTTCTGACTCTATGTATTTAGGAGAGCAGGTTCATGTTCGAGGGTCGTGAGATAAAGTTAGTACCATCATGTGCAGCTTTTATCACCATGAATCCTGGTTACGCTGGGCGAACAGAATTACCTGACAACTTGAAGGCTCTGTTTCGACCCATGGCTATGATGGTTCCTGATTACGGTGAGAATATAGCTACGTAGAGGAATATCATTTTAATTACGTCATATTGTTGTATTTGTTATCTCGACGCAAACTATTTGACACGTTTCGCTCTCATGATATTCTAATATCTCTCTTCAGCTCTTATTGCCGAAGTCATTCTGTATTCAGAAGGATTTGAATCTTCAAAGAACTTGGCTCGTAAGATGGTTCAAATGTATCGTCTTTGCAGTGAACAATTGTCTCAGCAAGATCATTATGATTTTGGTATGAGAGCCGTCAAGTCAGTGTTGGTAATGGCGGGTGCATTAAAACGAGGCAATCCTAACCTCAGCGAGGATGTTGTTCTTATCAGAGCGCTAAGAGACAGTAATCTGCCCAAGTTTCTTGCTGACGATGCAATATTATTTAGAGTAAGTACACTCTCGACCACTACCATCAACGTCACTGTGTGACACTTCACAATTAATTAATCGCAATTAGGATATCGATTATTCATTAAATCGTTGATATTGAAAGTTGTGGTTTTTGAACTCTTACCATCACTCATGATCTATCTACTGACGCATTCGTGCCAATTTTTCTTTCAATCTTATCCAGGCAATTTTATCCGACCTGTTTCCTGGCAGAGAAATTCCAGATCATGATTATGGCAAGCTACAATCAACAATTGAAGATTGTCTCTTGGAACAAAAGTTACAGGTAGAATACATTGTTAGAGACCAGTCATACTGCGAATGACTTTACAGAAAAGTCAGAATAGATCTAAATAATTTTGTTATATTTTTAAAGGTCGTACCAGCCATGGTTAAGAAAACCATTCAACTGTACGAAACAATGTTGGTGCGTCATGGTGTGATGTTGGTGGGACCAACTGGTGGTGGAAAAACAACTTGTTATGAGGTATTCTTATCTGATTACTTGCTACAGACAATATGAAACATATAACCTCATGCATTGAATCTGTTTATTTTAATATCTTTGTTTCTTTCTTAAAGACATTGAAGATGACTCTTACAAGTCTTCACGCTCAAGGAATTGATGATCCTGATTATTTACCTGTTAATACTTACGTTCTCAATCCGAAGGTATGAATTTCTTCTAAAACATTTCCCCAATAGTTATTATTCGTTTTTCTCATGTTTTTTCTTCCGTTTTCTTCAGTCAATCAGCATGGGTGAACTTTATGGTGAAGTGAACAAAATGACTTTGGAATGGCAAGATGGATTGATGGCTTTAACAGTCCGCCAATGTGTTCAGGTTAGTCTATCACGGGAATTTGTTGTATATAATGATATATCCGATTATTATTATCAATAATTTAAAATAATCAATGCTTATTATTGTGATAGAAAGAAGTTATAAGTTAGTTTAGGAAGGAGGAGTATGACACAAGTTTATTCGTTCCTGTAGGACACATCTGAAGACCACAAGTGGATCGTGTGTGATGGTCCTGTTGATGCTCTGTGGATTGAGAATATGAACACAGTTCTGGATGATAACAAGATGTTATGTCTTGCCAATAGTGAACGTATCAAACTCAATGCTACCATTCATATGTTGTTTGAAGTGCAAGATCTTGCTGTCGCCTCACCAGCTACCGTGAGCAGGTACTGTACAGAATATTCTGTAATTTATTGAGATTCTGTAGATATTTTCCCACATTTTCTCACCTTGTTGTTTTCTTTCTTACCTTGTTGTTTCCGAGATCCTAATCTATGCACAATAAGAGACGCTGTCACCGTGACCGTATTTCCGACTTTCTGCAGACATTTGACTCCCAATTGTTCTCATTCGTTTGTATTTGCCTTTTATCAGATGTGGTATGGTGTATGTTGATCCAGGCCAACTTGGTTGGAAACCTTACGTCACTTCCTGGTTGCAAAGAGTTGGCGAGAAATTAAAACAAGATGCTCAGGTTGTTTTTTGACAATCCTTGTTGTGAGTTGTTGACGTATTGCGAAGTGTTGTGTCAACGTGTTCGACTAATCACTTTATGTTACGTTTTCTAGGAGTATTTGACCAATCTTTTTGACACCTATGTCGATGCTGGATTGAATTTTGTTTCAAAAAAATGTACACAGGCAATTCCTCAGGTTGGGTGAATTTCATGTTTTCCACATTCATATTTTTCATGTACAAAAGATATATGTCATGATCTTGATTATATTGTAATCTCTCAAGAGAATATATGTACGTTTGGAGCAAAGTCGTTTAAAAAACTACATTTCACACACTTCCAATTTACCTCAGTCATCCTCTATTTTCCTCAGGTAAAAATCAGCAAAGTGGCAACACTGTGCAGTCTCTTTGAGTCATTACTTCTTCAAGAAGGTACTGACCTGACCATGGACGTCAATCGATTGCATTCTTTGATTGCAACAACATTCCTGTTCTCGTTTGTCTGGTCTATCGGTGGAAATTTGATCGAGAAATGTATGGACATGTTTGATTCATTCGTACGAGAACTTTTTGCCGAATGTCATGATGTCAGGGTAAGAGAGACAATTTACTGAGGAATGTCTGGTTGTATTTGTCTTAATTTAACTTGTGATATATTTTGATACAGCAACCATCAGCTGGAGATCTCTATGGTTATTTTGTTGATACTGATACACGACGATTGGAACCTTGGGAAAAGATAATACCTTCGTTCAAATATTCTCCAGAGGTTTGTTTATTTCATTTAAGTTCGTGTTTTCATTTTAATTAGCGTATAGTGCTATTTTATATTTTTTATTTGAAGTGATCTTTGAAAAAGACTCTTCTATTCGTGTTTTTTCAGATTCCTTATTTTGATCTGCTCGTGCCTACGGTAGACACTGTTAGATTTGGTTTTTTGCTTGAGAAACTTGTCACTATTCAAAAATCTGTTCTTTTCACTGGGATGACTGGAGTTGGCAAGGTACAATAATGGATTTAACTGTGTTGTTCGTTTGTGTTGTTAACTGTGTTTATTCACGGAAGTCATAAATTGTTGTTCATTTATGTTGCTGTTTTCTTTAGTCGGTGACTGTCAAAGGATGTTTAGAAAACTTCAGCGATAAAGGCGGCATCGTTCCTGTTGTTATTAATTTCTCCGCTCAGACAAGCAGTAAGAGAACTCAAGAAATTATCGAGTCAAAACTGGAGAAGAAGCGTAAAACAATCCTCGGTGAGATGTTTTGATTTATTTCCATTGATTGAGTGTGAAGAAATTTCTGTTGTTTTTGTTATTTAAACTATTTTATCCCATCACTCCAGGAGCGCCAATCGGAAAGAAGGTTGTGATATTTGTAGATGATCTCAATATGCCTAAACTGGATACATATGGTGCCCAGCCTCCCGTGGAACTTCTCAGGCAATATCAGGATTTCAAAGGCTTCTACGATCGTGAAAAGCTCTTCTGGAAAGATATCAAGGTTTTATATTTGATTTTCTAAGAGCTGTGTGAGGTTAACATGACATTCACTTTAAAATTGTCTCTTTTCAGGATGTGATCATCTGTGCGGCGTGTGCCCCTCCTGGCGGTGGCAGAAATCCCGTCACCCCCCGGTTTATACGTCACTTCAGTATGTTCTCAATACCAACCTCAGCGGAACATACGCTCAAACATATCTTCAAGGTAAGCTTGATAATGTCATCTCGTAATTCCTTGCAATAGATTTAATTCAAATAATTTTCTTGCAGTCCATCGTCTCGGGATTTTTAACTGAGTTTCCTAACGAGGTCCGTACCGCTGCTGAAGCGATTGTTGCTTCCAGGTAATTAGAATTATATTCATTCATTTCATATTTTTAAAAAGAGTAACATTGCTATCTGTAATCTTTTCTATCATTTCTCTTGTCTCTTTGTTTCCCACTTCCTTCCTCTGAACCCCTCCTCCTTCAGTTTCTATCTTCGTTTGTCTTATCGCATATTCTTCGACAAATATTCTTTTAATTTAGCGTGGAGATCTACATGAGAATGAGCACTGATCTGCTGCCAACTCCCGCCAAGTCCCATTACATCTTTAACTTGAGGGATCTTTCCAAATGTATTCAAGGTGAAACATAAATTGCTGATATGCTACTGTATGTCCCCTCAAGCAGACTGTATCATCGTACAAAGGTCAACTTGCTTTAATCAAAATACGTGTTGAATCCGCATCGACTAACTGTGAAAAAAACAATGTGATATTATTTCTTAGGCGTTCTTCAAGCCGACCCTGGTACTGTGCGTGATTACTCTCAGATCTTCAGGCTATTCTGTCACGAAGCACAGCGTGTGTTTCACGATCGTTTGATAAATCACGAAGACAAAAAATACTTTAACACTATTCTTTCTGAAATGTCACAAAAACATTTCTCTCAGGTCAGATAATAGTTTGAAGCTGTATTCTGTTGAATTTCTTTTGTCAACTCATACTGAGCAGTGGTTGAAAAATAGGGTAACTCGATGTTTATTATTTGTAGAATGTGGATCCAGAATTGTTTGAAACGAAGCCAATATTGTTTGGTGATTTTATGAAAATGGGGGCAGAACCGTCAGACAGGATGTACGAGGAACTCACAGACATGAACAAACTTCAGAATATCTTAAATGACGTACGTTGCTATGCTTTGTGGTTCATATTAATCTGTCATCTCTGTGCATGGAGGATACTTTTCATCTTTTCATCTCTGTGCATGGAGGATACTAGAGTCATTTATTTTATTGCAGTATCTTGATGACTTCAACCTAAATTCATCCAAAGAAATGAGACTAGTTTTCTTCATGGACGCAATTCAACATGTCACAAGGTAAATTCTGACCGAATGATGCATGATTTGGTATTTATGCATTAAATACTGAATTTCTTTTTCTTCAGAATCTCTCGTATGGTTCGACAACCAAGAGGAAATGCGCTCTTAGTTGGGGTTGGTGGTACTGGAAAGCAAAGTTTGACCAGGTAAACTGCATTTAATGCATGTATGAAAATGATAAACATGTGTCTTCACATAGCGTACAGTAGCTCAACGACAGGAGATGTAATTAAGGCGAACGATTTTTTCTATAACCTTCCTGGTTCTAACGGAATTGAAAATTTTCTACAGATTGGCCGCTCACATGGCTGGCTACAAATGTTTTCAAATTGAGCTCACAAGAGGATATGATTACACTGCATTCCGTGAAGACCTCAAACTATTGTATTATTCCGCTGGTCTAGAGAAGAAACACACCGTCTTTCTTTTCACGGACACACAAGTAAAGAATAAGAATTACTGGAGAATCATTCTTTAAGTAGATTGTAATATTCTACGAATATTTTATAGATTGTTGTCGAAGAATTTCTTGAGGATATCAACAATATCTTAAATTCAGGAGAGGTTTGTACTACTTTATTTTTACAAATTATCTTTTGCTCGTTCAGAAGGAGTGAAGATTGCTTAGTGACATCCCTGATGACCATGTAACTGTTGTGGTGCATGGTAACAATGTATGACACATTATTCTCATAGGTACCAAATCTCTTCGAGCCTGAGGAGTATGAAAAAGTACTTGCTGGGACACGCCCTGCTGCAAAGGATGCTGGTATTGCTGAGAATGACCGTGATGGCGTGTTTGCATATTTCATAAGTCAAGTTCGCAATAATCTTCATGTTGTTTTATGCATGAGTCCTGTGGGTGAAGCATTCAGAACTCGTTGTCGTATGTTTCCGTCGTTGGTCAATTGTTGTACAATTGACTGGTTCATAGAGTGGCCAAGGTTAGCCATTTCATCCAAGATTGACTAATATTTTGCTGAAAATCCCCAGTTCAGGTTTTGCCACAAAGAGCTTCAGTTATGATGATAATTTTTTAGCGTTACTACTGCAAGAAGAATCACGAACAACTCGTTATTATTTTTCCTCTCATTACATGTCTCATTTCATAACAATTTCTTTTCTAGAGAAGCATTGTTTTCAGTCGCCCGACGTTTCTTTGAAGAAATTGAACTTGGTGGAGATGATGTGAAGGTATTTTTAAGCATTTTCTGTAATCATGACAAAGAAAGAAGTGGAATATTTCCCTCTATAGTTGGTTTGACTACATTATTTATGTATTTTCCCCAGGAAAGCATATCAGAAATGTGTGTTGAGACGCATCTTAGTGTTAGCCATACAGCAGAAAGATTTTACAACGAACTTCGTCGACGGTATTATACGACACCAACCAGTTACCTGGAGTTGATTAATCTTTATCTCTCCATGTTGGAAGACAGGAGAAAGTAAGTTGTTTGTTATCGAAGAATTACCATAAGTCGATGCCCACACTGAACTAAGATTTTAGAGTTTTACGTTGTCATTCAAATTCCTCAAGTCCAGGTCAAGGGTACGTTAATTTATACCCACATGACATCAACGTTTTCCATGCATCGTGTCTGGTCAACGTTGCTTCTGGCGGGTAAATTATTTGGTGGATGACAAAGCAATTTTCTTTTATGTAGAAAATTAGTTGGTGCTTGTGATCGTGTCAAAAATGGTTTGAAGAAACTCTTGGAAACAAATGAGTTGGTCGACAAAATGCAGGTTTGTATTTTTTTGTAGAAAGACAAATACTTTGTTACGTTTTAGGAAGAGAAGAACCTTTTTAGAGGTTGTTTTGATATGATTTTCTAGGTGGAGTTGGTCGCTCTAGAACCACAGTTGAAACAAAAATCTCTTGACACAGAGAAGCTGATGGAGAAATTGCAGATTGATCAAGAAGAGGCGGACAAGGTGACTATTTTGATTTTAATTTATTATAATAGTTTACACAAGAGTTCTAGGAGAATCCATTCTTTTGGGCTCCTTTCTTGCCATACTTGAGAAATGATTTTAAGCACATGTTTCACTGACTGTATTACAGAAACAACACTATCGAATAAACAATTTTTTTCTTGTTCTTCTGTTTTAGGTTCGTAAAGTTGTGTTGGTTGATGAAAGTGCAGCAAAAGAAAAAGCAGCAGAAACAGAGGCCATTGCTACTGAAGCACAGCGAGATTTGGATGAGGCGTTACCAGCACTACATGCCGCTAATAAGGTCAGTGAAGATGAAGGAAGGCCGATAGAGTATACGGCATTAGGGCAGGAAGGGGGGTTAAAAAAGATGAATATCAATTCTTCGTTTTGTTTCGACTAGGCTTTAGATTCTCTGGATAAATCAGACATTTCAGAACTTCGAGTGTTTACGAAACCTCCCGAAATGGTCATGACTGTCATGGAGTCGATTTGTATCTTACTTGGTTCGAAGTATGTAAACATTTATAAACCATTTTGTGTGTAGTTGCAGTTCTTTTACAATTCTCACAAACTATAGTTGTTGATGGCCTGTTTGATTCTTTACGAAAAAAATCCAAAGCAAAATTCTCACAATGTTTTAATTATATAGACCTGACTGGGCGACATCTAAGACCCTGCTTGGCGATTCAAATTTCCTAAAGCGTTTGATCGATTTTGACAAGGTTTGAACTTTTATTATATACGTTGCACCAATTATTATTCCCTAAAATTCGTACGAATGCGCATGAACTAGTTCTAAAACTATCGTCTTTCTGGCCTCAGGACAATATATCTGATGCAACTTTGAAGAAACTGAAAAAATATATGGACAACCCAAAATTTGTTCCTGAAATCGTCGAAAAGACATCAAAGGTGAAGATATTACACTGGAATACACTAGTTGTATCCCTGTAAACTTTGTGATTGGTTAATGATGTATTTTGTGATAAGTTAAGATAAAATTATCGTGATGTTTTTATTAATAGGCTTGTAAATCAATGGTGATGTGGGTTCGTGCTTGCGACCTTTACGCCAAAGTATTCAAGACAGTTGAACCAAAGCGACAGAAGTATTCAAATATTCTGGTCAATTTGTGTTTCACTAATGATGAGTGGACTGTTTTAACGACTTCTTCTCGTTTTTACTTTTAGACTCGCTGCTGCTCAAGTTGAACTCGATGCAACCATGGCAACCCTTCGTGAGAAGCAAGCCAGCCTAGCTGAAGTGGAAGCACAGGTCTGTTTAAATAAAAACTGGTTATCTGATTGTCATTAGGCTCAGTGGGATAAAACCATTCCTACTCAATTCTCTGTATGTCCATATTCAGATTGCAGAACTACAAGCTCAATACGACCACAGCGTGGCAGAGAAGGAGGAACTAACACGAAATATCGCACAAACCGCTGCTCGACTAAAACGCGCCTCCAAACTAACCACAGCTTTAAGTGATGAACAAGTGAGATGGACTGAAAATATTGCGGTAAGATTCACGTCTTCTTGTTTACTTAAATATCGCCACAATGGAGACAATTAGCATAACTTGCGTTTCACACGAAATCAACCAATTAAGTCGTCGATTAACTGTGGCCAATTTCTCATTTGGATTTTTGTGTTTTATTTTTAGGCATTTGAAGTGGAAATTGGTAATGTTGTTGGTAATGTGTTTATTGCTGCTGCTTGTGTTGCATACAATGGAGCGTTCACGAGTCTTTACAGAGAAGAGGTAAAAACAGTTGAAGTTGAATATTCGCTGAGTTTCTTTCTGGCCATTTTGCATCTTCCTAATCTTCCTAGAGTCCGGCAACTATTCATCAATATTAATGTCCTTTGTTACCCGTGCCTAGTCTAGTCTAAACTAGTAAATGTCTTGGTTTCATTTCTTATGTCGTTGTTCTCCTACTTTTAGTTAATATCTCAATGGATTGCGAAGTGCACCGAACTTCAAATTCCGGTGTCAGAAAATTTCACGTTGGTCAATGTTCTGGCAGATCCATTTGAGATACGGCAATGGAATGCTGATGGTTTACCCAGGGATAATGTAAGTACAGCGTGAAAATAGTGCAGCCAGGTGAATATAGAACGTGCTTGACTGAGATTGACATGTTTTTGTCTTTTTCTAGGTATCTATAGATAATGCTATCCTAGTGAAGAATGCAAGACGTTGGCCTCTCATGATTGACCCACAAGATCAGGTTCGTCTTGTATTAGTTCCTTTGTGTTTCCTTTATCAAGAACCTACACCACACTATGACATGTGGCATTTGTTTATCATCTATGACAAAAAATACTGACAACAATATTTTTTCAGGCCAATCGTTGGATTCGTAATAAGGAGGCGAAAAACGGACTTAAGGTGATCAAGCTGACAGATGGAAATTATCTTCGCACGTTGGAAAACTGTATAAGAATTGGCATGCCAGTTCTACTGGAGGAGGTTTGTATGATTATTGACTATTTCACATACTTTGTTTCATACTTTGTTTCATACTTTGTTTCATACTTTGCTAACGTTTCGCCAATTTTAAAATTTGTTTATCTTAGGTTGAAGAAACATTGGATCCTGCTCTTGAACCTGTTCTCCTCAAACAAACGTTTATTCAAGTAGGTTTATTTTCCATATATGCCACTATTCGGTTAATTCTAATACTGTATTTTTAGCTGATAAATATATTATAAACTTCTTCGTTAATTTTCCTGCTAGGGTGGTCGTCTGCTTATAAGACTTGGTGACAGCGATATTGATTATGATAAAAACTTCAGGTAGAGTCCTGTGCATGTTCTTGTAATCTTGTAAACCATACGAGAATTAGGTTTATTTTAACTTGATTGACAACGAACAACATTTCTTCCAGATTTTACATGACGAGCAAGATGGCTAATCCTCACTACTTACCAGAAGTCTGCATCAAGGTCACCATCATTAATTTCACCGTCACAATATCTGGCTTAGAAGATCAACTCCTGGGGTAGGCACCACAAGTGTACTTCTTGAATTTTGCTCGTCAGAATTACAAAGTCTGATGGGGGTTTTTAATACGAGATTTATTTCCTTGACAGAGATGTTGTTCGTCTGGAGCGGCCTGACTTGGAAGAACAAAGAAATCAACTGATTGTTCGCATTAATTCAGATAAAAATCAATTAAAAGCGATCGAAGATCGTATTTTGAAACTATTGTTTCATTCTGAAGGCAATATCCTGGATGATGAGGTCTTGATTAACACACTCAATGAATCCAAGGTAATGTTCTACATTGAAGGAATATGTCACAAATCTATGGCTAACGTGAATCATGATTATACAACACTCCACAATGTGTATCCATGTGTGTCCATGTGTATCCATAGGTAACATCGGGTGTAATTTCCACTCGTCTTCTTGAAGCAGAGAAAACAGAGTTAAGTATTTCCACAGCACGAGAAAAATATCGTCCAGTCGCAACCAGAGGATCTGTTATGTATTTTGTTGTTGCCAGTCTGGCAGAGGTTGATCCAATGTATCAGTATTCGCTCAAGTATTTTGCCCAGGTTTGTTTAAAAAATTAATCTCATCATGTTTTCGCATGCACAGTTTTAACTTGACCTCTCAAAGTTACGGCTAAACCTCGTTTCTTCACTGTCATGTTTGTTATGTTTCTTTAGCTTTTCAATACGTGTATTGAGAAAAGTGAGAAAGCAGACGATTTAGATCAACGTTTAGAAATTCTACTCAACAATTGCACCAACACGGTGTTTGAGAATGTTTCCAGGTAATTGATTGTGTTTAATGCCAGGCTACAACAGGACACAAATCCTTCCTCAGAGATCTTATTTGCATTCTATTACGTTGAAAACAGAGGATTGTTTGAACGACACAAGATCGTGTTTTCCTTCATGTTGTGTGCTGAAATATTGCGTGAACGAGGAGAAATTTCGACCGAGGAGTGGAATTACTTTCTGCGTGGTTCACCCTCGTTAGAAAGAGTAAGTTTTAATTACTCTTTAGTTAGTTTACATGATAAAAATAAACATTAAATCATTGATTCAATCTAATCTGTGATCCTAATGTTATGTATGCTTCATGTCTAAAACTACAAAAATAATAAATTATTTCATTCCTTCTCATTTATAGGAGCATCCAGCGAAGCCGGATATTCCTTGGTTGACAGACAACATGTGGAATACGTGTTGTGATCTTGAGGTAATTTTGTTCATTTTCGAGACTAGGGGACTCATTTGTTGCCATTTCACGAACTGTTTTGTGTTTTCAGGATGATTTATCATTTAAAGATTTGAAGACAATCATTACCAAGAGACCTCTTGTTGGAAAAATTGGCTCATTGGAGGTAAAGATCGGTCTTTGAAATCATCTTGTTGTCTTCGAACTAGCCGCTGTCTTCTCTTCTTATCCTTCCATCGTACGTTGCATTTGGTCTGAATAATCAAAATGCAAACACGCCTTAATTCAATGCATGCTTGTCATTTATTTTTGTCGCCAGGTTAACATCAACCCGCCAGAGTGGGAGGGATACACAGGGGAGACGAATGACGAAGATGATCTCAAATTAACGGATTTTGAAAATCTTATTTTAATTAAGAGTTTCCGCGAAGAAAAGGTCAGTGAATTGACAACAGTAACGATCATTTTCTATCATTGTTGCATAATTCCTATATTTTCTTTCAATCTTGAAGATTGATCACATTGTTTCTGGAATATAATATCTTCCAATCATCTGCTTCTGAGCTATATAGTGCCCAGCCACTCAGTGGTAAACCTGACTAATCTCTGCTCTCTTCTCAGGTGGTCTTTGCCGTTGGGCAATTTGTTTCAACAAATCTTGGTCGAATGTTCATTGAGAGTCCAAACACTGACCTATCATTACTGTACAAGAATATGGCGTCGGCGATTCCGCTTGTTTTTATACTTTCCACTGGCTCTGACCCGATGAACGCTTTCTTGAGATTCGCTAAAGAAATGAGTTATACTGAAAGGTTGGTTCACATCTCAATCACTTCTCGTTATTTATCTTGTCTTCACATTAATTTCTCTTTTGAAGAGTGCAAGCAATTTCACTCGGCCAAGGTCAAGGACCGGTCGCAGAAAAAATGATCAAGGGAGCGTTAAAATCAGGAGACTGGGTCTTCTTACAGGTGAAAAACTGAACTTTCTGTACCATCTATCTCAATATCAAGTCTTTTAGTTCTGTGCTGATATATCTGTCCATCACATTTCCAAGCACTTGCATAGTTAGCCTCTATTAAAATATATGAGCCTAACCCCAACAAGCCTCTATGAAATTATATAAGCGCCCCCATTAGACAAAAATCCTGGCCACGCCTCTATTCTCCACGGTAAACTTATATACTGGATAGTTGTAATAGAAATGAATTCTCCATCTTTCACCAGAATTGTCATCTGGCTGCATCGTGGATGTTAAAAATGGAGTCGATAGTTAAAGCGATATCTTCTGGTGAAGTTGAAGTGCATGAAGACTTTCGTCTGTTTCTCAGTTCAATGCCCACGAAAGTATTCCCAGTAACTGTCCTTCAAAACAGCGTCAAAGTCACAAACGAACCTCCCAAAGGACTTCGGGCCAACGTCAAGAGAGCTTTTGGTGAACTGAATACAGATCCATTTGAAAACCACGGTATAATATATCAGTACCCTATTATCAGCAATACATTATTGTAGTATTTACTCAAACACTTGACGATTATTATCGTCTTTGGAAAGAAGCTGGTGCTGCCAGTTAATAGAACTTTTTACAAGATTTAAAGATTTATAGCGGGAAAGAAAAATGGTGATTTGCAATTATTTCGATGTTATTTTTTCATTCAAGAACTTGGTGTCTCATGGCGGAAACTTGTGTTTGGTTTGTGTTTCTTCCACGCCATCATCCAGGAAAGAAAGAAGTTTGGTCCTTTGGGCTGGAATATTAAAGTAAACATTGTTTAATGCTTGTGAATGGTTGATAATATCACCTCATATTCTTCTCTCAATGTGTGACAATACCTTTCCTTTTTCTCTGTTTTTTTAGTACGAGTTCAATGATTCTGATCGTGAATGTGGTTTGGACACTTTGAAGATGTTTATTAAAGAATCCAGGATTCCTTGGGATGCTCTTGTCTTTATCACCGGAGAGGTAGATTAGTCGAGCAATTATAATATCAGAAAGATGCACAAATCATTAATGAATAAATGATTCGCTGTTTGACTGATAATTCTCTAATTAAATGATTTATTTTGCCTTGGTGTAACAACTAAATTCGTGTAATAATTTTAGATAACTTACGGAGGACGTGTCACAGATGAATGGGATCAAAGATGTCTTCGGACTGTTTTAAAAAGATTTTTCGCTCCTGAAATTCTCGAGGAAGGATACAAATTTTCACCTTCAGGTTTGGCATTACGTATAAAGAACTGAAATTGTTTGAAACCCTAGGGACTCTACTCTGTGAGAGCTCTTCTGTATGAATTGAATATTACCAAAATAATTTCTGAGCATTGTATTTAGATTAGTCATGCTATAAGTACACTCAAGAATCATGGTCTACCTACTGTATCATATGTAATCTGCTTGACAGTTCTTCTCTGTTTTTAAGGTATCTACTATCCTCCTGAGTTGGATGGTTTATCAGATTATCGACAATTTATTGATGATCTTCCCATGAATGACGAGCCTGAAGTGTTTGGTATGAACGAAAATGCAAACATCGCTTTTCAGGTATGATTTTCGTTCTTCGCTGGATCACTGGATCGTTATCTTCTGCATGTGTTTCTACAATGAAAACTATAAAGTAATTAATGATATTCTTGTACGTTTGCATGGTGACATCAAAGAAGTAAATTACAGTAGCTTGTAGGTACACCACGTAAATATTTAATACTGCAAAGCTTTCGCTCCGTTAACCCGGGCCTTCATCAGTGCCTTCATTATTGCAATTCATCATTGCACTGATGAAGGCCCGGGTTAACGGACCGAATGCTTTGCAGTATTGAATACTTACGTGGTGTACCTACAAACTAATTTACTTACAAAGTAATTAGCTAATTGCAATTCTTTATATTCTCTGTTCACCATTTTTTCGACCATTATTTCTTTTTGTAGAGTCAAGAAACTCAGACTCTGATCACGACTGTCCTTGATGTTCAACCACGTCTGGTCAGCAGTGGCGGAGGGAAGACTAGTGACGAGATTGTGTACGAACTTGCTGAGAATATTTTAGGAAAAATTCCAGATAAACTTGATATGGATAAAGCTAATAAGGCTTTGTTTGAGGTACGACTACACATATTATTAATTGAATTCAATAATCAGTTGTCCCAAGAGCGATACTCTTTGATGCAGTTACTGCAGGAGATTAACCTGAACAGCAGAAATATTTTTCAATATTTCGTGGAGTAAAACTAGAATGAAACAACAGAACATAACTCGTTATATTTTGAGTATTTTACAGGAATCAAAAAGACATGCATATTTTGATTTGAAATAGGTCAAGACTATGTGTTTCAACAATTTTTTCTGTCTTCCAAATAGCTGGATGCAAATGATCGTGTGAATTCGCTAACAACTGTTCTCATCCAGGAGGTTGATCGCTTTAATAAACTCCTCAAAATTATCAAGGTATGCCGGTTTTGATCATTATGGAGTTTGAGAGCGTATCACATCATCTTGTAATAATTATTTATATTATCCAGGAGTCTTTACAACAACTTCAAAAGGCGATTAAAGGTTTTGTTGTCATGTCTTTGGAGCTCGATAAAGTCTATACGTGTTTTCTTAACAACCAGGTAATTAAATATCATGTCTTATATAGTTAAGATTTGAACACGGTTTATTTTCCCATCTTTATTCACTCTAGGTGCCTGAGATGTGGTCTAACGCTGCGTATCCATCACTTAAACCATTGGGTTCATGGGTGAAAGATTTAGTTATGCGAACAACCTTCATCTTTGTAAGAACTACATTCACCTGAAGTTCAATGAAAGAACTATTCATGCTTTTTCATCCCAATAACCTTTTTTCTATTTTGTAGCAATGGATGGTTCATGGTTTGCCGCGATCTTTGTGGATATCAGGTTTCTTCTTTCCACAAGGTAGAATAACTTGAATCCTTTTTAATATTGGGCCCTCAGCTCTAACAGTAAATGAGTCGAATACGACAGTAAACTTATGACAGATGGTACATGACAGTCGTCTTATACTACATGGGTTACAGTCTAACCGATGCCGTCTTTCTCCACAGGTTTCCTTACTGGTGCCTTGCAGAACCACGCTCGTAAATACAATCAGCCAATCGATCAACTGTCCTTCCGCTTCACAGTCCAGTCAAAATACTGCAATCAAGAGGAGTTTAGTGAGATGATAGAGTTACGTAATGATGAGATCATTGACGCAAATCTTCCTCCCATGGTCGAGGATGGAGTGTATGTTCATGGCCTGTTTTTAGACGCTGCAAAATGGGATGATAAAACTATGGTGTTGGTCGACGCACTCCCGGCTGAAATGAACCCGGTAAAGGAAAAATCTTGCTTTAGAGTCTAAATGTATGCTATAAATTGTTAATTTCATTATGCTACAATACATTTTACAGCCATTACCAATCTTGCATCTGGAACCGGAGATGAATTTTGTTCCCGACAGTACAAAATATGTTTGTCCACTTTACAAGACCTCAGCAAGAGCAGGTGTTCTTTCCACCACAGGTAAGCTGGTGCCACTAACCTGTACTGCATCATGGCCTAAGTTGTGAACATCATCGTGACCACGTCTATATATACTGTATATAGGTTGAGATATCTGTTCTCTACCTTATGTCGTTGTTTATATTTTTTTCTACAGGTCATTCAACAAATTTCGTCATTGCTGTTCATCTGCCCTCAGATATGTCGTCAGATTTCTGGATTGCCAAGGGAACTGCTTTGTTATGTCAACTGAATGATTAAGCCAGGTTTAATATTTTGTATAAATATGTAAATGTTGTATAGTTACTAGACTCTAGCGTGAGTCAGTCAAGTGTGTAATATATATCTTATAAGTTATATTTTTAACAAAATAACATTCATAACTATGATAATTTAGTTGTAGTCCGAATGCCTCCTGCACGACAAGAGATTGTATGAAACTCTTCTTCACTGCAGCGTATTAAACTCCAAAATACCCGATTTGATTGGCCAATCCCTTCACAATCCCCCTTCACAGACTATAGTTAGGAAAAACCTGGGGACGAGGATGCTAGGCCCCGGGAGTATTGTAATGTGTATGTACGCTGGACGTTTTGTAAAAAGTCGAAGACCAACCTTCAACCAAGTCAAAGCTCGCCTTGTTTACGACATGAATGAAACTCAGGTATTTGACATTATTTTATTGCTGTTCCGTAGCATTCTAATTTCTAACATTGGCAATTAAGAATTGTGTGAAAAATGTATTTATAAATAATTACATGTAAAAAATGTGTGTAATAATTTCTACAAAGTTAGACATTATTTCCATTATATAGTTAGATATTACAGCAACATCTTAATGGTTTGGTAATCGCATTCTGAATTAGAGGTTACACGAATCTACCTACTGTACCCTACCCTACCAAGCATTTTCAACGTGAGCTCATGATCTCACATATCACTGAAATAATTACATGACTGAAGATCGACAATTTCAAGCAAACGTTTATAGTATGAATGACGTTATGATTGATCCTAAACAGTGCGCTGTAATGATCGATGACAGTTGGTAAATGTTCGTCGGGTGCTGTGCCATTTTTCAGGATGCTTGCGACAGTAGATGGTCGTACCAACGATAATTACCACCACAATAAGACAAGCAATTACCACACCAACTATCAAACCGACGTTGGTAGATGAACGGGCCATGATAATACCACCTTAACAACAATTCTTGCCGTTAGTTTTATAGAAGAATTTAGCAAACTGATAATAAATTTGCCTTTATTAATTAAGTTTTTCGGTTAAAGAAATACTCTGCATGCATGGTTTTTCCAAATAACACGAACAATAACATCTTACATGTTTCAGCTCTTTATTATAGCAAAATTCACGGTGAAATTCTCGAAATTCTAACCTGAATCAACCTGCATTTTTGCGACTCCATCTTCAATATTTGAATCGACTTTACGCCACTCTGGTTTATCTTTATCTGATTTATAGACAGTTACTGTTCCTGACATACTCGAGTCCACTTTCAACGTCACAGAGAATTTCTTATCACCATCAGTTAACTTCTCTTGTGGATTAATCACCAGGAAGTTACTGGCGTAACTATCACCAACATCAACAGATCCACCCATGGCTTCGATCTGTGACTCACCATCGCTTTTTGACCATTCCTCAAGTGTGATTGGTTTAAGGCTGTTGAATGTACCACGTTCCACCCACACACCTTGGACATTGCTGAAAAATTAAAATTCTTTATTTCTGTTTGGTCTCCTGGAGATGGTCATCGACTATTGGTACTTTGTAATGTGGTTGTAGTTAAACTATGAATGGTTTTGGAACAGAAGATGAACTTACCTCTCGCCAACGGTGACGTTTCCTCCATTCCATCCTATCTTCTTGGAGCTTACAGCGGTATCACTGACAACAATCTTGCCTTTTTGACCACGATTTGAGAAATTATTGTTTCTTGAACACATGTAATGATAAATGCCGTTTGAAGTCACCTTCCTGGGGCCGAGATCAAAGTATGTTCCTGCGTCATCCAGTTCAGACATTTCCCCGCCATATTGAGCTGCAAATAATATCATATTTTAAGAACATTGGGGGAAATCTAAACTACATGTTTAGATGTTTTCTTAAGTCAACGGGGAACGCACGTTAAAAGCATGGTCACAGCAATCTCGTAATGAACCAGCCGGGAAGTATAGGAACAGAACCTCTGGAAAAGATCTGGCCGCCGATTAAAAGCACATCATACCGTTATCTAAGATGCTCAAGTGTTGTAAATCTTTTCTTCTAAGACCCAGAAATTCTGCTTTATCCAAATGTTGGGGATAATTATTTCCCCAGTGACCATACGTTCCTGACTCTGGAGTTGCTTCTTTGTACTGTGGACCTCGTAGCAAGACAGCGTTGTTTCTATCAGTTCCTGCTTTGCCTTGACCATCATTGTTTTTAGGGTTCGTGTTTGAACCAGTCCATCTGGAAGAACAAAGTTTAGTATTTACAAGGATGATAAATGTTTAATGTCGTGGGAGACCCCGGTACAGGTAAGAAAAAGACAGACAACTTACTGAAAGTGAACATAGTCTCCATTTCTTATTCCCAGTCTGTTAGGTACAAAATCATACTCTACAGCAGGATATACTTGTACAATATTTCCACGTTTACCACGTACATTGAGATTATGGACAGTCCTTCCAGCTAGGTTTGCAGGTCGTGATCTGATCGCGAATGTGTGTGATCTTTATAGAGTAGAAAGAGAAAAAAAAATTGAGGGTTAATAGATAAATACTGTTGACAATATTGTGAATTATGAAACTGAATATATACAGTGCACGAGTGAAACGTATATACAGAAAAACCCGAGGCTCACCTGTCTTGAAAAACACGACCGAATTGATTGGTGTTAATTGCCAACCTCAATTCAAATCCTTCATCTCCATCTCCAAATATTTTGACTTGAGGATTCTGTTTATAAACATATCCCCTTTTTTTAGCTTCTTCTTGGTCCATATCATACTTAGAAGCAACATCTAGCTGTGTTTCTCGTTGTCCCCTTGGTGTGTTGAGTGATGCATTCACACTGGAGTCCCAGCCATCAAATTCGCCAGTTGAAATGTTGTATCTATTGAATTCAATTGTGTAATTATAGGTATGTGATGTTATTTATTGTTTTGGGCAAGTGAAGGTCTTGCATAACTAGTTGTGCATGGTACTACCATAGTTGTGGTAATCATAGTTTTACCTTATCCTGAGAACACAATTTTCTTCATTTATATTTGGCAATGTCCAATTGTAAGCATTTGGAAAACCACCAATCCCATTTCCTAGATGATTGTCACGTGACCAGTCAGTCTCGCGACATTCTGGAGGAGGCAACCCATGGGATGGTCGAAGTACCCATTCACCACGCAGCGCCGTACCATTTGGTGATTTCACTAAATTTGTTTGGATTTCTTTCTAATTTTGTAACAAATACATTTAACAATTTTAGTTTTATGTGCATGCAGAGCCACTTAGGGGAGCCAGAGGAAATTTCACTAGACCCTAAGTTAAGCCCTGGTGAAATAATTCTAGTTTATGTCTGTAGTCTGCTTTTGTGGTAACCATGCAAAGTGATACTGAATTTAACCTACCAAACAATCTTCTTCATTATTAGGGATTTCATAATTTCGATAATTTTTTTTTCTCAGGTATTCTTTTGGCAACACACATTCATAACGGCCCTTCACATTTTCACTTTCTCTTTCATAAAATGGACATCGGGTTGCATCATTGGTGAGGACTGCAATATCCTAAGAAAATCCGGTTTGGTTATTGCAACTGATACAAGCATATGCATGATATTTTAAATGTATATAGATGTTTTATGTGGCTGGCTTACATGTGTTTGACAATCTTACAGACCATCATGGCAAATAATAATTAGGAAATAAAAAATTTTAAACCTTCCAAGGTGATGGATGCCAATAAGGATAATAATCTCTTTCTTCTGGGCACTCATAACCACGTCTGGTTCCTCCAGGGTTTTGCCGAGTTGCTCTTGCTGAATTTTTCTTTAATTTCTTAAAATATTCCAATATTTATGAATTATATTAAGTGTACATCATAATATTTCATATGTTTTTTGAATGTGGTTTTGCGAAATAAAACCATAGGAAGCCCAGACAAATGAGTTGAAGTTAATAAAAATCCGTAAAACACTTGAGATATGTGTTAAAATTAATTAAAGTATGTAATATGCTACAAAACTACTGTTAGAACCATGTATGTAGCGTGCTCCAGAGGCGCTGCCATTTGACTATGCAACTAGTGACGTAACTTACTATATTATTAGGAAGGATGGAAACTCTCGCCTCAATTTTCAACATGTTCACAAATTAAAACCGTTTTACTATAGTAATTTGTGTTTTAATTTGTGAACATGTTGAAAATTGAGGCGAGAGTTTCCATCCTTCCTAATAATATAGTAAGTTACGTCACTAGTTGCATAGTCAAATGGCAGCGCCACTGGAGCACGCTACATACATGGTTCTAACAGTAGTTTTGTAGCATATAACACACTTTAATTAATTTTAACACATATCTCAAGTGTTTTACGGACTTTTATTAACTTCAACTCATTTGTCTGGGCTTCCTATGAATAAAACTAATATAAGTGATAACTACTGTAATATAAGTGGTAGGCTTAATGTGTTACTAAATCTAATAAGACATATTTTCTTAATTTGCATGGATTCTAAAGGTACTGCATTGTCTTCATAATTACCTGATCCGCAGTAAATAATCCTCTATTCCGTTTTCGAAAATTACACTTCTTATAATAATCATAATCTTCATGCATACCAAATCTAAAATAAATTAATTAGGTAAACATAAATTTATGAAGAGAATGAATAAATAAATAATATACTGCAGAATGCATTCTCTTTCTTTAATTGAAAAGGAAAGGCAATCCCAAATCTATTTCTATTCTGTAGACATCATTTTGTAGCTGATTCTACATGCCAATGGTATGTTTGAATATACCATAAAAACTTACGTTTTGTCTCTTTTGCAGTCATAATTCTTGCATTGAACTCGATTGTCAGGTATTGTCCTATACAATGTTAGAAATATATTTGATTATAAAATTATACCACTAGCAGTATGTTTTGTTTTTTATATTGTATTTTAAACTCACTGTGTAGTTGTACCATCTCGAACCAAATCTCCACACATGTATTGTAAAATAATTTCACAATTATTATTTGGGTCTCCACAGGAATGTTGATTTGTCCTGATAAATATATTATCACAATCATTATTCATCAAATACGTCTTTATTAATAAAAATCTATTTTGTCAAAATCTTTTGCGTTTGAATTGAGAAATATCAATAAAAGATTTAAAAAATTTTTACTAAAAAAATTACCATTCCACAGAGAGAACAGAACCCTCGTAATAATAAAGACTACCAACATTGTATCCACCGCGATTATTGTTTTGTGAATCGAACAATCTACGACGTAAAAAATTAAAAAACATCCGGGTTTAAAGTTTGCGATACAATTAGAAAAAAGATATTGGGAAAAAAATCCATCAGATTTTACATGAAAACTATTTGCTGAGGTATTATTGAGTATTAACTGCGACATTGTTTTATTATTATAGAATAATTAATGACCCTACCTATTAGCATTATTTCTCTCTCTTTTTGCTTCGTCCAGTCGATTATTTGAGCCCCTGTAAAATCGAGTTTTTAGAAGATAAAATATTGAATTTCGGAAGTAGTTTACTAACACCCTTTGACTAGCACCAAGATCTTAAATTATTGTCAAGGAAACCTTTTATATCCAAGAAGGAATTTGATATTTGAAAGCTCACCTTGGATTATGCATATAAATATCCCCTTGAACCGTAGCTAAGAAGAACAAAATACAAGCAAGCTTTGCCATCGTTTTAAGCGAGATTCCACTAAATTAGATGTTGCAAGTTCTTATACAGAAGTGTTTACTATGAGCCACTAGTGATATAGTCACTAGCTTTGCGCAATGTTTATAAAACTAGATCTTATGACATTTCAAAGCGGAAGTTGCGGCCTATTTCCGTCTATGTTTCGCAGCCTTGTAGCTTCCCTTATAAGGGAAGAAATGTTATAACGAAACTCCGGGGGCGTCGAACAGAAAGGGGGAGTGTAAGGCGAACCCTATAATCATATGCTATGAACCCTTTGCGCAAGTTCTGTTGTCAATGGGTGTGCAGCAAGTGCACGAATGCAAACGACGGTGGTAGCAGCATTATTTTACCGGAATAACATGAAGTATTCGTAAAAATGCTGACGATTCATGAGTCAGTTGTGAAGAAAATTGAGAAAATCACAGAAAATCGATGAAAAATATTTATTGCCAGCGAGTCTTGAGTATTTGTAATCTTATTTAGGTGAGTTCTTGTTAAGATTCACAACATTATCGTGGATTGAGCTGTTTTACTACAACATGGATGAAAAATTGGGCGAACATGAATTGCTTGAGAGAGTTTTTATGCGTCTCGGAGTTGCTTCAACGGATGAACAATTGCAAGAGTTCACAAAGAAATTCCTGACTCCAGTTCTTTTAAAGCTTGCAAGCCCCAAAGAAGATGTGAAAAAGAAAGTTTTAGAGCTTCTCGCACAAATAAATCGTCTTTTGAAGAACCGTGAGTGTGTCCAACTACCGGTGGAGGGTTTATTTTTGCAATATCAGGACCCAAAATGCACTCAATATGTAAGAAATTTCACTATTCTTTATCTTAAAATGGGTTTTACACGTCTAAGTTCTGATGAACAGCTTGCATATTTGCCTCAATTACTATCAAGCATGGCTGGAAAATCACATCCACAGCAAATATGTTTGTTGCAGCTTGCCATACCAGTATTTGCATTATTCGTTGTGGGTGACAAACTGTCTGTGATGAAGGATGTACATTCAGTTCTAAGCAAAGACAAAACCACTTTAGATTTATTTCTGAGTTTTGTTCTTGATGTTTTAATTATGCCATACAATGCTATGAATAATATTGCGATGGATGAAGAAAAAATAGTTCCACCAGGGTTGAGTAAAACTACCATTCATCAAGTCCTGTCAGCAGGTGTTACTTTAGAAAATCTTGAACATGTTAAACTTGGATTACTGAAGTTTCTATCAGCAGACTTGTTTGATATAACATTAGTTCAGGTTCATCTTGTGGTTTCTATGGGTGATACACGTCATACTATCTCAGACTATGCAGATCATCAACTTAAAAGAATGACAGAAGCATCTGATTGGGAACATGCAAATGTCATGAACAAATTGATGACTATTTTTCTTGGCAACATAAATGTACCAGGAAAATCTGCAGTTCCTCCTGATGAATGTCGTGTTGCAGCAAGCACAGCTCTACAATTAAAGATTTTTCCATTCCTTTTAAAATCACGAAAATGCACAAACATTTTCCCAGCCTGTCTCCAAATTGTATTTCATGTGAATCAAGGTGAAAGTGGAAATCAAGCTAAGAAGAAATTGAAAAAGTTCAGAATTCAGTTTATACATCATTTATGTGAATTTAGTTCTGACAAAGTTATCAAAATTATTTCTCCTTTATTGCTCTCTACTCTTCTCAAGCTGATTGCAAATGATGATGAATCAGATATAGAACGGATAACCTTTTTGGCCATTGGAAAGATTGCTAAAAGATCACCAGCATTGTTTCATGGGGATACTACAGTCATACAAAGTCTTTTTCAAGCTTTACACAGTAAAGACCCAGACACTGGACTTGATATTTTACAAGCTTTAAGCATGATTACAAATGCTTGCAAATCAGCACCACCAGCAACTCTAACTATGATAGAAGCTTTGGTGTTGGATAATGTTAACCAAGAGAAGCCACAATGTCGACTTGCAGCTCTTCAGACAGCAAATATTCTTTTCCCAACTGATCATGTGAAGTCACGTTATGCATGTCTTTTGGCATCTGCAGATTCTAGAAACGACATAAGAGAGGAAGCAAGCCGAGGCTTACTGTTTCATCAGCATAAAAAGAATGATGGTGATGATGGTCCTAGTTTACCAGATTTTTGTCAATTAATCAACTTTATCCATCAAACACTTAATGGTGGAAACGGTTACAAACAAAGCTATGTTACTGTTGCTGGGACATTGCCATTCTCACCAGCGATACTCATTAACATGTTGCAATATCTTCACCTCTGTTTGAATGCTAGTGCTGGGGTTACCCAAGAAGATGTTGATAATGACCTTTCCATCATACCAGTTTCAAAATATGTGCAAAAGATACTAAATGAACAAAATACTGTTCTTTACTATTATCTTGCTTTCATTCAAGAATCATTGAAGCCTGCTGGTAGCTATGAACTACATGCTGTTGCTCTGGGAAATCTTTTGGAAGTTCTTGCCTCAGCGACCAAGCAGCTTGCACCAGAATTAAATGAAGATGGGCTGCCATGGATCAAAAGGTTTCTTTGGTCTTCACACAATGTCATTAGAAATACATCAGCTCAAATATTCGCTCTTCTTATTTGTCAGTCTGGACGTAAAAATGTCCTTGAAGAATTAACAAGCCTCCTGACAACTGTTAATGATCCTTCTGAAGCTGTTCGTCATGGAACAATCAACAGTATTGGTCATCTTATTGGTCAATATCTTTGCAGCCAGAATATGGAAAATTCAATGGAAGTGGTAGATTTGGATGACTCAGAACTGTTTGAATCCAAAATTGAGAAAGCAATTACAGAAACCTTTAAAGCAATCATCAGTTTTCTAGCCAGCCAGTCCACTTCATTGGTACATACAGCTTGTGATGCAATTGGTGAAGTTTGTAAGCAGAGTAGTATGCCCTTACCTGACGGTGCCTTGACCAAACAAGATGATAACAGTTATGATATTAGGTCACTGTTGCCTGAAGAAATTGCTACAAAGGCTGATATTGTAAGACAACTCGCCTATTTAATGAATAATTCTAAAGAAACAAAACTTTGTGAAAAAGCTGCACTTGTTCTTGGAATGACCTGTGTTGGAGAACAACAATTTCCTCACACCAAGCAAGTTATTGAAATCCTCTTTGATGCTTCCAAGAAACGTGATATTGACTTCCAATTTACTGTTGGTGAAGCATTATCTTGTGCCGGTGCAGGCAATCTGTCTACTGCCTCTCGAAGTAAGTGGGTTGTAAGCACTAGTCTGATAAAAGATATTCCAGAAACCAAGGAGACAATGGAATGGATGCTTGGGAAAATTGTCCGAGAGTACTTCACCAGTGACGTTGCTCATGTTCGGAAAGCCGCTTGTATATGGTTGCTAGTTCTGTTAAAACACTCAAGCAAACATCCGGCTGTTCAAGAAATGATGACTGATATCCAGCGAGCATTCTCCTCAATGCTTTCAGAGAACGACGAGATTGTTCAAGAAGTATCCTCAAAAGGGCTTAGTTTAGTCTACGAGTTCGGTTCAGAAGAGTTTAGAAAAAATATTGTTTCTTCATTGATTGATACAATGCTCTTTAGTAAGAAGAAGGTTCAAAATGTCACAGCAGATACGAAGCTGTTTGATAAAGCGATGCCTCTGGGTGATGCTGGGCAACTATCAACTTATAAAGAACTGTGTTCCTTGGCAAATGACATGAACCAACCTGAGCTTGTCTACAGATTCCTGCATCTGGCAAATCATAATGCTTTGTGGAACTCAAAGAAAGGTGCGGCTTTTGGGTTTGCATCGATTGCTTCGCAAGCAAAGAAAGAATTGGAACCACATTTGAAGACCTTGGTGCCAAAATTGTATAGGTAAAGTGCGCTAATTATTATTTTTATACTGGCTTTTGTCTTCTTAGGATTTTTACCATTTCGATACCACTCGCAGATTTTGACCCTGACAAAATTTCAGTACGAGTATTCCGGCTTTTAATGTTTGTAACTCGCTCTGAGAACTTACATAGTCTGTAGGATGGGATTTAGTTGAGACGATTATTTCGCAGAAGACAGACATCTTTCCATACCTCGTTAGTGTGTCTACATATCCACTGTGCAAAGTCGTTTTTTGTGTGACTTATATTAAATTTTATTTCTCAAGGTATCAATTTGATCCAAACAGCAAAGTTCGTGAAGCAATGCTAAGTATTTGGCACGCAATTGTGAAAGATCAACATAAAGTTGTCGATCAGTTTAAAGACGAGATCGTAGCCGAGTTACTGGCGAACTTGCACAACCCCACGTGGCGTATTCGACAATCTTGTTGTGTTGCTGTTGGTAATTTTCTCAACGGTCGTTCATTGGACACTGTCCTTGAGTACTTACCTCAGCTATGGACGATGTGTTTGAGAGATATGGACGATATCAAGGAAAGTGTGCGAAACGCAGCAGAAGTGGCGTGTAAGACATTACAGTCTGCCTCCATTCGTGCGTGTGATCCTGATCAAGGGAAGGTTGGCCAAGAAGCTGTTCGTGTTTTGCTGCCTGTGTTGCTGGAGCAAGGTCTTGCGAGCCGTGTCGATGAAATACGCAAGCTTGTCTTGCATACTATTGTCAAGATCAGTAAGAACGCTGGAAGCCTTTTAAAACCACACATTCCCATTTTGGTTGTTAGTCTTTTAGAATCCTTGAGCGGTTTAGAGCCACAGCAATTGAACTACCTCAGCTTACAAATCCAGAAGGATCCAAACATGCAGGAAAGACTTGAGGATGCAAGAATTTCTTTTTCAAGATCTTCTCCAATGATGGAGACAGTTTCATTGTGTGTTCAACATGTGGACGCAACTGTCCTGGAACATCTTGTTCCTCGCCTTGCAGAACTGTTACGTAGTGGTCTTGGGTTGGGGACTAAAGCAGGTTGCGCAAGTTTTGTTATCTCTCTGGTCCAGCAATGTGGGCAGGAATTACAGCCTCATGCTGGAAAACTACTGAGTGCCTTGTTATCAGGACTCACTGACAAAAGTCGAGCTGTTTGCAAAAAGTATGCGGAGGCGATTGGCTCCCTGGTGAAAGTCGCAAAAGACAGCAGTGTCTCGAAGCTATTTGGTAAAATGAAATCATGGTATTTTGAGAAAGAAAATGAATCCTTACAGAATGCCTGTGGTATGGTTTGTAAAGAGATTTCAAGATCCTCGCCTGATGTTATGGCGCATCATGCCGCGTCTATCCTTCCTGTTGCTTTCGTTGCAATGCATCGTAAAGATAAAGTTGGAGAGAACAAGTCACCATGGGCTGATATCTGGTCTGAAAACACTCCAGTCTCAAAGAGAGGAATTCAGCTTTACCTTCAAGAAATTATTCATATTTCCTCCACACTTCTTGCCGGCCAATCCTGGGAACGTAAAGTTGAGGCTGCTGATAGTATTCAAACAGTAGTCACTACATTACATGAAGATCTTCCAAAGAAATTTTTAGATAGTATTGTGACTTCTCTTCTGTCTAGTTTATCCGGCCGTACTTGGGATGGTAAAGAGAGCATCATCTCTTGTGTTGCGACCGTATTTGTGAAATGTCATACAATGATGGACGATGCAGATACCAAAGCAATAGCTGGAGCTGTTTTGAAAGAATGTCGAAAACAAAAACCGGCCTACAAAACCAGCGCCATCAAATGCCTTAGCAAAATACTGGAAGAGAAAAAGGTGATTGCTTTCAAAGAAGTGTACGATGTTGTACAGCCAATCGTGAGCCCTGTTATCAAGAAGCCAGATGATGGCGAGGAAAAAGATGAGGATGAACAAATCCCTGATGCAAATCTTGTCATCAATGCATTTGAATGCATTGGTTCCGCCTGGCCATCAGAGAGAGAACTCAAACTAGAACAGCGGGAAATGATTCTCAAAATCCTTACTTCATCTCTTAAAAATCACCCGTGGAAAATTCAACTTGCTATTTTAGAATCACTTGATCGCTTCGTCGGGAAAGTGACAGCCAATGAGGATATAGAATTTCAAGGAAGAATTGTAAGTGAAGTACTCACCGAACTATTTCCATGCCTTGAAAATGTAAGATATGCTGCAATCCGATTGAAAAGTTTAGAAGTGTCAAAAACTTTGTTATCACTGGTAGAGAAAAACAAACTTGAAATGAGTGATAGTCACAGAGATCTGTTGAGAGAGTTGTATCGACTTCTGGCCATTTTGCGAAATGATAACAATGAAAACGTCAAGAGTAAATCAATTGAACTTGATTTGTTGCTGAAGAAGTTTATCTAACACATTCAAGAACCAAATAAGTATAACCAGCTAATTCAATGGGGGTTTAGTATAAAACTCAGAATGTAGGAAACCTACATTCTCCAAAGGGCCCAGTGTGTTATAGGATAGTTGATTGGTGGGGTTAAGATAGTGAAAGAGGGACAAGTAATATTGGGCATTAGAGGCAACAGTGTTTTTGTTAGACCAGGGATTTTTCCCACTTCAAGGATTTGATTGTGCAAGTGGAATCCATATTGTTTCTTTTATTGTAATTTTTTCTGAGGTATAAAAAAAATTGAACAACATACAGCATAGATATGGCAAGATACTTATACATATCTGATGATCATCCTTATTGTTTGCAAACAGTCCTAATTAATTAGATTACAATTGTTGACATTTGATTAGTTATTTAGCATTACATTGACCTTATAGATAATTGTGGTAGTTAAAAGCAAAATTGTCCAATTATGGTAAACTCATTCCACCATCAATAACAAACTCTTGGCCTGTAGTAAATGCTGATTCATCTGAAGCTAAATAAACAGCTAACTTTGCCACCTCTTCAGGTTTTCCAAAACGCCCCATCTTTTGTAAATTCAGAAAATCTTCTCTTGTCTTTTGTGGATCAGGTGAACTTTCTAAACGGCCACACAGTGATGGTGTCTCAATACGAGCTGGGCAAATGCAATTACAACGAATACCCCTGGACACAAAGTCGGCGGCAATTGACTTAGTTAACCCACTGACAGCAGCCTTGGTTGCACTGTAAGCAAACCTGTTGGTTACACCAAGAATGTTGGATGCCACGGATCCCATATTGATAATAGAACCAGAATTATATGCTAACATTTTTGGAATGAAATGTTTGCATGTCCAAAACATGCTTTTGATGTTCACATCAAAACTCTGATCCCAATCTTTTTCATCACAATCCAAAACTGAGCCACTTAGGACAATACCTATAATAAACAGAATGCATGTAAGTTGTAGAACAAACTTGGTGGGGTCTATGGGTGTGGCTCTAAAGGATTAGGGATGACTTTAGGAGAAGCAATCATCAATGATGAAGCAAAGAAGCCATTCTCTTTATGCCTTTACTGGACCTGCATTTGATAGAACTCACTAGGAATCGCGTTTTGATACCCAAGTCATTTTCATATGCTAAATAAGGCAAGCTCAATATGAGGGATCTTAAGGAGGCTCTGGGAAGAAAATTGGAATAAAATAATCAGCCTAATTTCTATGTTATCAGCACAATGAAATAAAATATCAATAAAAATTCTGACGTTACCTGCACAATTAAATAAAATATCAATCCTTATAAAATCGTCGGCCAGTTTCTCAATGGCCTTACTGTCTGTGACGTCCAATGGTCGTGTTTCAATACCAGGAATATCATTCAGCTCGAATAATTTGTCTTCGTTTATATCAGTGGCAATAACACGCGCTCCTTCTTTTGCAAATTCTATCGCAGTAGCACGTCCAATGCCTTGTGCTGCTGCAGTAAGGACGGCAATTTTGCCAGATAAACGACCTTCTCTCACTACCTCAGCGGCGGCCATATCAGTGTTGCGCAAACTTTGCCGCAGTACAGTGAAATGAGTATATATAGCTCAGTGTAGTGGAAGAATGCTCCGACGTGGCGCCGGTTTTTTTGGCGAATAGAAAGTTCCAATTTCCAAGATGGACGCAACAATCAACTCAAAAAGCTCAACTGTTCTGGAAACACTGAAAGAAGATTGTAAGTTCAAACTATTGTTCTTTTAGACAAATAGCTTTTATTTGGTTTCTTACCATAGATTTGTGTTGACGTACATCAATCAGACAGGGCTTTGAGTTGTGTTAAGATTAACAAAAAACAACTCCGTTCTAGCTCACTCCTCAGAATGACAGAATCTAGGAAATCAACTCATAACACTCCATTAATTGAAATAAGAAGGATTTAATTCCGTACGTAATTCACTTTTGTTCCACTTTGTTCATTCCTTGCTGCACACCCACTCTGCTTATTCCCATGAGCTGACACGATGCAGCAGCCAGCATTTGTAGCAGCCAGCCTCTCAAAATATTCCATATAGCTCCCATCCAGACTGCAGATCTTTGTTCAGAAAGCTTGTGTAAAATAGATGCAGGTGTGTGAAATCAATTGCAGGTGCACAAAAATGACAGAAGAAAAATGCAGTGCAGATAGTTGATGCGAGGTGCAGGCAGTGTGGGTACACATCAGTCACCAAGTTTTTTCTCTGATGATCTGACCTTTAGCTAAATTTTATTATGGCTAAACATTTACATTGTGCAACTCGGGTCAGAAAAAATCCCTCCAAAAGAAATAGAGTTTCCTCTGCCACCTAGCACCTGAAGGATTCTACCACCTCAATGCTTACCCACTCAATTCTGCTTTGCAAATTTTCCTGTTTTTAATATTTGAACAGAAATGATTCAACTATTTCTCAACATTTCAGCAACATTTGAAAAATTTCTTGGGAGAGATTTTGATGCCAAAGGTTATGCAAACAGTGTGATCGAAAATCGTGCTATTGGAGAGTGTTTGGAAAAGTTAGCAGATGGTGTACGATTGTTAGATAAAGAATTGCATTCACAGGTTGTCATCTTTAATGATTTCATCGAAATAGAAAGGCTTTCTTACATAGAGAAACCAAACTATTTTGAGAATTGCATACTGTGCTTTGTGCAGAATGTGAATTTTAACAGCAAGTGTTTGTATTCAGGTTGTAACACGTCATGAAGATCTTTTGCAACAAGCAACTGGTATAGAAACACTTGAAGGTATATGAAATGTTTGTTGATAGGAAAGGCACAGCCCACGTATATGCTAACCATTGAGCTAACCTTATGTTTAAAGATATATGGTTATGATGCAGGTGCTTAAATTAAATTGCTGTTGTACCAACTTTACACTATCCAATAATAATCATTTTAGGTGTTTTACAAATGATGACTTCAAGAATAACTTCTCTACAACTTTCAATTGAGAGGTAGGTTTAGTTGAATTTTTATGAACTTTTTCATGTCCGTGACAAGGGCAGCTTGTACACCATTTATATTTTTTACTAAGTTTGCTTGCATTACCTTTTTTCAGAATCCATCAACAAATAAGTGAACCTTATGAAAAAATCAGAACAAGAACGTCACAACTTCGACGACTTCAGGTATCTGTCGATGGGACTTGTAACAAAAAAATAATGACAGACCTAAATTAATGACACTGACATTATAATCTCTGTAGACAACTTGTGACCTGCTAAGAAGAGTGATCAGAATAAGTTATCTTACTAAACGTTTGGAAAGTCAACTCAAAGGAGGAGTAAAAGAAACAACAAAAGCAGCGCAAAGTCTCAGTGAATTAGGTATTTCAGGGTTTACTATAATCCATCTTGAACAACAAAAATATTATACAATAAGATATTAACCCAAAAAAATGAGATGCAATTAAATGAGTGGTCCCTGGGCACTAGAAGGTTATGCAGATGCATAACTAATAAGATTTTAGGCTTAAGCTGATGTCAAATACATAAAGTTGACATGCTCCCTTTGAATGATGTATTAGTAGTGCGGCAAAGATAGTGTTAATTAACCCAGGCAATGATGAACTCTTGTTCTTGATTTAAAGGTTATTTAATGGATGGTGTGGATTTATCTGGTATAGAGGTATGAAATAAATTCTTGATTTGTGAAATTTTTCAACACTTGCATGAAAAACCTTCACATCTGTATATTAATAAATTAATGGTGAATTTCAGTTAACAAAATTTGATAAATCAAGTGAAGTACATCTTTCCCAGGTTTTAGAAAAAGATATTGATTGGATTAAAAATGCAAGGAAAGAAGTGACAACACAAGCGCAAAATATGTTAACTCAAGGCATGGAAACTCAGGTGAAGACTGACTTCAGCTAATTCTATCATTTGCTTCAGGTAAAAGTCTAGTGTTAATTAGAATGGGTTACTCTATTGATAATATATGTTTTAGAATCAAACCCAAGTGGCCACAGCCCTTCAAGTATTTCACAATCTTGGATCTTTACAACAAACTGTTGAAACTTTTGTTCAATCCTTAAGAGAGGATCTCAAGTCAACTATAGCTAATACATTAGATATTCAGAATTTGATGTATGGACAAAATAGTAAGTAATTACCCAATTAACCTTCGTTACAATGTAAGTTAGGTTTCCTAGACTCAAACTGAAGTAATTTTGGGATTTTTTATTTAGGTAACTCAACTCCAGGTCGTGCTGCAGTACCCGCCCCAGGCAACACGGCCATGTGGAGAGCTACTCTCTGGACTGGTATGGAAAAACTAATGGATAAAATTTGCAGTTGTTGTGGAAAGGTACTTCTTATGGTTTGTTTTTCAGTAGCATATCCAGAATGATAATTGGGGGGGGGGGCATTTTTTGTTCAATATGTAATTCTCCCTTTTTGCCGATACACTATGTAAGGTAGTAGAATGCTCTTTCTTGAGCAAACGCGTTTATTTATTTCAATTTCTTTAAAAGTTTAAAAGTATATGTGCATTTATATGACGAAAAGTGTCTAATTGTCAAAGATTTTGTCCGTTTGACAGCCACTATTGTCAGGATCATTAGGCCCGATGATTGGCTCCTTTTACGAGCTTGTTTTATTAAAGACGAAAGATTGAGGAATGTATCTTGTTTATCCATTTCAGGTTCATCATCTTTTTAAAGTTTTGTCAAAGAAAAGAGACCCAGTTTCTCATGTATGTTTCATGCAAGAGGTTTTGAAGGAAAGAAAGAGAAGCAGTGTTTTAACATTCTGGGAGTCGATCACTGTTACATTACGAGAGGAATTTATAGGAGCTGCTCAAAGTAAGAGCCAGCGTAGAAAATAGCTTCCTTCAATTGAAAGTTTAGAATTGAATTCATGCAACTACAAATTAAAATCTAAAACTTCCAGAGTCGCCATTTCTTAAACAAGCATTTGAAGGCGAATATCCCAAGTTACTTCGCCTGTCCAATGAGCTGTGGACTCGTCTTCAGCAGTTTGCGAGCACAGGAAATGCAGTTAGTAATGTCTATACTGGTGGTGTTGCTGATGTTGTTTATGGCCTCTTTCATTTATATCACGACAACTCTGCAAGGTAGAACTCAATAACTACTTTTTAGTTTCTAACTTTTGGTTTACTTCGAAAGAGGTGAACTTAACTAAAAACTTGGGTAATCCTAGAAATACACATCAAAAAGAATACTGGATTTTTGCTGGATTTTTTTAGTCCAGAGGATTTTCTCAAGAATTCTTTATCAAGTTTTGAGAATGCGTATTTATCACGATCACTCTCGCGTCTCTTTGATCCTATCAACCTGGTGTTTCCCGCTGGTGCTCAGGCCCCACCATCAAAAGACGAGGTCGCAGGAATTGTAAAGACGATTGCAAGGTATTGTCTGTGAGGCTAATGATACACAATTATCAGCCTTTTGTTTTAACACGATACGTTTTGGAGTGAAAAGCAAAATGTGGTTTTTGTCGCTCCTTGTATCACGTGATTTCTCACGTTTTCGTAAAGAAAGAGCATGAATCCCATGATTTTTACTTTCCCATTTATTTTTAGTGAACTAAATGTTGCAAATGTAGACACGGGTCTGAGTATTTCTGTGTCTCGTAATGTCGAGAAGACAATTCAGTTATATACAGCAAAGTCTGAACAACTGGTACGTAATCGACAATTTGAATGTTGAACTAATTCTCCATCTGGGCGAGGTGATGGAAATAACATGCTGTATCATTGGCTTGGTGTGTACCAACAAATGTAGATTTATCTAACACAATTTCTTTCTTCTCCAGCTGGTCACAAGTTCAGACGCTTATGAAATAGAAATTGAAGTTAGTGGAGCACAACAAAAGAATGCCGTTATTGTTAACATGCTTTACGAAATGCACCAAGCAACAACTAAGGTAGACCATCTTCCTGTTCGTCGTTTATATTTTCTGATTTTGGTGATCTTAAAGTTTGTTACTTATATTTCAGATACTTGACAACGTATCATTCCCCAAGAATGCCAAGACGAATATCTCAATAGCTCTAAAGGTACACTTATATAAAGTCTACAATGGAATAGATCAGATAATCAAATTATTAAATGCCTAATTTCTTTATTTAGGCTTTAACTTCATTGATAGAAACGGCTGTCGAACCATTATTGTTGTCAACCCAGAGAAGAATGGAGGAGATTGTCTACAAAATACACTCTGAGGATTTTTCAAGGTCGGTACAAGAAAGTTTCGAGATGTTCATTTCAAAAATGTTAAATATTAGCCACAGACATCAGGTTGCAAAATACAACGAGATTAATAAATTAGATAAATCAAAAATGCTCAATCTAAATTTTCAAACATTGCAGCGCTCAATTATCCGTTAATATCTCTGATACCCCTGAAGCACCCTGTTCATCCTACATTAACGAGCTTCAGGTACAGTTTTATTACCATTTTCTGATCACTCTTTTCATGAAAGAAGATCCAAACTAATTGATATTCACAGCAATATTTCATCATTGTAATGTCCTATCTTCATTGCTTCATTAGGATTTCATAAATCATGTGAACAGAAACCTTTTTTCCTTGTATAATTGTGGAGATTTTCTTGTCAACAGGTTTGTAATTACAAATATTATAAACTCAGAACCATTGTCTGTTCTCCCCAGTGAACTCTATAGTACTGGTACCCACTGGTCGTCTGATTTTAGGATAGTGAATATCTTTGCCAATGACATGCCGGGCGGGAACGTATTCCTATAAATATCAAAACCAAACTCTAAACTCTTTCATTTCAACATTTCAATCTTAACATTTCCGCTCTTGACATTCAGCGTTTCTTCCTAGGCTAAATTCCCTCGCTGCACGCATTTTGCACGTGTTTGTTCGTCACGTGAGTTTGTTACGAGAATTGGGCGAAGGAGGCAAGTTACGATTGGCTGCTGACATGGCGCAGGTGAGCGGGGGGGGGCAGGGTTAGGGAGTTATTTATTGGGGGGGGAGAGAACTGAAGGAGTTTGAGAATCATTCTAAATAATTGGTTGTGTTTAAAACATAAGTAAATGAAGAAACATTTGATCGAGGGATAGGTGTGTGTGTTTTGATCATATCAACAGCCTAGTCATTCTCTTTGCTTCGTCATTTTATGTCAGTTTTTTGGTAAAATGTGATAAAAATGAAAAACGTATATATTTTGCGAAAAGAGCGAACTATGATGAGTGAAAATGCAAGTTGGAGTGGTGAAGAAAGATAGTGAGTTAGAGACTGAGAATGGATGAGTGGTAGAAAACAGAATGTAGAGGGTTAGTTGAAAGGTATATTTTTGTATTTCAGATCGAGTTTGCTGTTGGTCCTCTGTGTCGTCGTGTTTCTGATTTGGGCAAATCTTATAAATTACTCAGATCTTTCAGGTACAGTCGTGAAACCACATGTGATGATAATTGAGACTTGTACAGTGAAAGACATCTGAAAATGATAACTTCTGATTTTTCTCTAGACCATTATTATTCCAGACAGCAGAAGATATATCCAACAATCCAGCTTTGGGTGAAAGTCTTCCTTATTCATTTGTTCTTCATCATTTGTTCTCTCACGGACCTTCAGACCTTAGATCACCTCATGAGGTTTGTTTTCTCGCATTCTCACTGTATATAACATGTTTTATATCATTGGAATCTAAACTGTTCTAATCTTGTATTAAGGTGAAAGGCTGGTCACTAAATTATTATAGTCAATGGCTGGATACACACGAGTCAGAAAAGGAGAGATTGGCGCTAATAAGGTGAGGTCATTAGATTTATAAAAAACTCAGATTATCACCTATCTGTCTATTTTCCTGTTAACCTTTTACTTCGAGTCTTGAGCTAATCCTCTGAGTTACCGTATCAAGACATCAATTACTATTATGAGACTTCTATGAATTAAGAGAGTTAGGTTTAGATAGCAGCCAAGAACTAATGCAGAGGACTGTCAAATATGACTACAATTGATCTTGTGTATTGATGGTAATACTGAATAAGAAATCTCTTTATCTTCACTGGACGTCATCATTGTAAAAACAGTTCAACGTCAAACAGTTCAAGAGTAATCGAACAATTTGATGACAAATAAAGAAGGTTTCCTCCTGCAGAAAAATGGGATCAATTCACTTGACCTCTAGAAAATTTCTTTCTCATAATGACGTCAAACACAGAAAAACGTTACGCGAAGTTTTATTGGCTCCTTAGTTTTTGTAGAGCCAATCAAACTTCGTGTAACATCAGTCTTCCCGCGTTTGACGTCATAAGAAAGGTCTATTTTAATGGGGAAATCTTTAGAATATTACCATGCTTGGTCTATAAAGTCTCTTCTTTTCATTAGTGCTTCGCTGGAGGTATATGTACAGTCAGTCCGTTCTCGAGGCGAGAGGGAATTTGCAACGGTTTATCCAATTCTACTCAAGGTCCTGCAGTCTGTATCAACGTGAAGGGTATGCGGTACTGTAAGTTAATCAGTCTATTATGAGTTGTCAGTCGTTTTGTGGACGATGACCAGGGAAAGGGAAACAAGAAAAAGCTGTCTGTGGCAAATGCTCACCTGTAGATAAAATCACCATGCATGACTGTCTATAGACAGTCTGTCATGTGGAGACAGTTACCATGTGCCTGGTCAGTAAGACTGTAACCATGTAGAGGCAGTTACCATGTGCAGTGGTCAGTAACCATGTGCAGACTTTCTCCATGTGGCTGGTCAGTCAACATGTGGAAACAGTGTGTCTAGACAGTCGCTATAATTTTATACGCCTGGACAATGCAACGCATTTGTTTGTTACTCTTCAATGACGCAATACTTTATTACATGAATGACAGATTCTGGACTCCATAAAAAGGAAACAGAATCTGCTGTATCAAATATACATATCACCTTTTAGAATAGAAATATTCTCGCAGTTTACGATCGATCAAATTCTTTGCAATATTCGACAACAAATCGTGGGATTTTTATATTTCATGGCATCAGTGCAAGACCTTTTTATCCGAATATTCTCTCTAGTTGTGCCTTCTGGTTCGGCCGCTAAAATGCAAATGTGGTTTTCATAGAAAAACGAGAGAGTTTTAAAATTTAGAAATACGTGCTATTTTTAGTAAAATATTCAAAATTATAAGCACTTGATGAAGTGAAAATACCATCATGTGAAATGAATATCAGGTGTTTTGATCTCTCCCCTAGTGAGTGTAAGTGAGTCTTTCAAGATACACGTGTAAGTGTTTTTTCAAGTGTTTTTCGGCAAGTTCAAATCTGTTTTAAGTGCAAGTGTAGACCACCCTCTCAGAGAACAGGGGGTTGATGCCCTGTTTGGTCAAACTGCCTACCAAATACTCAAGTGCACTTTCGAAAAACAAGTATTTTGCTCATTGTCGCCGTGAGAAAGTTCATATTATTCATTATGCTTCTTTAAAAAAACACAAATACCTTACGTATATTCCACTGTAGGTTAATGAGTATAGAAAATAACGATATTGATCTTTCGTCTTTACAAACGCTGCGATGAACGTGAGCGAAATATTTCTTTAAAATTATTTACTATTTCATCTTGGATGTGAGGTTTTCTGAGCGTTTTTGAATTTATATTGAATTTACTATTTAGCTAGTAAAACTATACCTGAGAAAACTATATATAAAATATTAAAGTCGGTGTGGCTCCCCATGAAGGAGTTTCCTGCACTTAGAAAACTTTAGTGATAAAGAAATTAGTATCAAAGAAAAGTGTCACGTTCCTGAAACATCGCCAGACATTTTTCCAAGCCTCCTACATTTTTTGCCACAATAGTCTTCCCGTCGGCCTAAAGGTAGATCGTCTGTTTCATGTCTGAACATGTTTTGGTCCTGTTTCTGATATCATCAAACTCCTCCATCTTTACTTGAAATTTGATGCATAATGTGTTAAGATTCATGTTAATTTTTTGTGATACTTGTCACTCATTTTTTGTCTAGGTCAACTTTAGCTAATTCCATTCATACCTTTGAGTATTATTACCACATTTTTGCTTAAAATACTGCGATTATTATTTTTTACACAAATCCCTAAGATTAACTAAATCTTACAGTATTACAAGAATGCTCTGCACAGCAACATTTAGACCATGACGACAAATAAATGGCAATATTTTGATTGTATATAGTTAAAGTTGGACAACACTTTTTAAATTAGTTTTTTTTAAATTCGTGAACATGTCAAAATGGTTGATGTGGTAGAATATCACTTGCTACATGATTGCAGTCAACCTTGGCTTATTTGAATGCAAAAAAATAGAGACAAACGTACGTCGTGGCTATTTTACATCGGTGGTAAGGATTTATTCAAGACACGCATGCAATGGCGATGAAGTCATAAACAGTGAAGCTTCGCAGTAAACTGAGACTTACTGAGTGGAGACAGTAAATATTTTTTCAAAATTCCCATCCTATATAAATGGATAAGAATTACTAGATTACATCCGCCTTTTGTTATTCAAATCATTTCCAAAAACCCACGCGCTACATGCATAATCCTTCTTATTCTTTTGTATTCTACCGTACCCAGGGAGTCATCGATATACTACAGTTCTTTTGAGAGAGGGCTTTGTTCCTGCCATTAAACTAACTTTGTTTCAAGTGCCAAACGCGTTCGCCCAGTTTCAGTACAAAGCTCATGCATGATAATCCTGAAGCTATAAACATACGCTGAAAGTTTACTGATTAAAATTTTTGTATACTGCAGCATTTTTTGCCCCAAATCATATTTTATTGTTCATACATTTAATTGCGTCATTACAACACAAAAGCCAAGCCAAATGATCTTTCATTAGTTGTAGTGACAACTAGACAATCACCCAACCTGACAAGTCATAATATAAACCGACACGATTTTTAATTCTAATATTTATCATGCGTTGGAACAATGTTAATCCTATATCTTAAACACTTCGTGTACAGTTCATAATATAAAGATATATTTGGCTTTCTTTGGTTACTAGCCTTAAGTGGCGGTGTAGCGATTTTCTTTCCTTCTCTATATACACATCATCTCACCAGAATCTGAAGTGTTTTCCTTGCTTTCTTCAAATATATAGTTTTCTTTCCTTGTTTGAAGGAGCATCGCAAGACAGTATGCTGACAATGTGTAATAATTGTCCACATCATAACAAGTTGTGGTTATGGTTAGTTTGAAACACCTTGCAGAGCCATGATGCTAACAATGTTGCAACAGCATTTCTTGCTGACAGTTTAAAACACGTCGACCAGTTTTTATTTTGAGTGAATATTGTCGCAAACGGATATACTGCAATAATGACGATACAAACTTGTGACTTAAGTGAAAAAACCCAAGCAATAAGAAACTTTAAAATCATATTTTGCATGATATCTGCTTTATTATAGTTGCTATATATACTTTAGTATAAAATCACGCATCAAGTCATCATACAGCTTATGTGAAATTGTGACTATATACTTAAAGTTGTGGGGAAACATTTATGAGGCATATTACTCGTATCAATTTCACTTGACGCCAAATTTTGTTTGTTATACCATTAAGACAATACCTCAATGAATTCAGTTAGACTTCTCCACACGCACGCCGCCCGCCACGAGTGAATGTAATCTCCTGACATTGTTTTATTTGCGGTATTGCTCGTGTGTGTAAGCCGGAGGAATTAACTCGTATCAGCAGTTTTAAAAATAACTATCTGCATACCCACGCATAGGCTGAAGAGAAACTATGTTAATAACAAGTTTAGTTTTATGTTTAATTTCGGTTTATTCACATAGTCAAAGAAACAAATCAAGTGATATGGTCAAACTTTTACAACGCAATGTTTATGATGTATTCTGCACACTGGTCTACGAATACTTCTTGTATTGAAAGATTTAAATGCTGAAGGTTATACTTGGGTACTGCTGACGGTTCACATACTGTTTTGATACGGTCTGCTAACTTTATTTCCTCGAGAAACATATACGATACTGTTCGTCTGTAGGAAATGTCTGAAACTGAATGATTTGGCTCCATTGCCATTGATCGTTTCTTCAAATTCCACCAGAAATCTCTCATTTTTCACTGCTTTGAGTCCCCTATATGCGAGTAATGCGACATTTAACGATTTTTCATTTTCATTAAACTTAGTTAGTAAGCCCTATGGGTTAAATTATACACAACAAGGCATGTATATCTGCTCTCCTCCAGCTGTCCATATATAGAAGAGTGCAAAGCAGTTTATATCAGACAATTAAGATATAGATAGATATAAAAGAAAGAGAATGCTGGTGCTTCATAACAGAATTGAAGATCAGAAAGGAGGTGGAAACGTGGAGTTAGTTGCAGGCAGCATTTTCACTAACTTCGTATTTAAAAAAGCAGTATTCACGAGCCTGAAAAATCCGGCGAAAATTAAGAACAAAAAACAAGAGTTATAAATGTTCAAGCTCCAACTATACTCATTTCAAAACATGCGATGAATTAATTGTATTTAGAAAATTTCATTGTACTCTAAATGATTATCCTTGAAGACTTTGAAAGTAAAGGCTTTATAGAGTGTCTCAATTGTTATAGCCAAATCAAATAGACAAGCAGCCAATCAGCGCTCACTAGTCTCACGCTTCTCACAATGCCTGTCAATGCGGCAATTCTATGACCTCTCAGAGTCGCGCGACATTTAAGACGTTCAACCAATCAGCGTTGAGCAGTCCCACGGTCTACGCCATTTAAATTCATGTCATTGTCTGTTTTATATACCTCGGTCACAAGTAGACAATTAACGTGTAAATATTTGCGCATGATAACGCCTGCGAGCGAGATTTTCCCACGATTACCAACACACACGGAAGAGATAAGTGGTTGTGAGTATGCACGATGTGGCCAAACCATTCTTGACCGTCACAAGAACAACTTGCTCCCGCCAATATTTTCAATAACTTCAATTCTACCTTAATTTTTATCATGGGACTCGAGAATTTACGAAAAGAAGATGAATTAAAGTCACCTGAAAGACGAAAGGTATATCTAAGCTTTGCAGCTATTAAACGCAGACTAATAATAATATTTAATATATTAAGTCGTTTCAGAGAGGCTTTTCTCAAAATATGTGTTAAAAATATTATTTTTCTTTATATTAAAAAGTAATTTGATCTTATTCTTCTCTATAAATAATACTGTATGTGAACTAAAGTATAGAATTATCCAACTCCATCTCAATGTGTGATTGCTTCTTACTGTTTTAGGCAAAAAAGCCCCTTATTGAGAAGCAGAGAAGACGACGTATTAATGAAAGTTTGAACGAATTAAAGGTTCTCGTCCTTCAAGCTTTAAACAAAGATGTAAGTTAGTCGGCATTTGTTTTCAATAAATTACGAAGCTATCGGAGTAGGTCTTCCCGCGATAACATAGATCGCTTGCGATATTTAATTGCGGTCGAAACGTGATGAGGTTGAAGCTAGAAATATGGTTACATGCAACATTACGTTGTGTTACCAAATTTGCTAGTTTAAATCAAGGTTTAAATCCATATCTTTATTTTCCATCATTTGTTTAACACCATTACTGTATTTCCTTTTGCGCAAACAATCAAGTATTTGTTTGTCTAGATGAACCAGTATGACTGAACGCTGTTTCATATTTTGATATTGCGGAGATGTTATCAATATTTTGTTATCGCTGTATTGCTATTTATGTTTGCGTTCCGCCGCGCTTTGGTTTCCACATGACGCAAAACGAGAATTTTTTGGTTTTGTTCGCGTTCCGTATCACGCTTTGGTTTGACGGTTAGACCAAGGGACGCCGGCTTACCTCTGAGAACATCAACTTTCATTGTCAAATTAGAGCCAGTGTGGTGTGGAAATCGAACGCGCCAATAAAACTTGTTCAACGGCTCAAGCAGTGCTTTTTGTAAATTTCCCTAGGCTTTGCTCTAATCTCCTCCCACAGAATGTCCACAGGATATATATTCCTATTTTAGCTGTGTTTTTCTGAAGCTGGATATTGGCGTCCCTGACCATTATTATCTATGCTAAAATCTTTCTTCTATATATATGAAAGCTGAAATTTATACTAAATCATTCTACTTTTTCTCTGTAGCCTTCGCTTTATTCAAAAATGGAAAAGGCGGATATCTTGGATCTAACAGTCAACTATTTAAAGTCTGTAAAATGCGAACCAGGTTTTCTTCGAGATGCAACATCACTTGCAAAATACCGCGCTGGATATAACGACTGTGCCGGAGAAATGACCCGGTATCTAATGTCCGACACGGGATTAGACTATCACAGCAGGGCAAAGTTACTCTCCCAAGTTGCTTCTTATTGTCAAAACGCAAATCTACGTACAACTGCTGACATGAACACCAGGTCACCACAGGCTCCGCTATATATAAGACCCTTAGGGACCCCCATTTCCCCTCCTACCACTTTACCATCATCTATACCTATATATCCTGCCAACTACAACACAAGTGAAAGCAAACGCACCTTTCCTTCACCATCTACGGGAACTGGAGAGCAGGCAAATTTCTGTCGATATCTAATGACGCCATCAACTGTGAGGCCATTTGGCGGTCTGGGTCCTAGCACTTCCGGAGTCTGGAGACCTTGGTAGAATGATAGAATCTTCAAGTGAAGGGATTTAACTGAACATTTGCTAAAATATATAAGAAACGCGGGAAACAGACTGCAGTAATTTTTTAAGATATATATTTTTGTAATTTATTTCTATATGAAGAATGACATGCGTTAACATAGTTAACAAAATTTGATTGTAAATAGAACGAGACTTAACTAAAGTATTTTTATAAAACTATTATTATTATCATTTACTATGAATGAGGGATGTAAAATAAATTCTATGACTATGTGTTTAACATATTATATATAAATAATAACATTTATTGCTATCGTTTTGAGAAAATGAAATTAATTTATTATTCAAAACAACCTATTTACTAGTTTCAGAGTTATCCGGATATGGCTCTGTTAATGTGGTGGTATAGTGTAGTTAGGCTAAGTTAGCAATAGTATTTGTTCAGTCGATATGCTTTTGTACTGATATTTCATGCACACGTCTGATAGTGGAGGCTATATCAGCACCATAGTTATTTACTCGATGTGTAATATTTATGTGAGTTTTCAGCACTCACTCTTACAATATTCTGCGCGTGCGTGGTAACAAAACCAACTGGCAACCAAAGACCATGATGCAATCATCTCTCATTTATTGTATGTCAAAGATATGAAAAAATGTTTTGAGCAACCGCAACTGTTCAGCGGCTTCTCTTTTCAGGGGCAAGGATGGCAAAGCCCCTCTTTCATATTAAAGGATTGCATGCATAAGCTATTTTTCAATGATTCTGCAACCAGACCACCCTAGAAGTTCATCAAATAAGCTGTCTGGCGGAAAACCTTCAGCCACCAAAATCATCGAACAAAGATTTTGAAAACACGATGACGAATCTCAACGGTTTCACAAGATGTTTTGAAAACACCTTCTGGTATGCGTCATTATAGAAAGGCCCTTAACGAATATCTGCCTCTTTCCGCTTGCCCTCGCATTCCAAGAAACGTGTCGTCAGGAAGTTCATTTTGACAAAAAAGTCCCATACCTCTATTCAGATCCACCGTATATACCACAATACCACAGGCACAGCTAGGCTTTACGTTTTTGTATTATTTATTACACAAATAATTGTTTGAACTAGAAAAATATTTTAACACTCCCTTGGGGAGTAAAATACATGCAATTTTCTTTTAAACTAAATCGATATGCAGGAAATTACTAAGTCCATGGTCTCCATATTGGATGCTTCAGTGTCCGTATTTGAAGTTGATTGGTTTGGTGCTTGTTATCTCTGTTGAATGATCTGATTGGATGATGTAAGAGTGGCTTAAATTCAGCAGGAAGCTGTCTAAAAATCATCGAGTTTTCATCGTAGCAGTTCTCTGCTAGTTCATGTTTTTTTGCTTTCGAGCAGTTCGTTCTTATAGGCGTCGTTTCTAATTTAAACTTTTCTTTTGTGTTCAATTCAAACGGTTTTCTGTCGTGGATCGTGTTTTCTTTGTCTTCTACTTGTTCCTTGCTTTCTAAGCATCGAATTGCCAGCTCCAGGATATCGGCTTTCTCCATTGGTGGGTAAAATCCGACCTAAGAAAGATGTCGACGTTGAAGTGTTGAACTTTTGAATACGCGATCACGACCTCACTTGGCAGTTGTAAAACTAAGCTAGGCCGCGTATTTTATAGCGTTTTAGATCTCTATATACACATGCAAGGATCTATATTCAATATATTTTTACATCCAAATAATCTCTTACATCATTCCCGAGTTGTCTCATGACGATAACCTTCAATTTTTCCAACTTTTCGTTGATCTTTTGTCTTCTCACTCGTTCTAACTGTCGTTTCTTCGCCTGTGATGGAAATTGAATCGTTTAGTTTCATTGCATGGATATTATCAAAATCCCCAAAACCAGTCATATATGTCCGTTATAATAAATGACCAACACTATTGATATATATCCATCCCGTTCAACATCTAGTAGAAATATGTCTAAACGCTGTCACCAATATCAAAATGCAATATTCTTATTTCATCCTTACCTTTATTTGTTTATTGCTAACGCCACAATGAGCATCAATATGATCTTCTTGCAAGGGGATCATCGCCTCAACTTCTAATATATTTTTACCTTTCAAAACTCCCGCTTCGTAATGGCACCTGTTCTTAAATACAACCCTTCTAACTGTCTATGTATGCGGTTATTACACGGCTCGTATTTATAATAGCGGCTAATTACCACCTTCTTTGTTCTCACACATGGCAACTGCTGAGTAAATATTTTCCCTTCGCTTAACGCACGTGTCTTGATACGGTGGAGTAAGCATCATCAGCCTAAAACGGCAGGATAGGATAGCTAGATTTCTTTATATTTTTCCTTTTTGGTCGTAGTTAATTCATCTCAATCATAGATGTGAATAGCTCTGCTTTCTCGTTCACTTCAGTTTAAATGATGATCGCATATATAGCCATTATATATTAGCGCCTCAGTTATATTTTAGCCTGGGTTATAGCCAGTAGGATTGAAGCTTATTTTACTTCGCTTGATACTAACTTAAACAATTTACTATATTTTTAAAAATATTGAAACACAATAGTATATTGCTCGTTGTGTTAGTCTTGAAATGCACGTAGCGATGCTTTGCGATAGATTAACTGCTTTCGCTCTGCCCTATAACGACTTAAAGTCTGACAAGTGTTCTCTATATGAAAACCAATGTAAAGATCATCAAAAAATCTTCTTCGGAAAGAATGATACTAATGTATAAGGACTGAATACGTATATTTGTCTGCTTGGACTAGCATATACGTTTCCCGCCAAACTTTCAAAAGACAATGACATAATTTGCCATTGTCCAGCATCAATACACCGCGTGGCGAGCCAACAAGAGCGCCAGTTTTGAAAACGTGTTCAACCAATTTTCGTTTGAACTGTACATGCAATGTATAAACGAAGCAAAACATATGTTGAGAGGAATGACTGAAATCGAACTATTATATAATTTAGTTTGCCTCAGTTCAAACAATTTCTTTCAAATTTCGGTGCACAGTAAAGAAAGTAGCTAATAAACACTAGAGTTGGATGAACGTCAGAGTCAGAGAAAATTTTATGGGAGATTTAATAGCAGCATTAATCAGTTCAGCGTCATTCAATGACACTTCATTTCACATCTTAGTTTATATTTATCAACGTATAAGAAAATTCGCATTATTTTATTCAGTTCACATAGTTATACCTCAACGTAATTATAGAATATGATTTCCGGCAATAAATTCCATGATTGACGAAGGAAGGCATCTTTATATAGAAACTGTTTGTATCATGATGTGATAATATTTCCAAAATTGATGTAGGGATAAACTAAATGAGAAAAAGACATGACACACTATATTTAGGCCTGATTATGATTCTTCACATAATTCTTCCTGGCGATGTTACTTCGAGGTTTGTTTCCATGCATTTGCATTATGTTCATGATAAGCTATGGCCTAATCCTGGCTTGAAGGTAATATTTCCTAACTACAAATAGAGCGAAATTCTCCAATGTTATCGTTCCTCTTTCATATAGAACTCCTCTATATATTTTCTAGTTTTTGTTGTGCTCAAATGTATTTTGTTTAGTGCGCAATCAATTCCGTGGTGAAAAACAGACGAAGATATAATTGTATGAAAAGTCACATAACAAAAACGTCCCTCAACTTGAAAACTCTGCAAAACAAACAATTATCAACTACCTTCAAAGTTGAATGTCAATATGATTATCTTAAATGACTTTCCACTTGCATGGACGGCCATGCTTTCAGACTGTTGAAGCAAATCAAAATTTCGCGCGTTTTTCTCGTACACAATGGCGACATGCACGAATTCTGAAGTGTCTTTGTTTTGTGGCACGCGCTTCATATGAGATGCCGTGCTGTGCTGTGCTTGATGGACAAATATTTCACGTTCCACGTGTTAAACGCTTATTTCTCTTTGTTATCGAACAACTGCCCTGACTAGCTTCTCTAAAATATCTCTTCTGCTGGATAAGGTGCATGGTTCTGTTTCATTTTATTGCTAAATATTGAAAATCTTTACGTTGAAAAGGAGTGAGAATATATAGTAATCTGAAGCCGTGAAGGCAAACTTTTGCGGATGCGAGCAACCTGAAATTACCTAATCCATAACTATTCTTAGATCCGATTTAACTCTGTGCTTGTTTAAACTTCATGCAAATGAGTTAAGACAAATATTAAACCTGATCTTAAGCATCTATTACGATTGTTTGTTAGCATTGGGCAACCTCAAAATCAGCTCTTAAATGTGGTTCATGCAGAGGCTGTTATTTCGGCTCTTTTCCAAAGTCCTGGAAATAGTCGTGCAAATATGGCATTTCAGTCTTTCATATATTTGACGTCTGTCATTTATCATGACGTCTGTTATTAACTGTGATCTTGTCGCCAGGACTGAATGATCACTTGAATGGGTACTATATTCTATATATATTGTTGTTGAACGTATTAACACAAATGAGAATATTAATTGATGAGAGGATGCATGGTCTATCAAATAGAAAACCAACACTGATCGATTTAGAAGGAAGTGGGGCAGAGTTTAATGTATGGCGATTGAACATTGATCTGAAAACTGAGGTGTAGGTCCATGCCCTGGCACTTTTGTCGGAACATTTCGGAGATAATCGTAGAATGATCGTCACATGGCTATGTTTTGTTTTGACTGCCCACGTTCTGTCCTGCTGTGTTTTAATTTTACACATTTGTTTTTCGTTTAGAAAACAAACTCTTTCTTTAAATAATAAAAACTGTTTCTTTAAATAATGATATTTTGTAATGACCTGGGCCGTGATCTGACGAAGCTCTAATCAAACGTGCTTTAACTTAAATAGACACAAAACGCCTGTTTTTGTTAGCTAGTATGAGAGGGGGATGAATATTTTGTATAAATCTCGATTCTATATGGGTAATGAAAGTTTTGATTCGTTAATCATTCGTTAAGTTCATTATACATGCATTCATGTGATATTCTCAGTTTTGTCCACCGCGCAAGGCTGAATATTGTTGTATCTAAAATTTGTTGAAGACTGGATTTTTATATTATAGCTATATTTATTAATTCATGCATTAGACTAATTTACCGTCCAGCCACGAACTGAACTATCCAACAAACAAAGAAAAACACGCTGCGCTCAAGCAAATTCGAGAAATGTCTATTGGTATATTTGAATGCATGTAAATTAACACGATAGAATAAATGCCTATTTCTTGAGCACTAAAATAGTTGTTTTTTTTTAAATACGCCCATGGACAACGCGTATAAACGCAGCTTTTTTAAAGCATTTTTTTTAATCAGCTGTTAAGACAATGTCTATATTTGTGGCACAAAAACTTATTTATGTATGTCGGTATTTTTGAGGTTCGCTTTGGGGGCTCAGAAATAATAGCGTAGTTTTTGAAACAATAAACAATATTCTAGGCTATGTTATATATAGCCTATAGCTTTGGTAATCAGTCGACTTATTTTAAAAAAAATAAAAGTGTCATAATAATCTCGCGTATTAATATCCTGCACAAAAATAATGACTCATGAATACAAACAAAATATAAAACTAAGCAAATAGCCTACCCTGGGCACGAGGTTGGCATATGACATCTCAACTGTGATCTTATTAAATATCAATCATATATCGTTTATCTGCGCATGCTCAATGCCTGGATCACAGTCATTGATCTTCGGAATCAAAACCGAAAACTAAAGTAAATCGCCCGCGCAAAATGCCTACGTAAATCATTTGTAATTATCAATATTTTATTGTATTCAACTTCCCTCACTTTATCGCATGAATAGTTTTTATTTTGACATATTTTTTAACGAAATCTGACCAAAATAATTTGGCTGCTGTCTTAATGATGCCATAGCCCGTCTAAAAATACCTTATTACTAGTTCTTAATGGAGTAATGAAGATATATTGATTTGTGATTTCCTTTATATCTAGAATATACAGACAGCTTTCCGATAACCATTTAAAATATGTATTCTTTAATGCATTTGTATGCCTCTTTTTGTACGTGAAATACTGTGTCTGTGAAATCTCATCCAATCAATGACGATAGTAAAAGACAATTCTTTAATATCACTTTTTTGTGTGATTAAAAAAGGCAAGACCAAAAAAAATATTTGCTATCTTTTGCTCTGAATACGTTGTCATTGATTCGAGAAGGATTTATTTGTGGTTGAATCAGATAAAATAAACATTGTCATGCATGCATTGTTATTAACAAGTAAATCTGATATCAAATGTATTTCACATATTTGGATTTTATAAAAGCGGTTTCCCAACAGACGAAACAAAGCTTGATTTAGCTTGATTTATAGCTTGATTTTCTTTTGAATTGTGATTAGTCACGCTTTGGTCGAATTTTGCGAGAAATCTGCCCAGTAATACCGTAGTAGTGCTTCATTCGGTATTTGGAATGGAAAGCAGTGTTTTTGTTAAAACTATAGGTTAGCAGACCGCAGTTGCTTTGGCCTGGGATGATGGCTATATAAACAAATTAATGTTTACACGGTGCCACATATATGCATGTCTCAAAAAATATGGTCAAAAAACAATTTATTTTGTACTTGTTGCCCTTTTAGAACAATGCTATGGATGCCTTCGGATTGCCCATCTTTGGAAAACCCGATTAAAGAGAGATGTTTCCCGGCTCGCCCACGGGCTCATGGAACATAGATATAGGTATAGAAAAACAACTATGTTTTGTTTTTATATTTGTTTGCATGGCAAACATGATTAATAAACAACGCGTTCTTTATGTTATATGTAACATTGTCTAATATATAACTGAATTGTCTACCACAGTCTTTCCCGGTAGCTTATTCATCACATTTTACAATGAAAACTCTGTCAGGATTGTATTAATAAAAATTAAGGAGCTTTAGCAAATTTTAGCAAATAGCATGTGACAAAAAGAAACCTCCGTTTTCGCTCGTCCACACGTAAACACGAAACCGTTGTTTTTGAAAAGCTCCACTCTGGAGAGCGTTTTTGAAAACCTCCGTTTCCGGCAACCGAAAACGCCGGTTACGTGTGGACGCAAGGCCAAAACGGATAAAAAACCTACGTTTTTAAAAATATCCGGATACGTGTGGACTTAGCAAACAGCACCTAAGTTTGGCGCGAAAAGGACGAATCTCGAACAGCTAAAGCCCGTAGTGACTGTCAAAACTTCTCAATATCGCTGGCGATGTTGATTAAACAGCCAGCAGGGGATGTCAAAAATATTATTTATCTTCGTTCAACCTAAATGAATATATAAAATACGACGTGGGCTCACTTATGATATACACTGCACCTGCGTTTGAACAATTAAATGAATCTCGAATCTCTCAGATTACGCTGGCCAGATATCTACAATGAGTGCTTGGCTATATTAGTAATTCAGCTGTTAAGTAACGTTCTACAAAGAATAAGGTCAGTCATATAAAACATCTATGTTGATTTTAATATCTGTATTCTTTCATTTATGTTCATTACTTCTGCATTATATGTATACTATAGATTATAGTAGCTGTTTCCTCGGAGAAAACACTCACGTGAAAATTGTGTGTTTTTGAACCATGCACTTGGCGTTGTTTGCATCCTTTCTGATCAATACGCGGTTAATCAATATTGAAAGTTTGAATGCAATTCCTCTGGAGTCTAGTGAATAAATATGAACGCTGTAGCTTTCTTTGTGTATGTGTATGTGCGTGTCTACTGATGTTTTAACTATGAAGTATACTCTTTCTTATAAGAAATCTTCTTATTCCTTTCTTAATAGTCAATGAATTTTAAACGTTTAAAATATTTTTCAATAAGTATGAGTGAATATTTCAGATAAGGTCGTTATTAGAGCACGAACCAGATGCAACATTACAACATTGTGAATTGTTTTTTAGTAAACGATTTCATGGAACATACGACTTGTTATGAGTTTGTTACATCATGCAAAAATGCATGTTTTAATTACGTTCTAGCTGCTTCGGAGGTCAAAACTACATGTTATCATGCATCTGATTCTCTTCCAGTATACTATATATGGTCAAATCATTATAATTGCTGTCCAAACAGTGTACTTTCTTAGTTACTCATGAGCTAAAATATATTGGTTTTATATATACAAGTAAATTGGTATAGACACATTGCACTGACGACATAAAACATGTTTCCCTAAAGCTTTTTGCTCTTTTTCATATATGACTGGTAAAGATAATTAAAAAGAAGCTAAGCTTCTTCACTTGTCGATATTTCTGCTTTTTCATGCTTTGCTAATTTGCAATCGGGATACCTACTGTGACGTCATGTGCAAATTAAGGGTCTATAGCATGCAGTATAACTTCTTTAAGTTTAGATCATAGTGCGTGGTGACTGAAAAGTGAAAGATATTTATATGCACTTTTGTATGTAAAGTGACAATCCTACAAAATCCGGAAAAAATATAGTATTGCGACACTTTGCTATAACATTAGTATGAACATTTTAACAACAGTTAACTACTTCGAAATTAAAGCCGGTAAAAATTTTCTATCCATCCAGATCTCAAAGCAACACTTTCTATTTATAGTTTAAAAATCTCTCTGAATGGAAAGCATAAATAATAATATGTATCTTTAGATTATTCATTCATGAACAGTCTGATTTATCAACCTCAGGAGTCCAATTAACACGTTCTTCTTAATAATGATTTATCTATAAGCTGCCGGAGTTTCGTCTGCATGTTTTATTTAAAAGATTTCGTAAGATCAGGGATAATGTATTAGCCTGCAGTCTGTAAAGGTGTTGTTAGTAATAGGAGTTCACTGGTGTTGAAGCGTGAATATAGAGTCAATTTAAGACGAATTTGTGCAAGCTTTATTTTCCACGCCACTTCTTTTCGCTGTCACGTGGAAGGAAAAATTTCTATTCAAATATATATCTGAGTAAGTTTAAAACTTGAGATTTCTTTAGCTTTTAGTATTTCCAATGTATTTAGCAAAACGTAGAGACTCTTTCTTTCTTGCTTTTTTTAAGTCTTGCGTCATTTGTAATGATGCTGCATGTTGAGTTATCGTGGACGTGGTTTTTCTGAGTCTAAAGTGCTTGTATACTCATACGAAAATTGCTTCGACCTTTTGAAAGAATTAGCTAATCTGCTTGATAGGATCGACTTATTTTTTAGGGACTCATAATTTGAAAAAGTCTTGATATTTTCTTTTAATAATTCATGTTATTTATCGCCGCAAAGAAGCTAGGAAATTCTTTTCTCAGTGACACAATTATCTATTAGACTATTTCCACTACTGAATGAGTGATCCATTTTACATTAAACCATTTCAGTTATATTTAAACATTTATTTCCACTTTGGATATATAGGATCCTCCTGCGTGCGTTCATGAACCGCATATCTCTACACGCAGCTGTTTGTTAGGACTGCTGAAATAATTTTGAAATGTAATTAATTTTTTTGAAGTCAGTCGAGACTGTCTAACGCTCGCATATTTTTTGATTTTTATCTAAAATGTCTACAGTCTGATATTTCACGTATTCCACGCACAAACTAGAAAATTATGTGAATCATCCATAACGGCGTAGCACTAATAATTTGCTTTATGAATGATGATAATTGGAGAAAGATAAGCGGTTACCATTGAATCCTTTTTTTTTCTAGATTAATATTTCGAAATGGAAAACAGTACCCATGATGCTTCAGGAGATGAGATGACTCCAGAACTATATAAGATCATCCTCATAGTATCACTCTGTGCTATTGTACTTGGGATAACTGCCAATTGTTTCATTATTATCTCATTCTGTAAAGTCAAGCTTCTTCGTACTGTAACGAACTATTTCATTGTCCAACTAGGCGTGGCAGATATTTTTCTCCTTCTTTCCCTTGCCATTTGGATGAGTTTTTCAGCGACAAAATTGTCGATGAGCGATGAGCAGAAACAGTTGACATCTTCTGTTCTTATTTCAATCGAGGTTTTTTCGTCGTCCGCGTCACTCACAAGTCTCGCGTGTGTCAGCATTGACCGCTGCCTAGCAGTGACTGTACCGTTGCGCTATCAATCAATCACGACCCATTCACGTGCTCTCGTTGTGGTTCTGAGTGTTTGGTCCTATTCAATGATCACATTCATCACGTCGTATTCACGTGTGATTGTCGACAAGGAAATATACAACAAGATATACATCACATGTCTATTTTCATTCACGTTTGCGCTACCGATTCTAATTACAACCTGGTCTTATTATCGCATATTTTGCGCAGTTTGGCGACAGGTTCATCATCTTCCTAAACAAACCACTCCCAACCGTCGATTCCGTATGGTCATGAAAGAATTCCGAATTGCAATTAACATTCTTGTGACGATCTTACCAACCTATCTTCTTTGGGGAAGTTTTTGGGTAGCGACCTTGAGAGAAGCATTTTTGGAAAGTTTGCCAAATTACACTGCCGTTGAAAACTGGTTATTGGGGAACACACCTCACTTTGCAGCAACCGTCAACCCTCTAATATACATCGCTATGACGCGGGACTTTCGCAGACTTTTCATGCGGTTAGTGTCGTGCAGCAAACATCGTGAAGAGTTCAGTCTCGTGGTGGACTCAAGCAGACAACGTTCAGTCTCAACACGCAGTTGTTCGACGACACAGAGTATACCTCTTGTGGATGTTGTAAGCTCTCAGGACTTTGCTAAAAGTTTCACTTTATCCGATGATGGTAAATCTGGAAATGGGAATATTTCTACTGAGTCAAGTTTCGTGACATCGTCCATTCCTGAAGATAATCATGAACTGGTTTCTTTTTAGAAACTATTTATATAATCATTGCATGTTTTATCCCTTCAGTAAATTTTCACTTTAAAATATTTGAATCCGTCCCTTGTGGTGGGTATAAGGACACTGGACACTATGTAAAATTTTAGTGACAATAATACAGTCATTACAGTTCTTAAAGAAGAGCAAGAGTCTGCACGACTGTTGAAATCCAGGCTCGAAGATTATTTGCTCGAGAACTAACACGATGAGTGAACAGGACTGCCAAAATTCAAGCATAACTTGAATTGGAATTATGTCATAACAGGCGGTGCAACGTTGTGTCCGCGAGTAATGCGACGTTTTGCTCCCTAAAATAGCTCTGCATGGATATATTTAAACCTAAAATATACTTGATTATATTAATTCTATTCAGTAAGAGCATAGCGAACTTAGAACGATACTAGACTATTATTTTAGCTCGGCGTGATAACACAAACAGTAATACTGATCACATTTTATAAATATCGTATGCTTATCATATGTAAACAAAATGGATTTTAGACAACACACAGTTCACACTGATGTTTAACATTTTTTTGCGTGTGTTAAACTGATGACGTCAGATGAACACCGTACCCAGGGTCTTTTTACGAGGTTGGAACACAAATGGTAGGTTGGGGCTATTACCATCACGGCTCCACAACCTGAACGCGTGGTTTGGATACCTGTGCAGTTTCTGAGGACTGATAAATTTCATAAAAAACTCTGAAAAAATAATTTGTTCTTTGTTACCACAAAACTTTCCTCCTTGTAAACAAGATCGGGAATTTATTTTGTGAAAACTATAAGTTCAAACTTCAAACCAGCAAGCATGTGTTCAAAGGAACATAAATTCCCTCAAAATAAGATTTTTGTTGGTATCTCAGTCACTCCGTCAGTGGTCGTCGAAAAAGAAAGAAGAGCGAGAGCTTGTCTAGACTTTAAAGATCAGTGGAAAGCCTCGTTTCGAGATTAAATCCCCGCAAAAGCGCGGGAAAATGCTGATCACGTGCAAGGGTTCTGACTAAATCCGAGATTGTGCTTAACGGAACAATTCATACAAAATCATGGCCGTAAGTTTGCTTTTTATTTTATTTTATGTTTATAATTTAGTAAGATGAATAAAACGTTTAGACTTTTACACATCGGTTCTGGTGATTTTAGAAAGTATATATTTTGTTAACTGTAAAACTAGCGAAATTTGTCATTGTTTAATAGTGTGTGTACATATCAATTGTACATAATATTAAATAGTAAAAATGTAAAATGAGTTTGTCATTGAAAAATGTATGCTCGAAAGTTATAATCATATTTTCTTTAGTGTTATTATTTGTGGGGCATGTTACGAAATAAGCTCGACATTTATAGTGTACATGCGAAAGATAAATAATTATTCGGATATATTTTCATATTTAAATTATCACGAGGGAATTTATCATATATCCTTACTTGTCTCATTGACTTTTTGTGAAAGAAATATAACTTAAATATGCCTTAAATTATAAATGTATATAACCTCAATAAATATAACCTATAAAATAATGCCTATAAATATAAATGCCTGGCATTTATTGAACATTGTTTCATCACAACTATTGTTTACCTCAAATCTGTTGTAATCAATTTATACTGCCCTACACCAGCATTGACCTGGATGTTTTTCTCTTGTTAATCTAAGCTGCTAGTTGCTTTGCATACATGTTGTATGAGTGTGAGGCTCTAAGATCGGTCAAAAAGCATTCATGAGATAATGTTGAAATGCTGTTTCCATCTATCTTCATGCCCAACAATATTTTACAATTTTTGCGATAATTTTACCCAAGCATTCATGAATCCTTATTTCCAAACGTTAGGTGCAAGGAAGGAGGGTATAGATAGAATCACTTCACACAAAAACAATTCTTTATTTATTCAACCACGTGCGGTTAACTAAATACCTGTTCAGAGTGCTCAACATGTATTTTTGTAGCCTGTGTTGTGGGCTTAGTCTGAAAACTAATGAGGTATATAATATTGCATTACTTTTGTGAATTAGGAGGAATCATCAAGTAGCCTTGGAGTGGCCACAAGCCCAGCCAGAGAGTCCCAAGATGATGCTGGTTCTCGTTATGACCGTACTGACGCCTTGACTTCCAGCCCTGCTCGAAATCTGGCACCATTTGAGGATGAGTCAGATGCTATTTTGGGCAACGAGGGAAGTGCTGCAGAGGAGGAAGCTGATGATGGAATTGATTTGATGGGCGACAACATGGAGGAGTAAGTATATTATCTCATACTTAAAGATGATAGTTTATTGCAACAGGGTTTTGTTTTTAGTGACTATCGAGCAATCCCTCGTTTGGATGTGTATGACCCAACAGCATTGGATGAAGAAGAATATGATGATATGGATATTGGAGCCAGACGTGAGGCAGAGAAAGTCATGGGGAAAAGAGATAGAGAGGAGGCTGCTACGTCAGGAAGACTAAGGAGAGGTCTACTTTATGGTATGGAGTGTTAGTTTTGAATTTATGAGTTATGAATACTCTGTAGTTGTCTACAATCATTCTCCCTTGGAGATTGAGATTATTTTGAGCATTGTTTTATAATGCTTCCTCTTGTGACCAGATGAAACTGATGATGAGGATGACTTACCACACCCATCACGTCGGCGACGTCTGGCTGAGCAAGCTGCTCATGGTGATATGGATATGGCTGAGGATATGGTGGAAAGTATTGAGAACTTGGAGGATATGAAAGGACATTCAGTACGAGAGTGGGTCTGTTTGCAGGCACCAAGACTTGAAATAAAGAACAGATTTAAACAGTTTCTCAAGACATTTGTTGACCACCAAGGAAAAAGTGTTTACAGAGACAAGATAAAATTGATGTGTGAAGGTAGATTGGAGTTATTACTGTGGAGGATTATGTCTGGTTGGTTGAACTAGCATTTCCTTTGTGATTATTTCCACAAACCAGGTGCTGTTCAAATGAGAAATTAATTTTCTAGCTAACATGAATTGTGAATACCTATGATCATTGGAATTAAATTTAACATTCTTTTTCACTAGGAAACCTTCAAAGTTTAGTAATTGATTACAACGTCTTGGCTTGTGAACAACAATTGCAAGTTTTGGCATATTTCTTACCAGAAGCTCCAGCGGAAATGCTAAAGATTTTTGATGAGGTAAAACCCAAACAATTGAAAGACGATGAATAAAAGTATTTTTCCTACTCAAACAAAGTATTTCTTATCAGGCGGCAAAAGAAGTTGTGTTATCTATGTATGAAAAATATGATCAAATTGCAAGTGAGATTCATGTCAGGATTGCTGAACTACCATTGATGGAGGAAATTCGCTCGCTCAGGTTGGTTGTCTTTTCTTCCTAACATATACTTGTTGAGAAGTGATACTTCATATAAAAATCAATTAAGAGATTCTAGGTTGCATGTAATGATCACACTCTAAGCTTGTGAGTCCTAAGGCTAGTTCAAAGTTCATTCTTGTATATAAACAAGATGTGATTTGTTAGTTTGTTATATAATACTGTATGCATGCCTAAAATTATATAAGTCAGGACAATAGTATTTTATATGTTATTCTTTCTTTTACTTTCCTGGAGTTTCAATTTATTACCCTGCATGATTTTAATAGTACTAATTAGACCAGAATTGAAATTGAAACCTTAATTGTTTTCTTTTAGACAACTGCACTTGAATCAGCTAATCCGAACAGGTGGTGTTGTATCAAGCAGTACAGGAGTCTTGCCACAACTGAGCATGGTCAAATATGATTGTAACAAATGTTCCTATATACTTGGACCATTTTTTCAATCACAAAATCAGGAAGTCAGACCTGGTACATGCCCCGAGTGTCAATCACGTGGCCCTTTTGAAGTGAATATGGAACAGGTTAGTTTGTGTTGATCATTCAACTGCACTAAACTACTTAAAAAAAAGCTAAATATGAAATATTTCTTGAGAGAAAAATGCTACACATTTCTTACTACTTTTTCTCTGTTAGACTGTGTATCAAAATTACCAGAGAATCAAAATTCAGGAAAGTCCAAGCAAGGTTGCTGCAGGCAGGCTGCCTCGTTCAAAAGATGTCATTCTATTGGGAGATCTTGTAGACTCCTGCAAGGCTGGAGATGAAATTGTAAGTCTAAATTGATCATGCAGTCTAAAATTGATGCAATGTCCTGGTATTTCCAATTAATAAAACATGAAATATGTATTCAAATAATTAATAATTTGATTTGTTCAGGATCTGACAGGTATCTATCACAACAATTATGATGGCTCTCTGAACATTGCTCATGGCTTCCCAGTATTTGCTACTGTCATTGAAGCTAACCATATCACAAAGCAGGAAGATAAGTTAGCCATCACAAGCCTCACAGATGAAGACATTAAAGAAATCATCACATTGTCCAAAGATCCGAAAATTGGTGATAGGGTAAGAGTGATTTCTGGTCTTCTACTAATATTGTGTAGTAATCCTGACAGTAGCATTATTAAGAATTAATACCTTAAAATCATCTCACTCTTTGTTGAATCTTGTGTAGCCAAGTTCATGTAAGCAGCTGGCCCCTAAGCCAGAAGAGCTAAGAATTGCGTCTAGGCCTGATTTAGGGAGAACTATAGTGGACCTCATAGAAAATTGTGTGAAAACTCGCATGTTTTACAGTTGCCATTGAATGTTTGGTTTAATGAGTTTTCAATCATGTTTAGATCATCGCCAGCGTAGCTCCTTCTATTTATGGTCATGATGACATAAAAAGAGCAATAGCATTGTCACTTTTTGGTGGAGAAGCCAAAGATCCAGGTAAGCTTTCATTCAGAATAGCAATAGCAATATAAATAGAAATATGTGTTCTGAACAATGTTCATATTGGTTCAGGTGGAAAACACAAGATCCGTGGTGATATCAATGTTTTACTCTGTGGTGATCCTGGTACAGCTAAGTCTCAGTTCTTAAAATATGTTGAAAAAACAGCTCCACGTTCAGTGTTCACAACTGGTCAAGGAGCATCAGCTGTTGGCCTCACAGCTTATGTTCAAAGACATCCTGTAACAAGAGAATGGACGTTGGAAGCTGGAGCTCTTGTTTTGGCTGATCGTGGAGTTTGTTTAATTGATGAATTTGATAAAGTGAGTAGAGTTTTTTTAACCGCGGTTCTATCTTGTGTTCAACCTTGGTTTAACCAACTGTAGCCCGCTCGCAGAATGAATTTTCCCCGTTTTAATTCCCGGTCCCCAATTCAGTCTGCGAGCAGGCTAAACCAACTGAGGTTTGAGCTAGAATTACCCGCGGTTTCTGTTATTTCTGGACAGTATTGTATTCTGAACAACTTATATTGTTAACAATTAACGTATGTAAAATCTAATGTTTTTTAATATCCGTCTCATTTTCAGATGAATGACGCGGACAGAACTAGTATTCACGAAGCTATGGAACAGCAGAGTATTTCCATCTCAAAAGCTGGAATTGTTACTTCTTTACAGGTAAGTTTTCTCTTGATGTACACCATCACCAATTTCTTTACATTCTGCAGTATAATTTGAAACACTGCACGTCCTGCATAACAGTTGTAGATGTGGTAATGTATGGCAGTGTGTAGTTCCTTCCACTATTGCAATATAGCTAAAATATATATTTCCTCGAGACATCTTTTCTGTATTGTGATTCTTGTCGTTAAGGCTCGATGTTCCATTATTGCTGCTGCAAATCCTATCGGTGGTCGTTATGATCCTTCCATGAATTTCTCAGAAAACGTAAGTTCTGAAATTAACTATTTCCAAAAAACTGGTTGGTTGCAAAAAACGTCAATGTTTTATTTTTATTCAGGTTGATTTGAGTGAGCCAATTTTATCACGATTTGACATCTTGTGTGTTGTACGAGATCTTGTTGACCCTATTCAGGTATTTCTTTCTAACATTAAGTAGTTGGCAATACTGTACACTACAATCAGTTAAATATGTTAGCAGTTGCATGCGTATATTTCTCGACGAGCAATCAGATTGTTTGTGTGTCAGATTAATTGTTCAACAACATAATTATTATAATACCTTTCCTCTATTCAGGATGAATTACTGGCAAAGTTTGTTGTAAACAGTCATGTTAAACATCATCCAGGAAACACAAACAAAGAAAGTGAAGAAAATGAAGTAGAAATGGTATGTTGTTGTTGTCGTAAATCATCAGACTGGCTACGCCAATACAAGTTAAAATAGTATCATAGTTATTCCCATGCATACGATCTGAATTAAATAAATAGTTTTTTTCACATTTATGGACCTAAACGTACACACATTTTCATAATTGTCCGTAATTTTTCTTCCCAGGAATCCAGTCCAACTACAGGCGTTGAACAGTTATCACAAGAAATGTTAAAGAAGTATATTATTTATGCGAAAGATAAGATCCATCCAAAGTTAAATAACATGGACCAAGATAAGATTGCTCAAATGTTTGCTGATCTTCGACGAGAGTCGATGGTAAGAGGTCTACTGAAATACTTTCACATGTTTACTGCAGTTTATTTTGAAGAACTAGAAAATGAACGCGCAGGTGACCCAAAATTTTTACATACACTGTGTCTATAGTTTGACCTATAAAAATGACGACCGTTCAAAAATAACGTACAAAAACGTGTAGTTTCTTCATATAGTTTGACCAATGAAAATTACAGTTACAATTTATAGTTTGTAGAAGTATTGTGTCCGAGTGTCCAACGCTATTGGTCAAAGAATCATTAACTCAAAGTGAAACTTGCCTTATGATAATTTGCTCGTGGTTATCAGAATCATATAGTTTTCATTTGAAACCTTGAACAATTCATATTTCGTAGGCAACTGGTAGTGTTCCTATTACAGTACGACATATCGAGTCGATGATTAGAATGGCTGAAGCAAACGCCAAGATGCATCTAAGAGAATATATTTCTGAAGATGACGTGAATATGGCAATAAGAGTGATGTTGGAGAGTTTTATTGATACACAGAAATTTTCTGTTATGAGAAATATGCGTAAGGTGAGAAATTTATTCCCGTTGTCCTCATCGAACTCCTAGAGCGCCTTATTCCACGGGCGATTTTTCAGCTGAATTGTGAGCAAGCAAGTAAAAACAATAAATTTACGCAATTCAAAAGAAATTTCGCAATTCGCTGAGAAAAAACGCCCGTGGAATTAGGCCTTTAGACCGAACAGGTTTCTCCCTGAGACCAAACATTCCCCTCCCTGAGACCAAACGCTTTCCCTGACTGAGTGCTAACGTTCCCCTCTCTGAGCTAAACGCTTTCCCTGACTGAGTGCTAACGTTCCCCTCCCTGAGCTAAACGGAGAACCAAACGGTTCTCTTCCGCAACGCAAACATTTTCCCTGAGCCTAAACATTGCTTGAACTTCTGTTTCAGGCATTCATGCAGTATTTGTCGTTCCGTCGAGACAACAACGAACTACTTATGTTTATTCTCAAACAACTCGTACGGGACCAAATCACGTTTCACAACAATCGTTATGGCAGCGCACCTGAGGTCGTCGAAGTACTAGAGGAGGAATTCCTTGATCGAGTAAGTGTTTTTTTATCAGTGAATTCTGACAGCAGTCTAGCGCTCTAGCCTCTAGTCAAAAAAGTCGACATAAAGCCATTATTTGTGCAACTCCGAACAGCGATGCACGGTTGTGTTTTGGATGACAAACTAAGTTCTATTAGGCTGCGTTCAGACTGATTGCCCGTCGCTTTTTCTGGCACATATTAAAGTTGCGCATGGCACTTCTAAATGAATTGGTATTTGTCTTTAAAATAGTTTTTTCCTAGTCTTCTAACGAGTTACGTGCTAGCGACATCCCTTGTGCAACCGTTCATGAAATCTGCGGATGTTAAAGGCAAGCGACTGGAATTAAATGAACTTTTTTCTCCCATTACAGGCACGGCAGATCAATGTTGACAATGTTTCAATGTTGTACGAGTGTGATATGTTTTCCAAAAACAGATTTGTACACGACAAAAAACGAAAACTCATTATTCAGACTTTATGATCAACTCTGTCACTTAGTGTGGATAGTATAATGTATATAGTCTATAGTCACACAGCAACATGCAGTCATGATAGTTACGTAACAAGTCTTCTGTACAATCAAACATTCTTATCATAATATAGACTAACATGATTCTATTCTCTGCGTGAAGCGTCAAGGTTTTATATTTATCACTGCCTTTAAGATCTGCGACACCATTCACATGTATGATTTTATTTGTTCAAATGTATCGTTTTCATGAAAGAATGCAATTCTAATTAATTCTGAAGAATTTCGACGTATTTTAAAACGAATTTCGTAATTTCAAAAAATTAACGAAAATTAGGATTTTTCTTTTGGTCCCCCGTTGCCGATATACCTGAAGTTTTGAAATTTATCAAAGTATGATTTTATGTGTTCAAATGTATTGTTTTCATGAAAGAATGCAATTCTACTTAATTCTGAAGTATTTCGACGTATTTTCAAGCGAATTTTGAAATTTCAAAAAATTGAAGAAAATGAGGATTTTTCCTTCATTTGGTCCCCCGTTGCCGATATACCTGAGATTTTGAAATTTATGTATCATATTACATCATACTATATAATACTGTATCATACTGTATTATACCGCATCATACCGTATCATATCGTATCATAGAGCATCATATAATCATTGATTATGGAGCACTTCCGACTAGAATTTTCGAGTATTTTCAATTGTGAGTTATAGATAAGATGCAAACAATTTTCCAAAGCAAGCAATTTGAACTTTTTTGGAACGATGCAGATGTTATTCATCATGGGTTATGGGCACTTCCGAAAGGAATTTTGGTGTATTTTCAATTGACAAAGAAAGGCAGTATAATGTTTGATCATTGATTATGGAGCACTTCCGACTTGAATTTTCGAGTATTTTCAATTGTGAGTTATACGGAAGATGCAAACATTTTTCCAGAGCAAGCAATTTAAACTTCTTTGGAACGATGCAGATGTTATTCATCATGGGTAATGGGGCACTTCCGAAAGGAATTTTCGTGTATTTTCGATTGACAAAAAAAGGCAGTATGGTGTTTGATCATTAATTATGGAGCACTTCCGACTAGAATTTTCGAGTATTTTCAACTGTGAGTTATATGGCTTACCCCTTACCATTTTAGTCAATTTTGACGACTTTTTGAACTTTTAAAAAACTGTCTTAAAATGCTAAAAATGGCTTCCTTCCGAACTTTTCAAAAACTGTCTTAAAATTCTCAAAATGGTTTCCTAAGACTAATATCTTTCATTTTAGAGCATTTTGAGACACTTTTTGAAAAGTTGAAAAAGTCGTCAAAATTGACCAAAATATTAAGGGTTACCCCTTACCATTTTGGTCAATTTTGACGACTTTTTGAATTGTTCAAAAACGGTCTTAAAATGCTAAAAATGGCTTCCTAAGACTAATATCTTTCATTTTAGAGCATTTTGAGACACTTTTTGAAAAGTTGAAAATGTCGTCAAAATTGACCAAAATGGTAAGGCTTACCCCTTACCATTTTAGTCAATTTTGACGACTTTTTGAACTTTTAAAAAACTGTCTTAAAATGCTAAAAATGGCTTCCTTCCGAACTTTTCAAAAACTGTCTTAAAATTCTCAAAATGGTTTCCTAAGACTAATATCTTTCATTTTAGAGCATTTTGAGACACTTTTTGACAAGTTGAAAAAGTCGTCAAAATTGACCAAAATAGTAAGGGTTACCCCTTACCATTTTGGTCAATGCTGACGACTTTTTGAACTTTTCAAAAACTGTGTTAAAATGCTAAAACTGGTTTCCTAAGACTAATATATTTCGTTTTAAACCATTTTGACACACTTTTTAAAAAGTTGAAAAAGTCGTCAAAATTGATTAAAATGATAAGGCTTACCCCTTACCATTTTGGTCAATTTTGACGACTTTTTGAACTTTTCAAAAACTGTCTTAAAATGCTAAAAATGGTTACTAAGATAATATCTTTCATTTAGAGCATTTTGAGACACTTTTTGAAAGTTGAAAAAGTCGTCAAAGTTGACCAAAATGAAGGCTTACCCCTTACCATTTTGGTCAATTGACGACTTTTTGAACTTTTCAAAAACTGTCTTAAAATGCTAAAAATGGTTCCTAAGATAATATCTTTCATTTAAGAGCATTTTGAGACACTTTTTGAAAGTTGAAAAAGTCGTCAAAGTTGACCAAAATGATAAGGCTTACCCCTTACCATTTTGGTCAATTTTGACGACTTTTTGAACTTTTCAAAAACTGTCTTAAAATGCTAAAAATGGTTTCCTAAGACTAATATCTTTCATTTAAGAGCATTTTGAGACACTTTTTGAAAAGTTGAAAAAGTCGTCAAAATTGACCAAAATGGTAAGGCTTACCCATTACCATTTTGGTCAATATTGACGACTTTTTGAACTTTTCAAAAACTGTCTTAAAATGCTAAAAATGGCTTCCTAAGATTAATATCTTTCATTTCAGAGCATTTTGAGACACTTTTTGAAAAGTTGAAAAAGTCGTCAAAGTTGACCAAAATGATAAGGCTTACCCCTTACCATTTTGGTCAATTTTGACGACTTTTTGAACTTTTCAAAAACTGTCTTAAAATGCTAAAAATGGTTTCTAAGACTAATATCTTTCATTTAAGAGCATTTTGAGACACTTTTTGAAAAGTTGAAAATCGTCAAAATTGACCAAAATGGTAAGGCTTACCCCTTACCATTTTGGTCAATTGACGACTTTTTGAACTTTTCAAAAACTGTCTTAAAATGCTAAAATGGTTTCCTAAGATAATATCTTTCATTTCAGAGCATTTTGAGACACTTTTTGAAAAGTTGAAAAAGTCGTCAAAATTGACCAAAATGATAAGGCTTACCCCTTACCATTTTGGTCAATTGACGACTTTTTGAACTTTTCAAAAACTGTCTTAAAATGCTAAAAATGGTTCTAAGATTAATATCTTTCATCTAGAGCATTTTGAGACACTTTTTGAAAAGTTGAAAAAGTCGTCAAAATTGACCAAAATGGTAAGGCTTACCCCTTACCATTTTGGTCAATTTTGACGACTTTTTCAACTTTTCAAAAACTGTCTTAAAATGCTAAAAATGGTTTCTAAGACTAATATCTTTCATTTAAGAGCATTTTGAGACACTTTTTGAAAAGTTGAAAAAGTCGTCAAAATTGACCAAAATGGTAAGGCTTACCCCTTACCATTTTGGTCAATGCTGACGACTTTTTGAACTTTTCAAAAACTGTCTTAAAATGCTAAAAATGGTTTCCTTAGACAATATCTTTCATTTCAGAGCATTTTGAGACACTTTTTGAAAAGTTGAAAAAGTCGTCAAAATTGACCAAATGGTAAAGCTTACCCCTTACCCATTTTGGTCAATTGACGACTTTTTGAACTTTTCAAAAACTGTCTTAAAATGCTAAAAATGGTTCCTAAGACATTAATATCTTTCATTTAAGAGCATTTTGAGACACTTTTTGAAAAGTTGAAAAAGTCGTCAAAATTGACCAAAATGGTAAGGCTTACCCCTTACCATTTTGGTCAATTTTGACGACTTTTTGAACTTTTCAAAACTGTCTTAAAATGCTAAAATGGTTTCCTAAGACTAATATCTTTCATTAGAGCATTTTGAGACACTTTTTGAAAAGTTGAAAAAGTCGTCAAAATTGACCAAAATGGTAAGGCTTACCCTTACCATTTTGGTCAATGCTTGACGACTTTTTGAACTTTTCAAAAACTGTCTTAAAATGCTAAAATGGTTTCCTAAGACTAATATCTTTCATTTAAGAGCATTTTGAGACACTTTTGAAAAGTTGAAAAGTCGTCAAAATTGACCAAATGGTAAGGCTTACCCCTTACCATTTTGGTCATGCTGACGACTTTTTGAACTTTTCAAAAAACTGTCTTAAAATGTAAAATGGCTTCCTAAGATTAATATCTTTCATTTCAGAGCAATTTTGAGACATTTGTTTGAAAAGTTGAAAAAGTCGTCAAAGTTGACCAAATGATAAGGCTTACCCCTTACCATTTGGTCAATTTTGACGACTTTTTGAACTTTCAAAAACTGTCTTAAAATGCTAAAAATGGTTTCTTAAGACTAATATCTTTCATTTAAGAGCATTTTGAGACACTTTTTGAAAAGTTGAAAAAGTCGTCAAAATTGACCAAAATGGTAAGGCTTACCCCTTACCATTTTGGTCAATTTTGACGACTTTTTCAACTTTTCAAAAACTGTCTTAAAATGCTAAAAATGGTTTCCTAAGACTAATATCTTTCATTTAAGAGCATTTTGAAACACTTTTTGAAAAGTTGAAAAAGTCGTCAAAATTGACCAAAATGGTAAGGCTTACCCCTTACCATTTTGGTCAATGCTGACGACTTTTTGAACTTTTCAAAAACTGTCTTAAAATGCTAAAAATGGTTTCCTTAGACTAATATCTTTCATTTCAGAGCATTTTGAGACACTTTTTGAAAAGTTGAAAAAGTCGTCAAAATTGACCAAAATGGTAAAGCTTACCCCTTACCATTTTGGTCAATGCTGACGACTTTTTGAACTTTTTAAAAACTGTCTTAAAATGCTAAAAATGGCTTCCTAAGATTAATATCTTTCATTTCAGAGCATTTTGAGACACTTTTTGAAAAGTTAAAAAAGTCGTCAAAGTTGACCAAAATGATAAGGCTTACCCCTTACCATTTTGGTCAATTTTGACGACTTTTTGAATTGTTCAAAAACGGTCTTAAAATGCTAAAAATGGCTTCCTAAGACTAATATCTTTCATTTTAGAGCATTTTGAGACACTCTTTGAAAAGTTGAAAATGTCGTCAAAATTGACCAAAATGGTAAGGCTTACTTACCCCTCACCATTTTGGTCAACTTTGACGACTTTTTGAACTTTTCAAAAACTGTCTTAAAATGCTAAAAATGGCTTCCTAAGATTAATATCTTTCATTTCAGAGCATTTTGAGACACTTTTTGAAAAGTTGAAAAAGTCGTCAAAGCTGACCAAAATGATAAGGCTTACCCCTTACCTTTTTGGTCAGTTTTGACGACTTTTTGAATTGTTCAAAAACGGTCTTAAAATACTAAAAATGGCTTCCTAAGACTAATATCTTTCATTTTAGAGCATTTTCAGACACT